CGCTACCCAACCCACCCGACTTCCCAAAACCCCCCTCTCTTCCCAACCCCCCCCATCGCTTCCTCAACCCCCCCCGAATTTTCCCCCAACCCCCCCCTCTTCCCCCACCCCCCCTTTCCCCCCCCCACCCATCGCTTCTCAACCCCCCCCCCGAAAACCCCAAAACCCCCTTTTCCCCAAAACCCCCCTCGCTTTTCCCCAACCCCCCCCGCTTCCCAACCCACCCCTCTTCCCCAACCCACCCCTCGCTTCCTCAAAACCCCCCCCGACTTCCCCCAAAACCCCCCCCCTCTTCCCCAACCACCATCGTTCCTCAACCCCCCCGACTCCCCAACCCACCCCCCCTTCCCCAAACCCCATCGCTTCCCCCAACCCACCGATTCCTCAACCCACCCCCCCTTCCCAACCCCCCCATGCTTTCCCAACCCACCCGACTTCCCCAACCCACCCCCTCTTCTCCAACCCCCCCATCGCTTCCTCAACCCCCCCCGACTACCCACCCCACCCCTCTTCCCCAACCCACCCATTGCTTCCCCAACCCACCCCGACTTCCCCAACCACCCCCTCTTCCCCAACCCACCCCGACTTCCCCAACCCACCCCCTCTTCCCCAACCCACCCCGACTTCCCCAACCCACCCCCTCTTCCCCAACCCACCCCCTCTTCCCCAACCCACCCTCACGCTCCGCACCCTGGCTGTTTTATTAATTTTCGACTAGCAATCAAATGCCGTGCAGAGTTTGGCCTAATATACGCTGCTCATTAGCATATGCCTTGCTCATTAGCATATTCGTTGCTAATTAGCATATACCCGGGTATACCTGTGGTATACCTATTGTGTACCTGTTGTGATTGCATTCTGACAAGACGGCTATTGGAAGAATGATGGTGAATGTCTTTCTCGTTTTTTTGCAGGTAAAATTACCTTGAGCCAAAATAAGGAATCATCTCATGCTAGCATGTGAGGGAGTATGTAGAACCATCGTGGAGCCCACACGTAGAACCATCGTGGAGCCCACATGTAGAACCATCGTGGAGCCCACACGTAGAACCATCGTGGAGCCCACATGTAGAACCATCGTGGAGCCCACATGTAGAACCATCGTGGAGCCCACATGTAGAACCAACGTGGAGCCCACATGTAGAACCATCGTGGAGCCCACATGTAGAACCATCGTGGAGCCCACATGTAGAACCATCGTGGAGCCCACACGTAGAACCATCGTGGAGCCCACATGTAGAACCATCGTGGAGCCCACACGTAGAACCATCGTGGAGCCCACATGAAGAACCATCGTGGAGCCCACACGTAGAACCATCGTGGAGCCCACATGTAGAACCATCGTGGAGCCCACACGTAGAACCATCGTGGAGCCCATGTAGAACCATCGTGGAGCCCACACGTAGAACCATCGTGGAGCCCACATGTAGAACCATCGTGGAGCCCACATGTAGAACCAAGGTGGAGCCCACATGTAGAACCATCGTGGAGCCCACATGTAGAACCATCGTGGAGCCCACATGTAGAACCATCGTGGAGCCCACACGTAGAACCATCGTGGAGCCCACATGTAGAACCATCGTGGAGCCCACACGTAAAACCCATCGTGGAGCCCACATGAAGAACCATCGTGGAGCCCACACGTAGAACCATCGTGGAGCCCACATGTAGAACCATCGTGGAGCCCACACGTAGAACCATCGTGGAGCCCAACATGTAGAACCATCGTGGAGCCCACATGTAGAACCATCGTGGAGCCCACATGTAGAACCATCGTGGAGCCCACACGTAGAACCATCGTGGAGCCCACAAGTAGAACCATCGTGGAGCCCACATGTAGAACCATCGTGGAGCCCACATGTAGAACCATCGTGGAGCCCACATGTAGAACCATCGTGGAGCCCACATGTAGAACCATCGTGGAGCCCACACGTAGAACCATCGTGGAGCCCACATGTAGAACCATCGTGGAGCCCACACGTAGAACCATCGTGGAGCCCCACATGTAGAACCATCGTGGGGGCCCACACGTAGAACCATCGTGGAGCCCACATGTAGAACCATCGTGGAGCCCACATGTAGAACCATCGTGGAGCCCACATGTAGAACCATCGTGGAGCCCACATGTAAAACCCAAATCGTGGAGCCCACATGTAGAACCATCGTGGAGCCCACACGTAGAACCATCGTGGAGCCCACACGTAGAACCATCGTGGAGCCCACACGTAGAACCATCGTGGAGCCCACACGTAGAACCATCGTGGAGCCCACACGTAGAACCATCGTGGAGCCCACACGTAGAACCATCGTGGATCCCACACGTAGAACCATCGTGGAGCCCACACGTAGAACCATCGTGGAGCCCACACGTAGAACCATCGTGGATCCCACACGTAGAACCATCGTGGAGCCCACATGTAGAACCATCGTGGAGCCCACACGTAGAACCATCGTGGAGCCCACACGTAGAACCATCGTGGATCCCACACGTAGAACCATCGTGGAGCCACACACGTAGAACCATCGTGGATCCACACGTAGAACCCATCGTGGAGCCCACACGTAGAACCATCGTGGATCCCACACGTAGAACATCGTGGATCCCACACGTAGAACCATCGTGGAGCCCACACGTAGAACCATCGTGGATCCCACACGTAGAACCATCGTGGAGCCCACACGTAGAACCATCGTGGATCCCACACGTAGAACCATCGTGGAGCCCACACGTAGAACCATCGTGGAGCCCACACGTAGAACCATCGTGGATCCCACACGTAGAACCATCGTGGAGCCCACATGTAGAACCATCGTGGAGCCCACACGTAGAACCATCGTGGAGCCCACACGTAGAACCATCGTGGATCCCACACTGTAGAAACCATCGTGGAGCCACACCGTAGAACCATCGTGGATCCCACACGTAGAACCATCGTGGAGCCCACACTTAGAACCATCGTGGAGCCCACACGTAGAACCATCGTGGATCCCACACGTAGAACCATCGTGGAGCCCACACGTAGAACCATCGTGGATCCCACACGTAGAACCATCGTGGAGCCCACACGTAGAACCATCGTGGATCCCACACGTAGAACCATCGTGGAGCCCACACGTAGAACCATCGTGGAGCCCACACGCGAGTAAGTATGAACTTCCCTTACTTAAATCGGAAGGTTTGTAACAAAGCTAACCAGGACCTGAGGGGGATGCTACTTCCGGATTGAGGGGGATGCTACTTCCGGACCTGAGGGGGATGCTACTTCCGGACCTGAGGGGGATGCTACTTCCGGACCTGAGGGGGATGCTACTTCCGGACTTAAGGAGGATGCTACTTCCGGACCTGAGGGGGATGCTACTTCCGGACTTAAGGAGGATGCTATTTCCCGGACCTGAGGGGGATGCTACTTCCGGACTTAAGGGGGATGCTACTTTCCGGACCTGAGGGGGATGCTACTTCCGGACTTAAGGAGGATGCTACTTCCGGACCTGAGGGGGATGCTACTTCCGGACTTAAGGAGGATGCTACTTCCGGACCTGAGGGGGATGCTACTTCCGGACTTAAGGAGGATGCTACTTCCGGACCTGAGGGGGATGCTACTTCCGGACTTAAGGAGGATGCTACTTCCGGACCTGAGGGGGATGCTACTTCCGGATTTAAGGAGGATGCTATTTCCCGGGACCTGAGGGGGATGCTACTTCCGGACCTGAGGGGGATGCTACTTCCGGACCTGAGGGGGATGCTACTTCCGGACTTAAGGAGGATGCTACTTCCTTACCTGAGGGGGATGCTACTTCCGGACCTGAGGGGGATGCTACTTCCGGATCTGAGGGAGATGCTACTTCCTGACCTGAGGGGGATGCTACTTCCGGACCTGAGGGGGATGCTACTTCCGAACCTGAGGGGGATGCTACTTCCGGACCTGAGGGGGATGCTACTTCCGGACCTGAGGGAGATGCTACTTCCGGACCTGAGGGGATGCTACTTCCGGACCTGAGGGGGATGCTACTTCCGGACCTGAGGGGGATGCTACTTCCGGACCTGAGGGGGATGCTACTCCCGAACCTGAGGGGGATGCTACTTCCGAACCTGAGGGAGATGCTACTTCCGGACTTAAGGAGGATGCTACTTCCGGACCTGAGGGGGATGCTACTTCCGGATCTGAGGGGGATGCTACTTCCGGACCTGAGGGAGATGCTACTTCCGGACTTAAGGAGGATGCTACTTCCGGACCTGATTGGGGTGTATGAAGCTGGGTCATCCCACCGCCATGGTGTACACTACCACCTACATTATTATTGTAATAATAATAATAATAATAATAATAATAATAATAATAATAATAATAGTAATAATAATAATAATAATAATTATTATTATTATTATTATTATTATTATTATTATTATTATTATTATTATTATTATTATTATTATTATTATTATTACTGTCATCACGGAAACCCAAGGGGGTCATTCAAAAGCCTGGGAAAATAGGAAGCAATAAGGTTCGATCCAATGAAAGGAAGGATAGATCCTACTCATTGGATCAAGAGAACCTCACTTGGGGGACACAACCAACAGACAGAGACAGACACAGACAGTCAGACACACACATATACGCAGTAGCGATCAGTGAAGAGGCGGGGCCAGGAGCTATGAATCGACCCCTGCAACCACAATGCAAAAATGCATAACGAAGGTAACTCGTGCTGCAGAGAGAACGGAGTTCCGGTAACCCATGTTGCATAGAGGACACAACATAACGAGTGGTGACATATGTTGCAAAGACAACACAGCCTAACATACTCACATATAACCTATGTTGCAAGGAAGGCAGCCCAGCATATTCACAGATAACCTATGCTGCAAAGAAGGCAGCCCAGCATACTCGCAGATAACCTATGCTGCAAAGAAGGCAGCCCAGCATACTCACAGATAACCTATGCTGCAAATTAGGCAGCGTTGCACATCAAGCAAAGGGGAAACTGCATAAACTTACTGCAAAGCGCAGGGCACCGACAGGTGGACGGGCGTAGGGGATGCCCAGGAATCTCATGCCCCGCGACCCGTCATCCAGCACGTATCGCTCTCCTCGTATCTTGCCGCTGGGCGTGTTGAGGACCACTGTACCTTCTGCTCTCATGGCGGAGACACCGCCGGCGGCAGCCCACACCAGCAGACACGTGGTGAGCAGGGTTCTGCTGCTCCCCTGCAGCGCCAGCCTCGTCATGGTCAGCGGCGGGTAACGATGCCCTCGCTAACAAATCGTATCACTACTTTGCGATGAGAGTGACCCTGGGAGCGTAACATATCTCAGTCATCAGGTCACCACGAGTTGACGATCCAGAAAGAAGGAGAGAGAGGCTGAGCAGCGCGTTAGCAAGCACTTGGGCGGGAAAAGCGTGGAGTGCAAGTTTGAGTGCAAGTGCGAAGTGAAGCATATACGCAAAGTGTTTGGCGTTGAGCTGGCTGTGGGGTCGTGTTTACTGGCCCGAGAGTATACGCTGACTGTGGCTGGCCTCCTCTCTACCAACTCACCATTCTCCCCTCCCTCCCTCCCACCCCCAGCCGCTACCTTACGCATGCGTCCCGTGCGCCTCTGGGTGCGTATATACTCGTCTCTTTACATATTTACCTGTCGGTTTCAGTCCTAAGTGTGCTTGTCGTTCAGAGGTATTCCTTGGTTAGTGCCTCCCATACTTTATCTGTGGTCCCCCAGTGTGTCTCCCGTACCATACCTTGTGTGTGGTCCCCCAATTTGTGTCTCCCGTCCCACACCTTGTGTGTGGTCTCCCAGTTTGTGTCTCCCGTTCCATACCTTGTGTGTGGTCTCCCAGTTTGTGTCTCCCGTCCCATACCTTGTGTGTGGTCTCCCAGTTTGTGTCTCCCGTCCCATACCTTGTGTGTGGTCTCCCAGTTTGTGCCTCCCGTCCCATACCTTGTGTGTGGTCTCCCAATTTATGTCTCCCGTTCCACACATTGTGTGTGGTCTCCCAGCTTGTGTCTCCCGTCCCATACCTTGTGTGTGGTCTCCCAGTTTGTGTCTCCCGTCCTATACCTTGTGTGTGGTCTCCCAGTTTGTGTCTCCCGTCCCAGACCTTGTGTGTGGTCTCCCAGTTTGTGTCTCCCGTCCCATACCTTGTGTGTGGTCCCCCAGTTTGTGTCCCCGTCCCAGACCTTGTGTGTGGTCTCCCAGTTTGTGCCTCCCGTCCCATACCTTGTGTGTGGTCTCCCAATTTGTGTCTCCCGTTCCACACATTGTGTGTGGTCTCCCAGCTTGTGTCTCCCGTCCCATACCTTGTGTGTGGTCTCCCAGTTTGTGTCTCCCGTCCTATACCTTGTGTGTGGTCTCCCAGTTTGTGTCTCCCCTCCCAGACCCTTTTGTGTGGTCTCCCAGTTTGTGTCTCCCGTCCCATACCTTGTGTGTGGTCCCCCAGTTTGTGTCCCCGTCCCAGACCTTGTGTGTGGTCTCCCAGTTTGTGCCTCCCGTCCCATACCTTGTGTGTGGTCTCCCAATTTGTGTCTCCCGTTCCACACATTGTGTGTGGTCTCCCAGCTTGTGTCTCCCGTCCCATACCTTGTGTGTGGTCTCCCAGTTTGTGTCTCCCGTCCTATACCTTGTGTGGTCTCCCAGTTTGTCTCCGTCCCAGACCTTTGTTTTGGTCTCCCAGTTTGTGTCTCCCTCCCATACCTTGTGTGTGGTCTCCCAGTGTGTCTCCCGTCCCATACCTTACGTGTGGTCTCCCAGCGTGTGTCTCCCGTCCCACACCTTGTGTGTGGTCCCCCAATTTGTGTCTCCCGTCCCACACCTTGTGTGTGGTCTCCCAGTTTGTGTCTCCCGTCCCGCACCTTGTGTGTGGTCTCCCAGTTTGTGTCTCCCGTCCCATACCTTGTGTGTGGTCCCCCAGTTTGTGTCCCCGTCTCATACCTTGTGTGTGGTCTCCTAGTGTGTCTCCCGTCCCATACCTTGTGTGTGGTCTCCCAGTGTGTCTCCCGTTCCATACCTTGTGAGTGGTCTCCCAGTGTGTGTCTCCCGTCCCACACCTTGTGTGTGGTCTCCCAGTTTGTGTCTCCCGTCCCATACCTTGTGTGTGGTCCCCCAGTTTGTGTCCCCGTCCCATACCTTGTGTGTGGTCTCCCAGTGTGTCTCCCGTCCCATACCTTGTGTGTGGTCTCCCAGTGTGTCTCCCGTCCCATACCTTGTGTGTGGTCCCCCAGTTTGTGTCCCCGTCTCATACCTTGTGTGTGGTCTCCCAGTTTATGTCTCCCGTCCCGTACCTTGTGTGTGGTCTCCCAGTTTGTGTCTCCCGTCCCATACCTTGTATGTGGTCCCCCAGTTTGTGTCCCCGTCCCATACCTTGTGTGTGGTCCCCCAGTTTGTGTCTCCCGTCCCATACCTTGTGTGTGGTCCCCCAGTTTGTGTCTCCCGTCCCGTACCTTGTGTGTGGGCTCCCAGTTTGTGTCCCCGTCCCATACCTTGTATGTGGTCTCCCAGTTTGTGTCCCCGTCCCATACCTTGTGTGTGGTCTCCCAGTTTGTGTCTCCGTCCCATACCTTGTGTGTGGTCCCCCAGTTTGTGTCCCCGTCCCATACCTTGTGTGTGGTCTCCCAGTTTGTGTCTCCGTCCCATACCTTGTGTGTGGTCTCCCAGTTTGTGTCCCCGTCCCATACCTTGTGTGTGGTCTCCCAGTTTGTGTCTCCGTCCCATACCTTGTGTGTGGTCTCCCAGTTTGTGTCTCCCGTCCCATACCTTGTGTGTGGTCCCCCAGTTTGTGTCTCCCGTCCCATACCATGTGTGTGGTCCCCCAGTTTGTGTCTTCCGTCCCATACCTTTTGTGTTGTCCACCAGTTTGTGTCTGGGTCCTCCAGTTGATGCCTGGGTCCTTCAGTTGATGCCTGGGTCCTTCAGTTGATGCCTGGGTCCTTCAGTTGATGCCTGGGTCCTTCAGTTGATCCCTGGGTCCTTCAGTTGATGCCTGGGTCCTTCAGTTGATGCCTGGGTCCTTCAGTTGATGCCTGGGTCCTTCAGTTGATGCCCGGGTCCTTCAGTTGATGCCTGGGTCCTTCAGTTGATGCCTGGATCCTTCAGTTGATGCCCGGGTCCTTCAGTTGATGCCTGGGTCCTTCAGTTGATGCCTGGGTCCTTCAGTTGATGCCTGGGTCCTTCAGTTGATGCCTGGGTCCTTCAGTTGATGCCTGGGTCCTTCAGTTGATGTCTGGGTCCTTCAGTTGATGCCTGGGTCCCACTGTTAACCTATTATATATATATTCCCTGCAGTGCTCATTCGGTTGGCTTATTTATTTGTGTATTAAGCCTATTAACTGAATGAGAATCATGAGGCTGCATATTGCCTGTGTTCCTCCAGTCAGTGATGATCCATTACCTAAATTAGAGATGAAAATATGATTACTAAAGCTCTCCCATACAACTCTTTTTAATACCCAATATAGGAATTAGTACAAGTTAAGTGTGTATATTTACTGAGACATAGCGTCCTCTTTGCATAAATAATACTTTCCCATGCATACACATCAGTAGTGATATACTCTTGAGATTAGATTAGATTAGACCAACTTTCCCCCTACCTCTATGGGTTCATGAAAGGTAAAAGCGTGCAGAACTGTATTTCCACCTTTCTCATTACTCTTGAGAGCATGTACAAAGTCGCTCTTTTTCCGCTTGGTTGGTTGGGTTTAAAGGCTGTCGACTAAGACGAGGGTCATTAAAGCTGCATGTAACCTGTGCGTCCACCAGTCAGGGATACTTAAGTCCCTGAAACAGCGATTAAAGTAAGCTGTCAGTTTATGTACTCTGAAATATATACACTGAGAATTGTATATACCTCTTCGTTATTATAATATCATTTGTTTTATTATTTTTTTTACCCCTCATTATTATTATCATTATGGTTAATATATTTGTTAAAAAAAGGGGTGGGACTAAACTCGAATGAACTGGGGATCTGCAAGGAATTACGCATAATCAGTGTGTTCCACCATTACCTTGAAGTTTGGCGATGGTAATCAAGAGTGAATCTGGTCGGAGTAATGAAGCTGCTGACTCCTCTGTTTATTTTGCAGCTCAGGTTCTTGAGATCTTTCGTAGGGATTTGAAGTGTTTCTGTCCATTTTCTCGTTTCTCTCCTGCTTCAGTGTATACCTGGAGTTACCTGGAGAGAATTTCGGGGGTCAACGCCCCCGCAACCCGGTCTGTGATTAGGCCTCATGGTGGATCAGGGCTTGATCACCCAGGCTTTTACTGTTGGCCGCATATATGACCGTTGGCGATGACGTTGAGGTCTGTGTCAGGGGACCAATAAGCTCTTTTCAGTCGAGCTAGGAATGCGTTTCTGGTCGACTTCTTGTGAGACAGGGGTTCTTGCATGCTTACATATCGGTCACACACGACTCACACACGGACACCTCAGGAAGAGACGCTAGGCACCTCTCTCCATGAGATATGCCACTTTCGTTGTTGCGTTGGGTGCCACTGTCGTTGTGTGGGATGCCACTGTCGTTGTGTGGGGTGCCACTGTCGCTGTTATGTGGGTTTCCTAAGGGAACCTTACATAACAACGTTCACGATGGCTATCTCCGAAGGTTTTTGGCGCTAGAGTATACCTGGAGAGGGTTTCGGAGGTCAACGGCCCCACAGCCAAGTCTGTGACCAAGCCTCGCGATGGATCAGGACCTGATCAACCAGGCTGTTACTGATGACCGCACGTAAGCCCACGTACGAACCAGAGCCCGGCTGGTCGGGTACATATATTAGGTGCCTGTCCAGCGCCTTCATGAAGATACCTATTTGATTTAAAAATTCTGTGGCATCGTCTCTGGCACACTACGCTGGAGGGAGGAACTGTAAAATACAGCAGACCCAGGCGGGGGGATTAGGTACTGGAGGGAGTGCAGTGAGGGAGTGTGAAGCACAGCAGACCAAGGAGAGGAGAGAATAACACAAAAACGCACCTTCGTCACACACCAAAATTCTTACGTTGGCGTCATGAAATGGAATGAAACCAGGTTGAAATTGATCATAGTTTAAGTTGTACGAGCAGCAGCGTGTGTAGTTAGTAGACAAATACAATAACTCAGAACACTGGCGTGTGTAGTTAGTAGATAAATACAATAACTCAGAACACTGGCGTGTGTAGTAGTAGGCAAATACAATAACTCAGAACACAGGTTTGTGTAGTTAGTAAACAAATACAGTAACCCAGAACACTGATGTGTGTGTAGTTAGTGGATAATAGGGTCCCAAGATAACAATCTTGGGACCCTGACTCTTACTGTGCTGTCTCTTAGGGTGGTCATGGTGCCCCTCCTTTTCACCGGGGGATGTTGCATCTCCTGTCAAGTCTTTTGCTTTCGTAGGGAGTGATTGTCGTGTGCAGATTTTCCAAGTGTATATTACTATGTATCTTTTTCGCCTGCATTCCAGGGAATAAAAGTCAAGGGACTTCAAACGTTCCAGTAATTTAAGTGTTTTACTGTCCTTTTGCGTGCCGTGAAAGTTCTTTCAATATTCTCCAGGTCTGCAATTTTGCCTGCCTTGAAAGGGGCCGTTAGTGTAAAACAATATTCCAGCCTATAGAGAACAAACGATTTGAAGAGAAGCATCATTGGTTTGACATCCCTAGTTTTGAAGGTTCTCATTATCTGTCCAATCATTTTCCTAGCAGATGTGTTAGATACATTGTTGTGATCTTTGAAAGTGAGATCCTCGGACATTATCACGCATAGGTCCTTCACCTTACTTTCTCGCTCTATTGTGTGATTAGAATTTGGTTTATACTCCGATACAGTTTTAATTTCCTCAAGTTGTCCATAGAGGAGTAATTGAAATTTGTCTTCATTGAACTTCATATTGTTTTCTGCAGCCTATTTAAAGATTTGGTTAAGATAAGATAAGATTTCGTTCGGATTTTTAACCCCGGAGGGTTAGCCACCCAGGATAACCCAAGAAAGTCAGTGCGTCATCGAGGACTGTCTAACTTATTTCCATTGGGGTCCTTAATCTTGTCCCCCAGGATGCGACCCACACCAGTCGACTAACACCCAGGTACCTATTTGCTGCTAGGTGAACAGGACAACAGGTGTAAGGAAACGTGTCGAAATGTTTCTACCCGCCGGGAATCGAACCCGGGCCCTCCGTGTGTGAAGCGGGAGCTTTAGCCACCAGGCCACCGCTTGGAGACTTGCAGTGTCTTCTATGGATAACACTATCGTGCAAATTCGGGTGTCATTCGCAAAGGAAGACACGGTGCTGTGGCTTACATCTCTGTCTGTGTTAGATATGAGGATGAGGAACAGGATGGGAGCGTGTACTGTACCTTGTGAAATAGAGCTTTTCACTATAGCCGCCCCTGACTTTACTCTGTTTACTATTACCCTTTGTGTTCTGTTTGTTAGGAAGTTATAGATCCATCTACCAACTTTTCCTGTTATTCCTTTATCACGCATTTTGTGTGCTGTTACACAATGATCACACTTGTCGAAGGCTTTCTCAAAGTCAGTGTATACTACATCATCATTTTGTTTGTCCTCCAGAGAATCCAAGACCATATCATAGTGGTCCAGTAGTTGGGATAGGCAGGAGCGACCTGCTCTAAACCCATGCTGCCCTGGATTGTGCAACTGATGGGCATCTAAGTGGGTGGCGATCTTGCTTCTAGGAACCCTTTCATAGATTTTTGTAGTGTGGGACGTTAGTGCTATTGGTCCGTAATTCTTTGCAATTGCTTTACTGTCACCTTTGTGGAGCGGGGTCATGTCTGTTGTTTTTAGTGACTGTGAGATGACCCTTGTGTCCATGCTCCCTCTCTATAGAATACTTAAGGTACGTGAAAGGGGCATCTTGTAGTTCCACGAGTCTGGGCATGGGGAAGAGTGCATGGGCATGTTATTTATTGCTTTTTCAGTCTTATGGTGTTAGGATAATATCTCTCTCTCTCTCTCTCTCTTTAAAATTTTGAATTAACTAAATTTTGAGTTTCGGTCATAAAAAATTGATAATAATAATAATGAAATGGGAGACATATAACAAATGTTGTAAATGTATGGAATTTTAGATTGGAAGGCGGGAGTATGAAGGAAGTAAATGTGTTTAGTTATTAGGGAGTGGACTTGTCGGTAAATGGGTCTATGGAAGAAGGGAAAAGGTTGGACTTTATCCATAGAAGGAATAGGGAGAATGTACCAGAGTATAGTGGTATTAACGCTGTTACATGGGTGTGAAGCATGGGTTTTAAACGTTTCAGCTAAGGGGAGGATGGAAACAATAAAGATGTATTTGAGGGTAATGTATGGTGTGAATATTACGCAAAATATCTGGAACTTGAAGATTATAAGGTATGGTTTACCGAAAATATTATTCTGGGAACTGAGTAGGACTTGCTGAGGTGATTGGGACATTTACAGAGAGAGAGAGCAATTTAGAATGACTTGAAAAGTGCATAAATCTGGGGTGGAGGAAAAGAGGATTGGAGGGAGGGGAGAGGGGTAAAGAAAACTGAGTGCTAGGGACTTGGACATCCAACAGCACATTAGATAGGATTGAACGGAAGCGTTTATTTTTGTGGCTCGACATGCTATTGGAGTGTGAGCAAAATTAACATTAATGAAGGGTTTCGGGAGAAATTGGTTGGTCGGATTTCAGTCCTGGAGGTGGGGTGAGGATGTTGCAGTGCAAAGAACCATCTGAACCGTACTGTCAGCATTCCTCTGGCAAGAAGGTAGAAGAGGGAGAAAAAATAATAAGAAATGATAAAAAATAAAGTAATAGTTACGCCTCTACTTTAGTTGCGTTTTCTATAAATAAGTTATTTTCAATTTTCTTTAATATTAACAGGAATCACTAAACAAAAATATTATGCAACGCAAACTAACATATTTCTAATAAAATTGTGCCTTGTAGTTCAATTATATATAAAGTTCATTTAGCTAGTGTTAGGTAAAGAATCTATATATAGAAAGAAAAAAAAAACAGCATTCATGGCATAAAATGAGGACAAGAATGTTGAGCGCCATCTATTGTTCCATGAAGGGTCACGTCTGAATTCAGATTATTTGTGGAGTAACAACGTGTGTGGAGCTTCACGTTGTAGTGAGTTAAGCAATGTAAGCCTGGGCAAGGATGAGAGGCTATGGGTACCCCAGTTACTGCTACAGAGTTGTGTAACTGATCAAGTGTTTTATCTATGATCTTCCAACAGCACCAATTATCAACATCCAGCAGTACCCCCGGTATATAATAACCAGCAGCACCTCGTATCAACATCCAGCAGTACCTAATATTTACATCCAGCAGTATCCAAGCTACTTCCGAGGGCCTGCAGGAGCCAACACCACGTTATTAACAAAGGTTGCCTCCTGGTGCTGGTGAAAAATGGTCGTGCAGCTGACGTGGACCCGAGTTATATTTTGGTAAGTAAACCCATCCCTGGTGTATTACTCACACAGGATATATACACCCAGAGGTGTATGTATCTATCTGTAGTCCTGAGAATTTACTTTATTCTATATTTTAATGAATAAAGTACTATTAACTGGTGGAGAACAGGTTCCATGCAGCCTCAATGACTCTCGTACTACAATCGACTGGCATTAAACCCAAATAACCAACATGGGTATGAAATACATAATCTGATAATTCAGACACAAGCATCACCTTTATTTTTTATACCTGCTAATAAGATGTATGTTTTATCTTTTGATGATAATCCACTGACTGTGTTTATATTGTGTTAATTGCTGACTACCAAGTTTTATCTGGATTAATAAAATGGATGTTTTGGCATACTTATGTTATATGAATATTAGTTCATCCTATAATAGTCATTACAGAATATTGCAGAACTATTTTATTTCGTTGAATTATGGAGAACAATTTGCTCATCGATGTAGGTGGTGTGATTGTAATTATTATTGAATGCTTTGGCTATTTATTACTTTTATTTAATTTGCTGTACAAAAAAGGACTTTAAAGATACTCATTCTGAAACTTCGTGCCATTTTGTGCTGCATATTGCGCTTACATAAAAATTAGGGCTTTATTTAAAGGGAGGGATGGTAAATTTCTTTCGCCTTTCCCAGTAAAGTGCCTCGGAGATACTCTTATGGGAATGTTCGAATGACTACAGTTTTTTCACGGGATTAATATGCTTAGATTATTAAATAACCTTGAGGGTGAATGGCTGGAGGAGATGCGCAGTTTCTCTTGCGTGGAAGGTAGACTTTATTGATGCTTAAGAGAAAGTCTACCGAACACGGGTCTCCTGAAGGAGAGATGCCCTTATGCCGATGATGAGTTAAGATAAGATTTAGTTCGGATTTTTAACCCAGGAGGATTAGCCACCCAGGATAACCCAAGAAAGTCAGTGCGTCATCGAGGGCTGTCTAACTTACTTCCATTGGGGTCCTTAATCTTGTCCCCCAGGATGCGACCCACACCAGTCGACTAATACCCAGGTACCTATTTGCTGCTAGGTGAACAGGACAACAGGTGTAAGGAAACGTGTCGAAATGTTTCCACCCGCCGGGAATCGAACCCGAGCCCTCCGTGTGTGAAGCGGGAGCAGGTTAGCATTTTATCATGAATTTAATAATTAAAAAAGTCTCCCAGTAAGTAAGTTTATTCAGATATACACAAATACAGTTACATAGAATTATCATACATAGCAGCATATGTATAGAGAACCTAGGATAACCCATAAAAGTCAGACAGTGAGATATCGTAATTGTACTTTCCATATTACCCTCGCTTTCTTTGAACTGATTGAACGGGGAGCCACGGGCAGTAGAATTAAGCATTATTATAACAAGTTTAGTAGTGTGTGTATGAATTATTGTGACATTGGCAGTCGTGGTGTGGCTGAGATGAAGCTGACAGCATCCTTATTCAAAGTCCCCGTAAGTATTATCTTAACACTGCCAAATTCCATTAGTGAAATTATAAATGCTTCTATAAAACTTTTGTGTTAAATGCACATGCTTGTCTTCAGTGCTTGTACCCGTAGACCCTGATGTAGTCTTTCTTACTCGGTCTGGGGATTAAGACATCAGTAAGTAGTTAGTTTTCAGGTAGCACAAATACGTTAATAGAATTATCATACATAGCGGGATATGTTAGAGCCCTAGGATACCCAAAAAAGTCAGACAGTGATCTTATTTCCATTGGGCCCTGAGACTGGTTACCTCAGGATGGTATAACCCGTTTAGGGAAACAAACAGCCTGTGCGCTTACTTGCCGTGCCCGTAAACTCTGTTTCCACTTTATGAAGTTTCTGACAGTGGAGTTGCGCCTTCGGGTAGGCAATGCTGTCTTGAAAGGGAACTCTAACGGATATTCAGTGCTGTCCATTTTAGTCAATCAGTGGTCTTAGTTCTGCATTGCTCTGCAATTCTAGGTGAGGCGATGTATTCGGCTAGGGTCAAGCGAGCTGCACGACTTTGGTCAATGTGCTGCCCCCATTATAATCTCGTCACCCTTGGGTCATTTGTTTTAGTCAACGGATAAGCCTTTCCTTGTTCGGTTTGAAGGTCGTCTGGGGAATAATGAGCTTTGTGGGGGGGAGGGGGTGGTAATTACTTTTGGGATACGGGTAGTAATAATTTCTACACTATCTGCTACTGTTGACAACCCCTGCAAGCCTATTGACTCCCCAGAACCTAGTATCCCTTTCAGGCAGCTCCTTGTTGCTTGATCGCGGTACCGACTTTCTACGTGACAACCTCGATAGTTCTGACCTTTGCTCTACTTTAATAATATCTTTATTTCTACAAGTACATGTACAAGGTGACATGATCTCGGCATCTTCCACTGCGCGGCGAAAATTTTCGGATCATTCGCAGGTCGAGGGACAGACTGATTTGAAGCCATCACCCGTAAGATCTAGTCGCATATTAAACGATACTTCTACTGTAACGTACCTCTCGTCACATCCTAGGAAACACTCCAACTGGAAACTTTTCCCTACACGAAGTATTTTGAAGATCAACCTGGACAAAAATTCTTTTCCCTCTAGCCAACGACCCCTACGGATTACCTTAGAGACCACGATAAGAAACTAGCTATATCTGACTGACAAAACTTTCCATGCCCTCAAGAGTGGGCGGCTTACTGTCACTGTACATAATAGCTCGATTGGTAGCGCACTCAGCTCGCACACTGATGTCCTGGGTCGTTCCCCGGTACGAGCGGAAACATTAGGACGTGTTTCCTTAAAACACATTCTGTTCATGTTCACCTATTAGTAAAATAGGTACCTGGGTGTTAGTCGACTGGTGTGGGTCGCATCTTGGTGCAAAATTGATCAAATTCGCCCGAAATTCTCTGCTTTCTATATAGTAGTACGTCACTGACGTCAACTATGGTGTGCATATTGCACCTGTGGAATTTTAATTTATGATTATATTATTAACCGAATTGATTTGGAACTTCTTCAACTATGAAACTACTGGAAGCACAATGGTCAAGTTAGAACACACATTTTTATCAAACCACTGGCACTGGATAAGCCTAAGTCGGTTCCCGACAGCCGGGTGTGGCTCGTAACGTTGATTTGCGTGCAGCGACAGTAACACCTGGTTGATCAGGCTACTTCCACCAGGAGGCCTGGTCACACCGGGCCGCGGGGGCGTTGACCCCCGGAACACTCTCCAGGTAAACACTTGGGTTTTTGGCAGTCCTTTTCCCCAAAGCAGTTGGAGACAATATACTCACGATTATGAATCGGAACACGCGACTTTCACATGGATACCACATGGAGAAACATCCAGCACCTCTCTGTGAGGACTGCCAAGATGGTACTGTTAGTTCGCCACATTTTACTGTCCTATTTAACAAATACTCAAAATTTACTTCTGATATCTACAGTGCCCTGGCGCATTTAGCTTTATCTCTCTGCCAAAAGTCTCTCTTTCAATATATTAACTTTTACTTCGCAGAAATTTACCTATTACACTTCCACTAACCCCTACCATTGCACACTCCTATTCACAGAGCTGTATGACCTACACGGGCTTAGTACACATTTTGAATGTATTAAATCTGCCTGTATTTGCCATCTATTAGTCATAAATTGAAGTATTTTTATTTTAAAACATTTCTTTGCCGCAGAAAATGAATGGTGAAGCCATGGACGGACCAGCTCTTTTCTCCTTAAACTTTGTTAATGGAAGTTCCGGCAACACCACTTTCGTGCCCACAGCAGTTGAGATGGACAATCCAGTCGATACAACAACCTCCGGTAATAAATCTCTCGCTCCAGAAGTTTATGCAGCAGTCACTGTGTCTCCACTATCTGATGCGAGAAAGTTAAATGCCCCTGACGATACAGCTGTGAAGTCAGTGGTCACTGAACCTGGTTTTGGTTCAATCGACAGTATTGGAATGCCTTCAGCAGAGGCTGAAGATGTTAATACTACTCTGTCAATACGAGTTAATTTCAACTCTACAGACAGTATTATGAAACCTGAGACAAAAGATACTTTTAAACAAGTGAATAGCTTTCGCTGCTGTAATATTAGCTCTTTAACAACAGCAGGCACAAATGATTCTAATGCCAACAAAAAACATGAGCAAGGCACTGGAACAAGTGCCTGGAACGGCGTCTTTCCTCCTGGAGGTTCCAATACCACCACAAAAACCACCTCTGCTTCCAGTCATGTGACTCAGAGGTTTGTCATCCCCACGTTCCTGACAGTAGTCTTGACTGTACTACAAGCACTGCTGCCAGTAGCCAATATGGCCTTCTTTTACCCCGTGTATGCCACCAAGCTCAGAGATCTCATAATCTCCATTCTTGGACCCCAAGGTGTCCCATTAATTTTTGGCACTAATGGAGTTTTACACCTCATTGTTGATGTGATGAAATTATAAATTGTCTGACTCTTAGGGGTTTAGCGATTAGTTATGATTATATTATAAATTTATCTCTATTATAAATTTTGTTCCTCAGAATATTGGTAATAACATTTGGTAAGCACCGGGCCACATGTACATGATGATCTACCCTTCTCTTTAATACACGTATATAGGCTGTCAGCCCTTGATGGTGCTGTCATATAGTGCTTTTAATCACTACCGATAAAGGATTTTCATTTGAGGAAACAGGTTAACTGCTCTTCCTTCAGTCATATCTGATTACCTCTCATTCCTCAGCCTCTTTATGATGCCTCAAATACAAGGAAGGTGCTTAAATGAGTGGAGAGCTCTTGATTCGAGTAACTGGAGCTACCTTCTTCCTCGAATCAAACCATATTACCTCTCATTTCCCAGGCCTTTGCATGACCTACTAGTTTAACGCTTTACTTGGAAAATAACTATCCCCTATGGGCTTTGTGCTTCCTCAGGCATGTAATACTTTATCTGTACTGGTGGGATTTAACCTTTCAGCTGTATTTTACTAAGACTTCTTGAGAGAGGCTCCTTAATGCCGGTGAGTGGCTCTTGATCCAAGGAAATGAATCTGCTCACCTTTTCCTTGGATTGAATCCAATTGCCTGCTTTCCCTGGCGCTGTGTGACCCCTGTGGGTTTTGCGCTTCCTCCTTAAATACAGCACTGTAAGACCCTTTCGGTTTCAGGTTTCAACGTTCATCACTATTATTGAGGATAAATGGTTCAGACAACAGACAAGTTAATAAATTAAGACACATGTGCAACACTTGGGTATCTTTAAAGATGCCCAGGTGTTTCACATGTCTAATTTATCATCACTATTCCCCTAAATATAGTCCAGCGAGAGAGACTTCTCCCAGTGAAGGATCCACCAACGGAGGTTTCTTGATGCCAGGAATTGTACCCGTGTTCTCCTTCCTTGGATCAAACCCGACTTCCATTCCTTGAGTTCAGTGCATCATATGTTAATGTACTCCAGAGAGGGGGTTGAACCCCTCTCATCGCCTTCCAGTAAGGGAGTGGACCCCCCTCCCCTCATCTTTCAGTGAGAGAGAGATTCTGACTACACAGTTTGAGTTCTTGCAAGAAAATACATAGGAGGAAAATAGGACCAACATTTGGCGTTCTGTTATATTCCCTTCCACTAATACTGTCACATGAAGTAGCAGAAGGTGACTGACACAATGGTTGGTAAATTCGGTATGCATTAACTAAATTGTTAATGCATTGGTGTGTAAGTGAAACTCCCAACTTTGTTGCAAACTGACTTTTTAACATATTGACCTACTGTACCAACTTTGATTTAGATTTTACTCTTGCACTCTCCACTAGCCCCCCTATCCTTGAGCACTTCTACCCCTCACACTCTCCTACCCCCCCCCCCCCGCCCCTGCAGCTCTGTATATTTACAATCAAAATTAAGGCCTAAACCCACAGGCCCCCGTCAGGGGAGGTTCCTTGATGCTGGTGTGGAGCTCGATCTAGGGAATTGGATCAGTGCTGCAGTTCCCTTAATTGAGCCTGAATGCCTTCCATCCCCTTCCCCACAGGCACTGTATAACCCTCATGGGTTTATTATTATTATTATTATAAATCAAAGAACGCTAAGCACAGGCTATACAGCCTCATGGGTTAGCACTCATGATAGCCCCAGTCAATAGTGTGCAGGGCTTGATGTGCTGAAGATGTAACATGCGAGGATCAGAGACCAGTGAGGGTGAAAAGTATGAAAGAAGCAGTCAGTAAGGAGTGCTAAATGAAAATAAAATCAAAGTTTTTAAGGTGGTGTTGCTGACAGGGACACCATCAGTGGTGGGGCTGCAACTTTGTATACTCTTGACTGGAGTGTTTTTTCATATTGTGTAAGAGTAGATGTAATGGGAAATGGGAGGCAATCACATTTCATCTAATGAACAGGGATGAGGGGAATGTGGAGAGCAGTTAACCTGTTGTGGTCATGGTGACTGGAGGAATGGCAGGCACTCAGGCTTGGCTCAAGGAATTAGAATAAAAAGGAAGCACTAAACCCACTAGGGTCATAGTGCTGCTCAAGTAATTGGAACCCTACCCCCTAGTTATTGGTGTACAATTTCGGTTGTGCTGTATGTTTTGCAAAAACAAGAGTAGTTTTTGCTGGGTCCCTTGTGTGGATGATTAGGGCAACGAGCAGGTGGACTCTGCTGTGTGGTCAGCAGTGTGTGATCTTAGTTTCATATTTCTTGCTATAATCTCTAGCCAACTTTGCAACAATTAACAACAATGTTGGTCCAAGCTAATTCATACAAATTATGGGCTGTATAGCCCTTGTGGTTTAGTGCTTCTTTTTTTATTATAATACAAATTGTTTTCAATCCATGTACAGGATTCTGATAATCTTTTCATGGATGTTGTGGTTGAGACTATGCTTTCCCATCTGGCACACTAGTCTCACTCTTGGGTATCTCTTGGAGAGAGACCTGGTTCCTCAGAATTGCCAGGTTCCAATTTGTTTGCATATTCTATTGCTGACCTTTGCACCAGCGAGCATACAGAATTTACTTTAGACATTGACACATTTTCTTTATCTTCCTTCCTCACCTTTGACAGACTTCGTCTGATAGCAATAGATTCACTGTGCACACTATACTTTAGCACTTCACACTGCCCTTACTAACTCTTCCTCTGTTATACTCTCCACCCTCTAGTTTGATCAAGCATGTTATACTTTTAGCAAGAAGTGTGACCTTTGTGGGTTAATCACTTTGATAATGAATTTGAGCACAGGTCAAATTCCTAAGAGCCTTCATCAGCATCTAGCCACCTCCCTAGAAGGGGTATGGTCTAAGCTTAGGCCATTGAGTCAAGGGGGGAAAAATAGTGTAAGCAAGCCTGTGCTGTATGATCCTTTTAATGTTTAGTTTGTTTTAATAGGGCCATTTTGTTATCTAGGGACCCTCCTGCTGTATAGCCCTTGTGGCTTAGCACTGTTTTGATAATAGGGACCCTTCCTTTATGCTGAAAGATTGCTATTGGGTCATTAGGTAGATGGACCCAGGCCATGCACTCAAGTTTTAAACTTATAAGAAGTAAACTTTTAGTTAACGGGAATATACTTAAATATTTCCTTTTATATAGGATTATAACTGCAAGGCAGTTGTTGCCCAACTGTTCAAGGTTAAGTTAACTATCTTGCTTAAACAGCCCAGCCTCTTAGTATGAAAGGCCAATTTAGTAAGCCAAATTTAAAGAACTGAATTTCGTAATTTAATATTTTGTAATGTTGACACTGCAGTGTGGAACCTACATGAAGTGAATTCATGATTTCACACGAGGGCTATGTGCAGCCCTCAGGCTGGGGACCTCTGGCTGAAGAGAATTAAATGCCTTGCTAATTACACTTCAAACTCTTACCATAATCATGAACTTTGAAACACTATGTATTCTTAATTTTTAATTATTACATCCTTACAACTACTTGTAAAAAGTATAAACATTTGCACAATACGCACATGTAACATAATTCACTGGCATTACACATTCAAATCACAGAACATTAAAGCAATGTTTCAGTGCCAGAACACCAGCTATACAAACACTAGGGTTCTTCCAGTGCTGCCGATAAGTTTCATCATACATCCTTGATCCACGAGAAAAATAGTTCCTTTTGAATAGACTACGAAATATTAACAAATTCAAGAAATGAAGACTTGCAAATTTAGTCATTGTACCTTTGGTCTACTGATAAAAATAAATACACCAACCACGTGGGATATAAAAATCTATGAAACCTGATGCAGCTAACATTACAAGGTAAAGATGCTGCATAACTCCACTAAGCACCTCTTAATAGAGAAGCCATCAAATAATAACCAGATGAGAACTGGTAAACTCTAGATTCTCAAATAGAGTAATATCTCCAGTGCACACGCTATTCCCCTTTTCATCTATTTTCAATCTTAAAATAGTCCTGAGGTAGTGGCTTAGAAGAGTAACGTGCTCATGCCACCCATTTCACTCTGCTCCTTTACGAATATTTCAAAGTACTGGTAGATAATTGTTACAGCAAGCAAGATCCCTGAAAATTATGAATGTCATTACATAATGGAGGTCAGATTAAACTCACTTCATATACTCGTTAGTGTACCACTAATGGAGAGACTAAACGGGAAAAAAGTCACAAAATTTATTACAATAGCTTATGCAACATTGAATTTTACCTAAATATAAACTTAATACATTCTGGTTAAAATATATAATCAGTTATAGTCAGGTGTTTCATTATTCTCAAATCAGATATACCAACCTGTGCCAGACCCAATAGCTCCAAGGAAATCAGCTAAAACTGAAAGGGCACCAATGCAAAGACCACCAAATGCTGCAGCCGTCGGAATGTAACGGTTTAATTCGTGTATCATTGACTTCTCACGATGTCCACGCATGACCATCTGCTGCTCCTTCAGCTGCTTAGCAACCTGTTAAAGCAAATACTGTTGAAGGGAAACAGCCAGCTTGCAATTACATATGCTTAGTTTAAAATTGGTAAAATTAATGAAAGCTGGAAAAACTTACCTTGGAAGTATACATTGAACCAGATGGTTCAATATATACGTACTTGCAATATATACTAGCAAAAGTAACTAGACAAATTCATGGTTAGAGAACCATCCTCGGTCTTTGTAGTGAGCTGCAGGACAAACTGCACAATTCTGTGATCTTTAAACTTTCAACATTTGTTTGTGTACGATCCTCATCCTAACTTCACCTTGCTTCAACAGCCGCACAATCAAAACCTGACTTCAGTGTAAAATATACAGAAAAAGGCACCTTGCTCCAGTCATGTTACATTATGAAATTAAGGATATAATACTAGGGAATATCAGCAAAATCTACTGCTGCTAGTTTATTTTAGTAACTGCACGAAGATATATATATGAAATACTGACAAAATTATAATAAATTCTCACAAAACTTCACTCAATATTAAAGGATACTTACATCTTTAGCAGAAGAGCCAGACACTTCAATCCATGTCTTTGAGAAGAATGCACAAGATCCAAGCATGAAAGCAATGTAGATAACAGCATGGAAAGGATCTTCTAAAATGTGGCCAAATGATTCTGGTGGAGACATGTAATAACAGAGACCACCAACTGGGTAGGAGGCACGCCCAGGACCACCAGATCCAGTGTCTGCCCACACCCCAAGCAGACCCACAAAGAAGTTACCCTGGAACTTTATGGCCAGCATCTGAAAATAATTATAAAAAAAAAAAAAAAAAACTCAGGTACCACCAGTTTCAATCTGTTTAAACTATGAATTAGTTAAGTATATTCGACAATTTCAATCTGCTGTGGCATCCATAATTACAGCAGTTTTGCACAGAACTGCTGCATTACATGGTTTAATAAATTAAATTTAGAAACATGACAAACACTACAATCTTGAAAGTAACAGCTTGTTAAAGCATTAACATGGCTATTAAATTCATTGTTTTAATATGGGATAATTTACTAATTCATTCGGTGATTCTTTTTGTAAAATAGTAATGCATAAATTCGGCAGGTAATCATAACTAGTGGGACAAGCTTAAATATAAATTACCTATTACATGCCTTAATAAAACTATAAAAGAATAATCATTTGGTATGACCATAAATTTATAAAATTTACTGGTGAAAACATGAAGTGGTGCTGTTGGTGGTGGTGGTAGTATAGGTCATGGCAAAAATTTCAGCAAAGGAGATGAAGACTATGTACTAGGATACCATGGTGTATCACCCATAACTAGCTGCTGCATCTCTACTCTAGTATACAACAAGGTGTGGCAGCATGCCTATACTTTATGCTTGAGGGACTGACCACCTCCCACAGAGGGCAACTGAGCCTGTCAATACTATTACTGCTATTGCTTTAGTGCAGTTTTCACCTGTATCGTAGTGAATAAGCCTGTTACACAGACAAAATGCTTCAGCAATGCAGATACCCGAATGTTGCAAAGGAGTCTCATTCATCAACTTGTCTATTTTATACCATCAATAATGCGATTACTATGTAACTAGCGTTAAGTTGCACTATCGTAAAACTAATTTTTTTTACAATTTAATTAGATTGCAAGTACAGTGGACCCTCACCTAACGATATTAATTGGTACCCAAGAACGAATATCGTTAGGCGAGTTTTTTAGTGTTAGCCGAGGCAAAATGTTAGCATTAAAATGTAGCGTTAGGCGAATTTAACGTTATGCGATGCGTTCGTTAGGCGAGGGTCCACTATTTTAAAAATGAATACTATTATTTGTACATTAATAATTATAGTGTATGAAAATAAGTTTCACATATTAATCATGTTTCAACAGGCTGCTGGCCCTGCTCTAGTAAGAGGGCAGACTTCAAGTATTACTCTGTAAATATTAAGCTGAATTTGTTTATTTCAGTCTTCACCCAAACAACTATTTAAAGTTTCCATTTAAAGTACAATCAGTAATTAATATTGCAGATAAATTTCACTTACTAACCTGAGATATAATATAGAGATTTGAAACCAGTGCAGATTGGAGGATTATGGGAATATTGGAGGTGTAAAACAGCTTAATAGGGTATGACGAGTACTGGCCACGGTAACGAGCCGATTTTATAGGAAGATCCACTCTGAAGCCCTTGTAAATAATGAAAGGAACATTGCTTTAAACTCTGAAGAAGGCAATTCATATTTTTTTCCTAAATGTTTCACTGAAACAATACTTTCCCCCATACTGTGTTACCTAATAAGTGAAAAAATTTAATATGGGATGCAAAATCATAAACCCCTTTAATACTGAAAATACAAAATATCCATTTAGTGTTATTTTTGAAGTACACTTTTAGTATTAGATGAATTTACAAAATTGTTTTGGCTCTGCCTTATAAATTATCATCAAATTAAGCACTAAAATCAAAAGGTCATACACAATGTTTTATAAAGAATCATTAAATACCACCCATGCTGAGAAAAGATCATTTTCTTTAACCATCTCCATTCCCCCACACCCCCATTCAATTTTTTTTTTCCTAGCACGATGGCTGGCTCCCACAGAGGCAGGGTGACCCAAAACAAGAAAAACTTTCACTATCATTAACGTTCTTTTTAACGTTATACAAGGGTTACGCTGCATTTTTCCATCTTTATTCACTAACCACACTTCAGAAAAGCAAGTTTGTCTAAATACAGGTATTTAATAACAGTCCTAAATGTAAATTTATTTTCACAGCTTCCAAAAAATAGAGGGCTAAAAGACTTAATCGTTACAATAAAATACCCACCTGGAAATATATGACAATTCCAAAGATGAGGACTGTAGCCAAGAGATTGGTTAAATTGGGGAGATTCTGGCGATAGAAAGCCTCTCTCAGAGCGCGTACCTGTTAAACCAAGGGAAGAAAAAAAACTGAGGTTCTACAGCCTTACAAATCTGCTTACTGTACAAAGGCTTATGACTTTTCCACCGAAAGAAATATGGAACAAAAAAATTGTAATCTCAACAATTTCAGCTTAAGTTGAAATTCAGAACGTCAAATTTCATGCTTTAAATTTCTTTAAAATATTTTAATCAAGCAAACCAGCCTAAACTTTTAAAATACCTATCAAACCTTCTCCAGCAGTATAAGAAAACTATGAAGCTAAGAAAAAAACATTAATACTTAAGAATTGAAATTAATATCATACCTTGTCTTGTCTGGTAGCCAAAAGATGGAAGAGAGCAATAACAGCGCCTTCAAATTCTGTGCCACGTCCTGTATTAACAGTGGCAGGGGAGAACGCTTTCCACACAATTGTCTCGCATATGTTAGTGGCAATGAAAAGTGAGATGCCAGAACCAAGGCCATAACCCTGCAAAAGGCCACATTTCGTAATTTACTGACATACCCTAGATCTAATGTGCCATTTTCCAACATTGCAAAATAATTCAAATATAAACAAATGTTAGAACATTTTACCTTCTGCAGTAGTTCATCAAGCAACAGCACAATAAGTCCAGCAACAAATAGTTGGATAATGATAAGGAGACAAACTCCAGCACCCAGGTCTGAAGGGTCACCATACATGCCTGTCATCACATAGACTATCGCTTGCCCAATTGTAATCATCATACCGAAAAGCTTTTGGGCACCATTGAAGAGAGCTCTGTCCTTGGGAGTATCACCAACCTGTTAATCAAATACAAACTTAATAAGCTAATCTAAAAACAGACAGTTTACACTAACTTTATACAATCTGTTGTATACCAAGATGCATATGAATGTTTTTTGATAGGTTTTCCATATACATTTACTAAAAGTCAACAAGATCTTAAGCCCTATATTCACACTTCCATAAAAATCCAAGAATTTAATTAAATCAAGATTGTCAAACCAGAATTGCTCAGGAGAGTGCAGTGTTTACAGGAGTCCACAGCATTATGAAAATAAGCAAATTATAGTGGCTTACAAAATTTAAGTTACATTTTAATGCTTTCATTTTGCAGCTTTACTGCAAATTAAATATTTCTGTCCTAACTAACAAGGTTTCATACATGTTTAGAAATTATTTATTTTATTAACACACTGGCCGATTCCCACCAAGGCAGGGTGGCCCGAAAAAGAAAAACTTTCACCATCATTCACTCCATCACTGTCTTGCCAGAAGGGTGCTTTACACTACAGTTTTTAAACTATAACATTAACACCCCTCCTTCAGAGTGCAGGCACTGTACTTCCCATCTCCAGGACTCAAGTCCGGCCTGCCGGTTTCCCTGAATCCCTTCATAAATGTTACTTTGCTCACACTCCAACAGCACGTCAAGTATTAAAAACCATTTGTCTCCATTCACTCCTATCAAACACGCTCATGCATGCCTGCTGGAAGTCCAAGCCCCTCGCACACAAAACCCCATCCCTCCAACCTTTCCTAGGCTTACCCCTACCCTTCCTTCCTTCCACTACAGACTGATACACTCTTGAAGTCATTCTGTTTTGCTCCATTCTCTCTACATGTCCAAACCACCTCAACAACCCTTCCTCAGCCCTCTGGACAACAGTTTTGGCAATCCTGCACCTCCTCCTAACCTCCAAACTACGAATTCTCTGCATTATATTCATGCCACACATGCCCTCAGACATGACATCTCCACTGCCTCTAGCCTTCTCTTCGCTGCAACATTCATCACCCATGCTTCACACCCATATAAGAGCGTTGGTAAAACTATACTCTCATACATTCCCCTCTCTGCCTCCAAGGACAAAGTTCTTTGTCTCCACAGACTTCTAAGTGCACCAATCACCCTTTTCCCCTCATCAATTCTATGATTCACCTCATCTTTCATAGATCCATCCACTGGCACGTCCACTCCCAAATACCTGAATACATTCACCTCCTCCATAATCTCTCCCTCCAGTCTGATATCCAATCTTTCATCACCTAATCTTTTTGTTATCCTCATAACCTTACTCTTTCCTGTATTCACTTTTAATTTTCTTCTTTTACATAACCAACCAAATTCATCCACCAACCTCTGCAACTTCTCTTCAGAATCTCCCAAGAGCAGTGTCATCAGCAAAGAGCAACTGTGACAACTCCCACTTTATGTGTGATTCTTTATCTTAACTCCACGCCTCTTGCCAAGACCCTCGCATTTACTTCTTTTACAACCCCATCTATAAATATATTAAACAACCACGGTGACATCACACATCCTTGTCTAAGGCCTACTTTTACTGGGAAATAATCTCCCTCTTTCCTACATACTCGAACTTGAGCCTCACTACCCTCGTAAAAACTCTTCACTGCTTTCAGTAACCTACCTCCTATACCATACACCTTATATAATTTAAAATTCAAGATCAGCATTCATAAAAGATATTCTTTTACATTACATCCTAGCCAAATTCATGATCATACTGTCTTAACCACCACCAATAATTATGAATTGCTATTTACAGCAATCATGTGCAAGTCACAAATAAAGCATGATTTTAACATGACTATATATTACCGCTGACCATATTTTTAAAATTTGCCACTTGGCTCAGACTTGAGACTACTACATCATGCCCATTTAGTCATTTTTCTAATTCCCAAATATGCCTCAAATTATGAGACTTAAAGTCTTCAAATGTTATGAAAATGTAATATCTTTCGGAACTGCTAACCTGCTTACCTACCTATAACAGACCATAACTGTTGAATACAAAATTGTACGAGCACTTCAATTTTAAAACCTCTGAGAACATTTAACCCTTTGCCTGGGTGGCTTAAGTTACTAGCTGTAAAATAAATACCTCGTGTGAATTTGGTCTTTTATGAATTACGTTTTAGTTTCCTGCAGAAGTGTACACGAGACAAAGATCCTGAATTACGTTAAAGATTTAAGTTATATGATGACCTGTGTATCAAGTAGGAAATTTACAAGCAGAAAATTATTTTGAGGTGAAGTCCAAGAGAATGCCAAGTCCCTTCATATATCCAGAATAGTTAAATTTTACTAAAAGACTAATTAGCCATAGGCACATCCAGACCAAATTATTTTCCAAAGATCAAGACTACCAATAAACATAGCAGAACCTTTCAATGAAATCTAATAAAAATGTTTTCCTTTGAGGATGCAAATGGAAGTTTTTTTCCCATTCAATTGCCAGGAATTCCTGTTACTGTGTACTGCCAGTCAATTTCAGTATAACTAAAATACTAAAAGAAAGAATATACAATACTGATTTCCCTATATCAAAATATATAATGCGTGCTACATTATCAATTAGCAGCAACTGAGCAGTGTAGATAAGGATTTTAAACCCTCACACAAGGTTGAGAATGTGCCAACAGGTTTTCACATCTTTGCAAAGAGGAATATGAATAACGACACCAGAAAAGAAAATAAAACATCAAAGTATATACTAAGAGATATGGGTAATTGCTATGATCTTAGGTCTATTACATATTTTATACCACACCAAATAGAAACCTTTTTTAAAACACTGAACTGTGATTATGAATAACCCTAAACTCACCTCTATTATTTTAGCACCTGCCAACAGCTGCATGATTAAACTGGAGGTGACAATAGGAGAGATACCCAGTTCCATGAGTGTACCTCTGTTACTAGCCAGAATCACACGAATCCAGTAGAAGGGATCTGCAGAGTCCGAGCTCATGATTCCAAATAGAGGAATCTGGAAAAAGCACAAAATGAGTAATACAATATACACAGTGAATGATGCAGATTACACAAGGCTTGCATGAAAGGTACCTATACATTAATGAAAATGCACATTCAAAAATAATTCAGCATTCTCCTAATGAAAACCATTTTAATATGTTTTACATACGGTACACAGTTTCCTTACATCTGCTGCCAATGTTGGGTAGGTAGGTTAAAATTTGAAGATCATTTTGTCCATGTACATTCAATGTTCTTGGCAATTAAGAAAAACAAAAACATCAAGTTACATTTAACAAAGGCAATTTAGCTTAATCATAGAAAGATTCAACAAGCCTAAAAATGTAGGGTTTTAATTGGCTTAATTTATATTACTCACCTGGCAACAAACAAGGAAGATGAATAGGGTAATGGCAGTCCATAGCACCTTTTCGCGGAACTGAATCCTTCGTTCTGGCTTTTGTATTTCTGGCAGAACCGCACAGAACGGTTTTATCACCTCGAGGAATTTGACTGAAAGAAATAACTGTTACAACAAAAATCATGCATTAAATATATCTTTATATAATACAAGATATTAAAAAAATTAAAAGGTACAAAACATTTTAATAATAAAAAAAGTGTACTAGTTTGTTTTACCTATTTTAAAAATAAAGAAAACACGTTATACTCTTAATTTTATTATTAGTCATATACTGTACAGAATTTAATTTACAAGGAGTCTATAATTTTATATAACTAAAATTTTTTAATACTTCAAAACATTTTTACAAAAATTACTGCACATTACTGTAATAAAATGAACAGATTATCAAATACATTAGTTTTCACAAGATTTATCACAATGAATATTACATGTGGAAGATCTGGCTGAGCTACCCAGGTAATGCTGAATTTCAGCTGATGACCACAGGCCAATCTCAAAACTTTGAGTACATTAAAACCTTAGCTGTGCTCCATGAATAGTGTAATCTATACAACGTTTTGGAAACCCTGGGATATTATCTTTAGTAATGTTGTGCAAACTTCCCAGATTACAATCATGGGGAAACTTCAAATCCATGAGAGTCAAGGTAATTCATGGAAAGGGAGGAAAGAATTCCTTTGATCAAGAGCCCCCTCCTCCCACCAGCAAAGCACCTTCCATGAATGGGGGAGGGCCAAAAGATAACCAGTCTAGTTGCCAGTGTATGGGCACAATATAAAGTTCCTATAACCAACAGTGGTGGAGGACAAAAGCCCAATTGTTTATGTTGCCAGGGAAAACACCAGATAGTAATCAGATTGGCAGAAACCTGTGGAAGACGGTAAAGCCGTGAACTACATACAGTAACATGCTGAAACATCCCCAGTTCAATTCAACACCTTCCTTTCCCTCCCCCTTCCTCCCCACTTGTTAACACACTCCATCTAAATTTTGAGTATCAGTATAATTAACTTGAGATGTTGAAACAATTTAAATGCTACATCGAGTAACCTCTTAAGGAACGTAGCAACGATTCTATAATGTTGGGGAAGTGTTAAACCCAAATGTCCCACACAGAACATTGGGAATGAGAGGTTAACAGGTGTAGATGGGGGTAGCCAGGCCCTGTGGCCTGGCACATGCTGAGGGTCTGGGTTTGATTCCCAGCAGGGGTAGAAACATTTGACAGATTTCCTTACACCTGTTGTCCTGTTCACTAAGCATGTAGGTACCAGGGTGTTAGTTGACTGGTGTGGGTCGTATCCTGGGGGACAAGACTGAGGATCCCAATGGAAATAAGACAGTCCCTCGATGACACACTGCCTTTCTTGGGTTATCCTGGGTGGCTAACCCTCTGGGGTTAAAACTCCGAGCAAAATCATATCTACTTCAAATCCAGATCCCTTAACATCAAGACATCACCTTTCGAAGGGTCGTACATACACTAATATTTCATACAAATCATTCAAAATTGTTAATTCTAATAAATAAACTAAAAACCCAAATTTGCACTGCCACATTACAGCCATAGGGACTCAAATAGCCTATAAGAATGGGAGGTATCCAGGTCAGGTCCAATGCCTTGGATCACAAGCCCTTAACTGGAACCTTCAGGGGTGTATTGCCAAAATCAAGGAAGCTTCAATTTGAAAAACTGCCACATCGGAGGCCAGGATGGAGTCAATAACAGGTAAAACAGCTGCAACAAAATTCTACATCCATTTCTGGATAACTTTTTGTTGTTTCTAGTTATTAACCATTTATCAGCATGTCAATCATTCAACGAGACTAGCTACAACGACCACTGGGGTCAAAATAACGGTAAGCAATCGGACTTTAAATTGGTGGTTCCAATTCCTCTGATCAAAAGCCTTCTAATAGTATCATTGCATCTCCTTTAAGGAGTTTCAACATTAAAATAGCCAGCAACAGCAGCATCCATAACCCTGGAAATGAGAGCAAAGGCTCGAGGCAGCAGTGACTACTTAACTTTCACCTGCATTTTTATTTCTCACACTTTTGTAAATTCACTATAAACAGTAATATCAACGGTGGAAATACGCCATTAAATGCACCTGGAACACCGTAAATACGCCACTGAGAGCACTACACACCAGGCCCACCTCCATTATTTACTTCACATTATTATTATAATAAAAAAGAAGCGCTAAGCCACAAGGGCTATACAGCGCTGCTATTTACTTCACAGCTGCAGTCGATACACAAGACCCGGCAGTGATGACAGCACGGAGACAAAATTCATATTAATAACAATATTCACTATAAAACCTCGAACTGGCAGTTCATATCACACCAGAAATGGGGAAGGAAGCTTTCTCAATAGACAAAAATGACAGGTAAACGTACTCCCCATGGTGAGAGTGAGGTGGTGTGGTGCACCAGCAGCAGGAGTGTAGCAGTGGAAGGCAGCGAGTGTGTGGTCGCTGCTTCACTGCGGCGGCAGCGGCGGCGGTGGTGGTGGTGGCAGACACAGCACGCGACGTGTCACACCTTCCCCAGCATGCCGCCAGGGGGCTGCCACCAGCGTCACTTCCCCTCCGCCATCATGACGTCTCTCACGTCACTTCTCCTCCGCCATCGCTACGTCATACATCTGCACTGCCATCTCCTCTGCTGTTCCCTCTCTGTTTCCTTCACCATGGCAAAGCAAAAATACGTGTCAGCTGCATTTACCGACTCGTTGCTCATGAAGTCATTTATCTATATAATAGAATTTATTTATATTTCCTAACTACTTGTGGCATAAACCATAACCTAAGAGCAAAGGTGCAACTAAAAAAAAAAAAAAAATTGATTCACCTGTGTCGACGTTTACACTTTTTTTTTACTTATTATTATGGCTATGACTTATTGTATAGGTGAAAACAGTTTATAATAAATAAGATGAACATGTTAATTCCTAGATATAAATAATAAATAAATTTTAGCCTCGTTCTTCATTCATTTATTTGTCAAAAATAAAGCGCTAAACCGACAAGGGTCATGCAGAGTTGCATCCATTTATTTAAAACAACTTTTTAGTGAATAGTTAAAAACCTTAAAGATCTATTTAAAAATTGAAGGAAGATCAGAGATTATTACACTGGTTAACGACGATGACGGGGCAAATTACATTAATATTTTTGTACAGATTATTATTATTATAATCAAGTACAGAATTAATAAAATTTGGTATAGCCATATTGTGCGGCAAGTTATTTTCTACACTGAATATACGGGTTTAGCGCTTAATTTGATTATGTAGTAATAAAATTACGTGAATGCTGTGATATATACATTTAAAAATGTTTAGATTAAAAATTGTAATACCTATCATAGGATTAATTAAGCAAGTTTTTTTTCACGTACATTATAATAATCAAGGAGGAAGCGCTAAACCCGTAAGATTATACAGCGCCTGTGGCGGGGATGTGGAAGGTATTTAGGCTTAATTCAGGGAACTGGAGCACAGATCCAATTCCCTAGATCAAGAGCCCCTGACCAGCATCAAGGAACCTCCCTTCAGGGGTTATTATGTACAGGAGCACAGTCATACACAGTTATGCGTATAGGCTACCTAGGATAACCGAAAAGTCACTGACTTATTTCCATTAGGGCCCTTGACTTATTTTTATCCACGATCCAAGAAAGGGAAGGATAGGATCAAGTCCTTGGACCAGAAGCTCTTTACTGGCATCAAGGCACACACTACAGTGCTCTCAAACCACCTACACTGCTGCAGTAATCAGGGCACATCTACCTAAGTTCCCCAAACATTAAATTCATGGGGGAACGTTAAACCCACTGAGGTCTGCTTTGGAAATGGCAAATGGGAAGGAACCAAATTCAATCCAAGGAAGGTGAGGTTATGTCCATGGTGGTTCTCCCAGACTTAGGAAGGTTAATTTATTACAATCATGGGGAAGCACTAAAGCCTTAGGGATCATAGTTAGCATAGCTCAATGGGTAAGTGAGCTCATACTGCACCTGGGAAATGGGAGGCAATCATGTTCAATCACAGGAAGAGAAGGACATGTACCATTTCTTGAATCCAGAACCCCTCACCAGCATCAAGTAACTTCACTCTAGGGGATGACCAACATTAAGCAAAACTACTTTTTCAGCAGAACTTCAATGGAGCAATCCTTCAGCTAATGATGGGACTAGATGAGCATTATATAGGTATTAACTCTCTTTGTATTAACAAGCAAGGGTTAGTGCCTAGGGAATAGGAGGTAATCATTCTCAATCCAAGAGGGCAGTTCAAATTCCTTGAAGCAAAAGCCCCTAGCAGCATCAAGGCATCCCCATGGAAAGTAATGTGTAGACTATGCCTACCTGTGTTTCCCATTATCTGTCAAAGGGACTACTGGGAAGCAAGTGAAGGCAGGGGCTAGTCACAAAAGTAATAGACACAAAGTGCTAAATGGATGAAGGTGAACAGGAAAGAATGCAGGGGAGTTTTACATTTCCAGTCTCTAATTCCTAAATCTGCAGGCAGCCACCAGCATCACTTTTACTGCAAAGTTATCAAACCTCATTTGAGTGGCACAATAGCTACCACTGCAATGCAATGGGATAATCACAAGACATCTGGATTATTTTTTAAATTCAATCCTTGGAATCAAACAGGTAATCACCAGAAAGAGAGATGACTTCCTTTAGTAAACTTACCTCTCCCCTTCCCAAACAAACTGCATAAACCCAATGACTGATAGAATACTTAACAGGAAGGGTGGGAAAGGCACTACAAATGGGGCAGAAAATGAAGATGAAAACTTCCACAATACTGAAAAGGAGTGCTTTTTGAGGGGCTCACCAATGATGCACATTGCCCACTAGGCCTTAATGCCATGGGTAAGTTCAACTCCTAGGGAAGCAGAAACAAAGTGTACAGAAGTCTACATGCATGGTCAACATACTGAAGGAGCACAAGTTGAGATGACTATTTAAAATCACCTGCCTGCCCACAGAGGGGTATATCTTACAATTTTTATAACGAACTATATAAATTTATATTATCTTAATCTTCCATAAATTCCTATCAGCACAATACTGTATATAGGTAGATTTCAGAAATATTTCATATGGAAAAATGACAAAGGGAAACAGTGTTTATGTTTATTGAATTATATATTGGTAAATATAGACTGTACTCTTATAATCAAAACTGTATTCAAGGAATACAAAGCAGTGCAAGGCACAATATATTTGAAATGATAAATTAAAATAGGGGAATAAATAGAAATTCATATTCTAAACTGTCATACTATAGAACAAAAAAATGCTAATTCTGGTAATTTTACCCTTTTATAAGTTCACATAATGTTACCTATATAATTTGGTCATGAAATTATGATTATTACAATCAAAACAAGAGCTAAACCCACCATGAAATAGTGAATAATGGAAACTTTCAACAAGTTAATATAAAATGTACTTGGGTAAATTTATAACGCATATCAAATGATGTATCAATTTCTTTAATTTGTAATATACAAAGCAGTTCACCATGACTACAGTACTTTTCTGATAAAATAAAAACTATTTTGACTAATACATGTACCATATATAATTATGAACACAAACATTTCGTAACATATTCAATAAAAAAAAGTCAACTTAATGGTCCCAAACCAGTTTTATCCCTTAACAATAGGTACAAACAAAAACATATTAACAAAGTATCTAAACATCAATACAATTACCATCTATGTTCAAAAATGCAATTTCCTATAAAAACATGCAAAGTTATGTTTATTTTTGAATAAAATAGCTACCAGTATGTTTCATTCTATGTCTTATGATTAAGGTGTTATTACATCTGTCACATACTTTTAAACTTGCAGTGTTTATAAATATTTCAGATCTGTCTCAATTTCAAATGTAAACTAAATCTTCACATTACATCAATATTAAATTTTAAGCAATTCTACAAGCTTCATTAACTTACAATAACCTGAAAATTTTAAATATTAACTACAGTGTCTAAATACAACATTGCTCTTTTCTATTTCTCAAAAATAAGCACATGGAGTTGCCTGCATACAGTTTGCAAGATAATTTTAAGTTTATTGCACCTAAAACTATCTATCCCCTTAACCAAGATTCCAAAATCCGAAAAAGCATCCTGACTGACCTTTGCTCTCAAGTGCAAAAGATAAATATTTTCATGACTCAGACATTCATGTATATCACGATCTGTCCCAGCTGCCATCTTCTGTATATATTAGCTGCAGAGCAAAATAAGAACTCACATTCTAGACTCTACACTGAGTTAATGTTTCATAGCAACAAGGAGAAAAGGATTATATTATTAATACATACATGAAGCTTTAATAACAACTTAAATTCATTCAGATATAGAATACTTGTAATGTTCATCCAAGATTAATTTATGTGATAAGTTAATCAGAGAAAACTGTACCAAGATAAAAGAAAAATAGCTCTCAAGCCTTTTTTGACCCAATGTATGTTACTTCTTTGCCAGTTTTCTTTAAGGTTTCGGTCAATTCCTCTGCAGACAACACACTTGTAACTACTACCTTCTTTGTTGGTAGATCAATATCCACTTTTGAAACCTTATCTGCCAACATAAAGATGCATTAAATTTGCAAGAGATTTTATGTTATCCATGTTCAACCAAGGAAGCAATCAAGAAAGTTCAATGAAATAATAGCAAACAAAATAGTAAGACCCTTAGACCCTTATATAAATGAAAATCAGGAAAAAAGATTTGAAATCACACAGAATAAAGTGCAATTTAAATCGAGGATATCTGTACCAATTTAAAGAAAATTCCAAGGAATGAATTGAGCAAGTTTTGGTCATGGAGAATATGACTGATCAGAGGTAAAATGCTCTACTAAACTAAAGCTTTGACACACCAAGTACCACAGTTAACAAAAGTAGTAAAATCTGAATGAGGACCATTATTTACTTGGCTCCTATTTCAAATGAAGCTGGATGAAAGGGTAGCCTGTGGTTCATGTAGGCTTCCCTTATTTTCCTTAATGAATGTTTTTCAGGTAATTTTCTTATACACAGTACTGTAATATATAATATGAATTAAAAAAGTATAGAACCTCAATAAGCTTCAAGTCTGGAAGAATAATAGCAAATTTAATTGAATACATGCAACAATAAACGTAAATTTTAAGCTTTACAAATGAAGGATGAACTAAATATTGACTATATAAATACGTATAGATAAATCTAATTGCAAATGGGATCTAATTGCAAATGCCGAGTATTTCAGGCAAATTAGTTCAGCGTCCCACACCAGCCAACTAATGCCCACCCAGGTACCCATTTTACTGATGGGTGAACAGACAACAGGTGTAAAGAAATATGCCCAATGTTACTACCCTGGCTGGGAATCAAACCCAGACCCTCGCCGTGTGAAGAGAGAGCTTTAGCCACCAGGCCACAAGATAGATTACAGTAAATGACTATTATCCTGTTTCTCCCTCATTGCATGGGAAGGTACATTAAAACGCTCTTACAGTGAAAGTACAAATTATTCAAATTAAAATATTCTTACAGTGATGTACACATCATTATTCTAGGTTACTTATTTTAGTACAGCGACCCTCGCCTAACGTTGGCATCACATAACATTAAATCCGCCTAGCGATACATTTTAACGCAAAAATTTTGCCTCGCCTAGCGCTAAAAAACTCGCTCAACGCGGTTCGTCAGAGACACGTCCATGTGCGGCCTGAGCCAGCCTCACTTGTTCCGCCGGTGGCATTGTTTACAAGCCAGCCTCCACGGTCACATCCAAGCATACAATCGGAACATTTCGTATTATTACAGCATTTTTAGTGATTTCACCTGCAAAATAAGTGACCATCGGCCCCAAGAAAGCTTCTAGTGCCAACCCTACAGGAATAAGGGTGAGAATTACTATGGATATGAAGAAAGAGATCATTGCTAAGTATGAAAGTGGAGTGCGTGTCTCCAAGCTGGCCAGGTTGTATAGTAAACCCCAATCAACCATCGCTACTATTGTGGCCAAGAAAACGGCAACCAAGGAAGCTATTCTTGCCAAAGGTGCAACTTTGTTTTCGAAACAGAGATCGCAAGTGATAGAAGATGTTGAGAGACTTATTGGTGTGGATAAACGAAAAACAGATAGCAGGAGATATCATTTCTCAAGCGATCATAAGTGAAAAGGCTAGGAAGTTGCATGAGGATTTAATTAGAAAAATGCCTGCAACTAGTGATGATGTGAGTGAATTTAAGGCCAGCAAAGGTTGGTTTGAGAGATTTAAGAAGTGTAGTGGCATACATAGTGTGATAAGGCATGGTGAGGCTGCCAGTTCGGACCACAAAGCAGCTGAAAAATATGTGCATGAATTCAAGGAGTACATAGACAGTGAAGAACTGAAACCTGAACAAGCGTTTAATTGTAAAACAGGCCTGTTTTGGAAGAAAATGCCAAGCAGGACCTACATTACTCAGGAGGAAAAGGCACTCCCAGGACATAAGCCTATGAAAGACAGGATTACTCTGTTAATGTTTGCCAATGCTAGTGGTGATTGCAAAGTGAAGCCTTTATTGGTGTATCTGAAACTCCCAGAGCATTCAGGCAAAAGAATATCCTCAAGGCTAATTTGTGTGTGCTGTGGAGGGCAAATAGTAAGGCATGGGTCACTAGGGACTTTTTCTATGACTGGTTACACCATGCATTTGCCCCCACTGTGAAAAATTACTTAATTGAAAAGAAATTAGACCTTAAGTGCCTCCTGGTGTTAGACAATGCCTCTGGTCATCCTACAGACTTGGCAGAGCGACTTTGTGGGGACATGAGCTTCATTAAGGTCAAGTTTTTGCCTCCTAATACCACTCCTCTCCTGCAGCCCATGGACCAGCAGGTCATTGCAAACTTCAAAAAACTGTACACAAAAGCTCTGTTTGAAAGGTGCTTTGTAGTGACCTCAGAAACTCAATTGACTCTAAGAGAGTTTTGGAGAGATCACTTTAATATCCTCAATTGTGTAAACCTTATAGGTAAGGCTTGGGAGGGAGTGACTAAGAGGACCTTGAACTCTGCTTGGAAGAAACTGTGGCCAGAATGTGTAGACAAAAGGGATTTTGAAGGATTTGAGGCTAACCCTGAGAAGCGTATGCCAGTTGAAGAATCAATTGTGGCATTGGGGAAGTCCTTGGGGTTGGAGGTTAGTGGGGAGGATGTGGAAGAGTTGGTGGAGGAGGACAATGAAGAACTAACCACTGATGAGCTGCTAGATCATCTTCAACAGCAAGAGGCCACACCTGAGGAAACTGCTTCGGAGGAGGGGAGAGAGAAATTGAAGAAGTTGCCTACTTCAAAGATTAAGGAAATATGTGCAATGTGGCTCAAAGTGCAAACCTTTATGGATGAAAATCACCCTCAGACAGCTATTGCAAGCCGTGCTGGTGACTATTACACTGACAATGTTGTGAAACACTTTAGGAAAGTCATAAAGGAACGAGAGGTACAGACCTCTATGGACAGATATGTTGTGCGACAGAAGTCCAGTGACTCTGAAGCTGGTCCTAGTGGCATTAAAAGAAGAAGGGAAGTAACCCCGGAAAAGGACTTGACATCTCAAGTCCTAATGGAAGTGGATTCCCCTTCTAAACACTAAGACCATCAACACTCTCCCCTCCTCCCATCCCATCAATCATCACCAGATCTTCAATAAAGGTAAGTGTCATGTAACTGTGCATGTCTTCTTCAGTTTGTGTGTATTAAAATTAATATTTCATGTGGTAAAAAAGATTTTTTTCATACTCTTGGGTGTCTTGCACGGATTAATTTGATTTCCATTATTTCTTATGGGGAAAATTAATTCACCTAACGATAATTTTGCCTAACATTGAGCTCTCAGGAACGGATTAATAGTGTTATGCGAGGGTCCACTGTAATCAATATAAAAACAAATCAAGACATGTTACAATACATGTACTTAACAAATGTGTTATAGAATTACTGTAAGAGCTAAAATTATAAATCTAGCCAAATTCATACATATAGTTTAACAATATGATGCTCACCTCCAAGCTTTCCAAGCACACGCTGTGCAGCTCCAGAACACCCTTCACAAGTCATCTCCAAAGTAAATTCATGCACCTAAAATATTTAAAAAACCATACTGTATTAATACTACATCAATCCATCCTCTAAGGTTAATATCGCACTATCTCTAAGAAACTGAATTATCTAACTATTTTCTTGTGTTCCCAGTGAATTCCCACTTTCTGTTGATTTTTTTTTTTTATGGCCTGAACATTTTTTTTTTCATTTCTTGGAAATGTGGTATGTAATAAACGATTATTTTATGTCAGTATACAACTGACATCAGGTTAAGTTATATGAATAAATAACAGGGTTTTATAAAAAGCCCCTTGTTATGCAGAGCATTTCAGGCAGTCTTGAAATTAACTTTTAATTACTGGATACGTAGACAATTAAGTTAATTTACTAGAATACTATGAGTTATGAAATTTTGAGATCTTATGTAACAATCTGGCACGTGTATTGGTGAAAACTGAGGATGGAACCAGTATGTTGAAAAAAAAAAATGCTGAAACTGATTGGTAATAGTGAGAACATTACCATGAATGTTAATATGATTCGGATCAATAGGATTGCTACTGATACATCATGTGACAACATAATTGATCTAAACAAGATCTAAGTCAGCTTCAGAAGTGCTTTTAACTACATCTAAAGCAGGTGTCTGAAGAGGAATGTGTTGGATGTGGTGCATGTGCTGTATGCTGAGCAAGTTGAGTCTTTTAAACAAAGGAAGTGTATGTTGTCTGGGACCTAAATGGGCAATTCTAACAACCAATTTCTATTGGATAGAAATGGGTTTAAGGTGATTTGCTGTAGTATATATATTACCAAGTACAAATACTGTCAGGTAAGAATAGATTAGAGATTAGTACAGAGTGATTAATGTTGATTGGGGAACACGTAATTTTTTTATAGAATACCTAGTTTTGGGAATTTTCTTTGATATATATTGATGTAAGTGTTGAATTTCAGACTGAAGTCAAAGTGTATCCCTAAGGATTTTTCCAAAGCTACATAAGAACTAATTTTAAGTTGACGTGGGTATTTTAGCTTTATTCTCAAACATGCAGAAGGTCTTGTTAATACATAAAGTTGGTTACCATCCAGGTAGAAATCTTTACGAGCTCCTAATTGACACTGTTGTTTGGACATTTGATAAATGTTGGGTCACCTGCAACAGGACTAGTTTAAGTTCCTGGGAGGTATTTGGTAGGTCACCGATATAGGTGAAAAATAAACGAGGGTCTAGGACACTACCCTGAAGAACTCTTATGCTGACAGTTTCAGTTGATGAGGATGTCATCGACTGTCACAAACTGGCATCTATCAGAGTGCTTTGACTGCGTAAAAGTGAGCATGACCTCTGGATAATAAACATATTAAACTGATACCATAATGCTCTAGGTTCAGCAGCAAGATGTTGTGGGTTAGTGTCAAATAATTCTCTGTGCCGGACTTAGGAAGCCACTTGTTGGTGAAGTTTCCTCAATAAAGATACTAAAACATTGCAGAAGTGTCTAGTTCTTTAACTTGTCAGTTACCTAAAGCATTTACATCGTAACTGACATAGCAACATTTAACAAAACACACACGAGGCTCAGCATTTTAAGTTAAATGACAGGAGTTATATAACATATAAACAAAACTGAGTCAAATATTTTAAGTTGTTAACTGAAGGAAGGTGCCATTTATCACATCAACCCTCCACATTAATCATGGGGAAGCATTAAGCCCGTAGGGGGAGTCAGCGCTTGGGGAATGGGAGGTACTCAGATTTGATCCAAGGAAATAGAGGGTAGCTCCAGTTCTCTAGATCAAGAGCCCTTCATCTACGTCAAAGCATAGTCCCCCAATGAAGTGAATAAACTTAGTCAAATCACATGACAATAACAGATAAGATTAACTTAAGTACTTCATTATAATAACTACTCCAACCCATTAAAAAACATGTCAAGTACTTATTCACCCCGGCAAGTAAACATAACACAATATTCATTCACCTGAGCAGCCATCGTGTAGAAAAATCAAAGAAAATAAGACGTCCCACAGGCACAATATCCTCCTCCTGCAGCAGTTCCTCCACTAGTGTCACCAAGGCCCAGCCAGTTGGGGAACATTAATATTTAAATTAAATTAGATCTCCAAACATACATCGCTAGCCTGAGCAAGCAAAGAAACATCTGGAATTATTCTTAGAAACACATAGTTTTAAAATATATAGTGAATTGAACTTTGTATTTAATTATTAATTTTCAGTATGCGTGAATGTAGTGGGATTCTTGTTACACATGCGCGAACTTCAGGGCTGTTGAATATGTAAATTAAGTTTTTATTTAGGTCTCATACATAATTTTCAATTTTGATAATGGTTTTTGTATAATAAATTTTGCAAAATTTAACCTTGAATAACCCAATAATGTCAAGCACTGTGACTTATTTCCACTGGTGTCGGTTCTCTCCCTATGACGCTTGTTCTCAGCATCTATCTGAGTTTACCTGTTACTCGGGTTCAAGACATGGTGATGAAGTTTTTGTTTGGATTATTAACCCGAGATCTGGTAACCCAGGATAACCCAATAAAGTCAGCATGTTATCAGGCTCTCTACCTTATTTTCAGGATGCAACCTACACAGGGAAACTAAACCATAATAAGCATAAAGTGCCCGGAATGGCTCTTTGTTGAGGTTCCTGAAGGCCTCTCTTAGATTTGCCAGGCGATCATTGGCTTCAGAGGTTAATAAAAATAATAATAATAATAATAATAATAATAATAATAATAATAATAATAATAATAATAATAATAATAATAATAATAATAATGATAATAACAATAATAATATTTTTTTTCTACAAGTACATGTACAGGGTATACAGACCATAACTGACATCAATGACATACTACTATACAGAAAACCACTTGTTATGCTGAGGATTTCGAGCAAATTAGGTCAGTTTTGTCCCAGGATGCGACCCACACCAGTCTACTAACACCACAGGTACCCATTTTACTGATGGGTGAACATGGACAACATGTGTAAGGGAATACGTCCAATGTTTTCACCTTTGCCGGGAAACGAACCCGGACTCTCAGCGTGTGAAGCGAGAGTTTTTGCCACCAGGCCACGGGCCACTGTGTTTCTTCCGGAAACAAAGGAAACTTTGTATCTTTGAATTATGAAGGAAACTTTGTTTCCTTCATAATTCATGTCCGTATTTGGACAACATATTGTTCCCGGTGTCCCGGGAAGCAGGGTTCAATAAGGGCTACATGACGGTAGCCCTTGACTACCCCAACAAGAAAACCAACAACAACAACTGGTACGGAGAAATAATGCGTTTAGACATCTTTGAAGTAGTTTAGCCTGAGAATTTCTGGTTTAGAATAAACTGTTTTGATAGCATGGCTTTACAATGGACATTATAACTATCCCATGAGCCTTAGTGAGTTGGAAACTCTACATTTTCGTCGCTACAAGAGAAAGACTTGACTCGATTTTTTTAACCCCGTAGGTTTAGTAACCCATAAAAACCAGTCTGGCTTATTTTCATAATGGTTTATTGGTATTCTTTCCCAGAATGAGACCCACTGTAAGGCTCAATGATAGGTAAAAGGGTACGTATGCACTGAAGCATATTATGACAATCTTTCGCTCTCTAGCAACTGTCAAGATATTACAAACAATGCACAGTGCTGTATGACCCTGCTGGGTTTAGCGCTTACTTCTGTTTATAATAAATAATAATAATATAGACAATACAAAGACTTGGGATGGTATATGTAGGTAACAGAATTAGGTGAAAGGTCATAGACACTGCAGTAAATCTACTGATGTTTTCAGTTATTTTTTTTTTTTAGTTTTAGAGCTTTTGTTTTATTTCTCTTGTCATTTTGGGAAATTGGTGTGACCCTTTGTAACCTAGGTTAATAGTATATTTTACCAATTTTAGTACGGTGGACACGTTTTGCTCTGCCCTGAGCAATGGAGGCTAAGTTTTCTTCCGGCACTTATCTTGCAACTTGGTAGATGGGTCAGGACACTAACCAGCTGCTTCATTATTCTATAGTGCTCATACTTTTTTCACAGTTGCATGAGGAAGTTGGTCATTGATTCCAGTAGGGAGATACAGGTGTTTCGCTTAGCCAGGGTTTAGGTGGGTGGGCTAATTTTCCTGTTTGTGAAAGCTTGTTTAATTTTTCATGCTATGCAGCACAAGTTGTAGTTTTTTGTCATAGAGAACAAAGAGTAATGACCCAGTCACTTCTGGACAGTTGCAGTAGTGATGTTTGCAATTATATTTGGATGATACTATGATGGTAGATGGAGTGACTGGTATTATTCTCACATGTTATATTAAAATGTTTTAATATTATTGCCATATTGGGTTAATAATCCAAAGAAAGTTTTCTTTTATGTACAGTTCTTTACATTCTATTCAAGACTGATGGACTGAACACATCGACTCAAGGTTGAGGGACTGATTACCTCATTCTCCTCCTGTTCTTCAAGTTTCTCCTACGTATGGACTGATGAAGCCACTGTGTGGCGAAACGTTTCCTCAATAAAGATACCCAAGAGTTGCACATGTGTCTAATTTATCAATATTATTGCCATATTGGGTTAATAATCCAAAGAAAGTTTTCTTTTATGTACAGTTCTTTACATGTAGAGTAATGAATAGCCAAGGGCCATTTGTAGTATTATGTGGAACTAAGATCAGTAATTTTTTTACTCGGTTTACCTCTTCAAGGGGGGCTCCTTGGCGTGGTGAAGAGGCTCTTGGTCTGAGGAATTAGACCTGTCGGTCTTCTTCCTCAGACCGAACCTAATTACCCCCCAATCTCCCCTTCCCCTATCCCATCCTCCTCCCCCTTTTCCTTTCCTCCTCCTCCTCCCCACCCCTCCCTTTTGCCCTTCCTCTTTTCGGCCTTTGGGATTTCTCCCACAGGCGCGCTAGTTCCTAGGTAGGGGAAAGGATACCGGGGTCCATCCCATTCCGTTTGAGGTTCTTGCGGGGGGGTGGCGTAGTTTGCGTGGAATCTGGATCGCCTGGGGATGTCCTGATCTCTCTCCGGTATCCCAGAGTAGCTTTGGGTGTCTTTCGGGCGACAGGTGTATCTCTGGAAGCCACCTTTCGGATTCCGGGGGTGGTGGCCGAAGGAGGTATGCTTTGTGGCGGATATCCAGCCACCCTCTCTTTTGTCCACCGAGGAAGCTCGGCAGATGTGAGGTTGCTATCCCGGATTGTTAGTTTACTAGCATGATGGGTAGGGTATGGCACGGGTTCCATGCTGCATCTGTGCTACTTGCAGTGCTGAGGTCCTCTTGGGTGCGGAGGGAGATTTCTGGCCCTTTCATTCCTCCTAGGAACTATCCCTCCCCGGTCCCCCTTTTTTTTTATTCTTTTTTTATTTTTATTTTCTTTTCTTTCTTTTTTTTTCTTAAAAACAAAAAGAAAGAAGTAACCTAACCATGGCAGCCCTAGTCCATGAACCTCCTACCCCCGGGCCCCTTCTTGATACCGCACCCCGTTCTGACCCCGCCTCGTCTTTAGACCACTCTTCAGACACTCCTCATGCCTCTGTACCTCTTGCCGGTGCTGTTTCCTCACCCGCTTCAGGTACTGAGGCCTCGACTGACTCCTTCGATTTATTGGACCTTCGCTCTCCTCTGACTATGCTTCCGGCCTCTCCCTCTACGGTGCGGCAATTTTCAAATCGCCGACCTGTTCCACGTCGGACCAACTCTGGTCCCACGCCTAAACGCCAATGACAATTACCTGCTGATGATACTTCTCCACCTTCTCGTTCTTCTCGGAAACGATCGACACGTCCTTCACTACCTTTCCACGCTCAGTTTCAGACTGAACAATGGACTAAATTCTTCACTTTATGACCGACTTCCTCTACTGCCTATCTTTCTGACCACAGTATTGGCAAGGCACTCCTACGCCATGTTGGTAAAGATATTTCTTTTCATGCTCTTAAGAGCGGTACGCGCATCATCACCGTACAGAATGCTACCCAGGCTCATGAGCTCTCTCGTCTTTCCCATATCGATACTGTTCCTATCACTCTTGAAAAACATCATTCCCTCAATTCTTGTAGTGGTACCGTCATTCTGCCCCATACAATAGTTCAACAAAATTTCCAGACATGTGGCACTGACATTCTTGAACAGCTGGAACTCCAAGATCTCCTAATCCTCAAGGTAGACACTTACATTCTTCCTGCCCGCGGGCGGAGACGATACCCTAGCAATGTGGCTCGTTTAACTTTTGACAGCCGAGAACTCCCATCCTCAGTTTATATAGCGGGACATCGGTTACAAGTCCGAAAGGTGATCCCTACACCACAACAGTGTAGAAATTGCTGGCGATTTGGCCATCCAGCGAAATATTGCAGATCTATCGCCGAATGCCCAGTCTGTGGTGCCGATGACCATTTTCATACGTCTTGCAGTCGATCTCCCTCTTGCCTTAACTGTCATGAGGCTCACCCTTCGTACTCTCGCCGTTGTCAAGTCTATTTAAACGAGCGGGGAAATCCGTTACCTCAAAGAGACAGAAGGTTTCCCTTATGCCATGGCAGTTTCTCATCTCCGCCTCCAAGGGAGACTCCCACGTGTTTCTTATTCCCGTGTTTCAAAACGTCCCCCCTTCTGGTACCCCATCTTCTACACCCACCTCTGTGGTTACCTCTCCCATAGTCACTCCTGTATCTAATCCTTTTGCTGCCCTCGGCTCAGACGTCCCTACTTCAACGCCCCCAGTCTGATCTCGCTACTTCGTGTTCTCTCTCACAAGCTCAGTAACGACAAGATCTCGTATGACACCTCCTCCCAATCGTCCCTCTACTTCTCAAAAGTCAAAAAAAAGGTCCGTTAACACCTCCTACCCATCTTCCACCTCCTCATTTTACCCTCCCTGTCTCTGTCCCTGGTTCTCCCCTCTCACTGGCTCTGTTACAGTGTAGGGTTCACCCTCTCCCGTACTGTACCTTCCTCCCCTGTTCCCTCCCAGGTTTCTTCCTCTTCTGCCACCTCCCAGGTTTCTGCCTCTTCTATCCCCTTCCACGCTCTCCAGTTCCCTCCACCCTTTCGTCCCCCCTACCTTGGTACAGTCCAATACAGTTCCAATCTTTACTCATCCTCCCCCTACCATTTCCAATATTGTCTCCCATACGACGTCTCTGAATTCCGAAACACTTGAAGCAATCTCTGAATATATTGCAGAGACCAAACCATCAATGGACACTGATCCACCCTCTGTTCCTTCTCTCTCCTCTCCTCCATCTGCGCAACTCCTTTCTTCACAGCGCACCGTTCCTTCGCTGCTTGAACGTTTTCCGCTGCCTCCGCATGTGGACTTTTCTAACCCCTCTAGTCTGTAGGAACCCTTACCTGCGGATTTCAAGTATCTTTATCATTGCCAATCATGGCCTATTTACAGTGGAATATACGCGGCCTCAGGGGTAATCGGAGTGAGCTTCAGATGTTACTCTCCCAGTTTGCCCCTGTTGGTGTTTGCTTACAGGAACCAAAATTACACTCTGCTGTTATCTCTCCCATCTCAGGCTATAATTTATTGTATTCTTCAGATCCTTTTCCTGATAGGACCTTTAATGAAAGTGCCCTTCTTCTACACACTGATATTCCGTACCATCAGCTATTTGTTCATACTTCGCTACATTACACAGCAGCCCGTATCCACTTGCATAGGTGGTATACACTCTGTTCTTTATATCTCTCTCCTTCTCGGGCATTATCTATTCCGGATATTGCCTTTCTTGTTTCGTCATTACCGCCACCGATTCTGTTACTTGGTGATTTTAATGCCCACCATTTCCTCTGGGGGGGTCTCACTGTGATTCCCGTGGAATTCAGTTAGAGGCTTTTCTTGCCACCCACCCCCTCCATGTTTTAAATACAGGTACGCACACCCATTTTGATCCTCGATCTCTCAGTCTGCTCTTCCTCCACCGCATTAGACTTCACTTGGTCTGTTCTCCCGGACTTACATGACAGCGATCATTTCCCAATCATTCTTACTTCCCCTTCATATTCACCACCTCTTCGCATCCCACGCTGGCAATTTGATCGGGCAAATTGGAACCTTTACTCACACCTAACTGTTTTTAGAGAGGTTCCTTCTTTGTCCTCCATCGATGAGCTTTTACACCTCTTCTCGTCCTCCGTTTTAACCGCAGCTTCTCATTCTATACCCCAAACTTCGGGCAGGCATTCTCAGAAATGCGTGCCTTGGTGGTCTCCTGCTTGTGCTCGTGCAGTACGTTTGAAACGCGCTGCATGGGGCAGGTACCGGTACAATAGAACCACAGAGAGACTCCTTGATTTTAAACAGAAGCGTGCGATCGCTCGCCGTGTCATCCGTGACGCTAAACGCACTTGCTGGTGAGATTATGTCTCCACCATCACCTCTGCTTCCTCTATGAGTGCAGTCTGGAAAAAAGTACGAAAACTGAGTGGCAAATATTCTCCTGACCCGGCTCCTGTTCTGCGGGTTGCCGGTGTTGATATAGCAAACCCACTAGATGTTGCCAATGAAATTGGCAATCATCTGGTTTGTATTTCTCAGGGACTCCATCTATGCCCCTCATTTCTTTCCTCAAAAGTCTGCCAGAGAGTTAGCACCCTTGGACTTTTCTTCTCTCAGAGAAGAACAGTATAATGTGCCTTTTACACTTCAAGAACTGGAGGCAACACTCTCAGCTTGCCGATCATCGGCAGCTGGGCCCGACGACATTCATATTCGTATGCTACAACATTTACATCAGTCAGCCCTTGCAGTCCTATTACGCCTTTACAATCTTATTTGGTCACAAGGAGTTCTTCCACAGCTGTGGAAATCCGCCATTGTTCTCCCTTTCTGCAAACCAGGCACTACGGGACATGAAAACTCCCACTATCGTCCCATTGCTCTTACCAGTGCAGTTTGCAAAGTAATGGAACGCCTAGTAAATAGACGTTTAGTGTGGTATTTAGAGACACATAACAGTCTCTCCACTCGTCAATATGGCTTTCGTAAGGGACGTTCTACCATAGACCCCTTACTACGCTTGGATACGTATGTTCGTAATGCCTTTGCGAATAACCACTCAGTTATTGCCATATTTTTTGACCTTGAGAAGGCATATGACACAACTTGGAGGTATAATATTTTAGCCCAAGCCCACTCCTTAGGCCTTCGAGGCAATCTACCATCCTTCCTTAAGAACTTTTTAACTGACAGGCATTTCCATGTTCGGGTTAATAATGTGCTCTCCCGGACTTTATCCAAGCTGAAGGTGTCCCCCAGGGATGTGTTCTGAGCACAACACTTTTTTCTCCTTGCTATTAATGATTTGGCCTCTAGTCTTCCATCAAATATTTGGTCATCACTCTATGTTGATGACTTCGCTATTGCCTGTGCAGGCGCTGACTGCCACCTCATTACAGTTTCTCTCCAACATGCAGTCGACCGTGTTTCCAATTGGGCCACCACACGTGGGTTTAAATTTTCCAGCACTAAAACCCACCAAATTACTTTCACTAGACGCTCTGTCATCTCCGATCATCCTTTGTACCTCTATGGCTCCCGTATCCATGAATGTGATACAGTCAAGTTTCTGGGCCTCCTCTTTGATCGTAGGTTATCCTGGAAACCTCACATTACCTCTCTGAAGGCAACTTGTCACAGCCGGCTGAACCTTCTTAAAACCCTTGCTCATCTTTCATGGGGAGCTGATCGTTGAACCCTCCTCCGCCTACATTCCACCCTTATTTTATCGAAACTTGATTATGGTGATCAGATCTATTCAGCGGCATCTCCTACTACTCTCTCTAGCCTTAACCCCATTCATCACCAAGGATTACGTTTATGCCTTGGTGCTTTTCGCTCTTCCCCTGTCGAGAGCCTCTATACAGAAGCGAACGTTCCATCCTTATCCGATCGCCGTGATGCCCATTGCCTGTGCTATTATGTACGCTCTCATGATCTCCGCAATCCTTCCATTTATAGAATGGTCACTGATATTAGTAGACATTCTTTATTTGTTCGCCGCCCCTGTTTACTCCGTCCCTTCTCTCTTCGCCTTCATTCGCTCTTGTCTTCTCTTCAACTACCACCTTTCTATGTACATGTAGCATCTCACTTTTCCCTACCCCCCTGGGAAGTTCCAGCTGTTAGAGTGTTCTTTCGCCCTCCCTTGCTCGAAAGCACAACTGTCTACGGTCGCTTCCCGCTCTCTTTTTCTTGACCACTTTCACTCTCATTCTCATGCCATTGCTGTGTACACAGATGGCTCTAAGTCTTCTGACGGCGTAGGATTCGCAGCAGTGTTTCCGGACAGCGTCATACAAGGGCATTTACTATCTTCGGCTAGTATTTTTACTGCTGAATTGTATGCCATCCTTACAGCACTTATCCGTATTGCATCTATGCCTGTGTCATCATTTGTGGTTGTCTCAGACTCCCTTAGTGCTTTACAGGCTATACAAAAATTTGATACACCTCACCCCTTAGTCCTCCGTATCCAACTTTGGCTACGCCGCATCTTTACCAAGCATAAAGATATTGTTTTTTGTTGGGTCCCTGGTCATGTTGACATACAGGGCAATGAACAGGCAGACACTGCTGCGCGGTCAGCAGTACATGACCTACCAGTTTCTTATAGACGTATTCCATTTACGGACTATTTTGCTGCAATATCTTCCCACCTTCACACCCGTTGGCAACAACGTTGGTCTACTATGCTCGGCAACAAACTTCAATCTATTAAACCGAGTAGTATAGGTTACTGGCCGTCTTCTTATCACCAGTGTCGAGGTTGGGAGACTACTCTCTCCCATCTTCGCATTGGCCATGCTCGTCTTACTCATGGATATCTCATGGAGAGGCGTCCTGCTCCTCTCTGTGAGAATTGCCAAGCTCCATTATCAGTCAGCCACATTCTGTTGGACTGCCCACTTTATCAACGAGCACGCAGAATTTACCTCTGTCGTCATCTTCGCTCCGCTACTCTCTTTTTACCTTCCCTTCTCGCTGATGGACGCACCTTTCATCCGGACTCTCTCATTGACTTTTTGACAACAACTGACTTACTTCACAAATTCTGATACCTTCAGCCCTTTCTACTTCAATCTCTTGCTACCCTCTACCCCCGTACTATCCCCTGCCCCGCTGTTTTCTGTAACCTGCTGATCATCCCTCCTCCCTTCTGCTATCCAATACCCTCACTTCCTTCCCTACCCTGCAGCGCTGTATAGCCCTTGTGGCTTAGCGCTTCTTTTTTATTATAATAATAATAATAATAATAATTTACTCGGTTTAATGTAAAAAAATCTTAAAATTTCATGAAACTAGGTTGAGATTCTGATTCATATTTCTTATTCACTGAAACATTACATGCATTTTGTAAAAATTATTAATATTTACAGATAATGGGATACAGTAATAACTTTGATGGAACATATAATAAATTTAAAATTTTAAATGTACATGACAAATGTTTAATGTTAGCTAATTTAGATTAATTTGAGACCAAAATAAATAATACCATTGTGCATTATATTAAATGGGTTTTCTTTCAGCTGTGTCACTACTTAGGATGGTAGACAGTGATGATGAAGAAGCTACAGAAGGAACCGGAGCGACAAGTCACACACTATCCTTGACAAGCTTTCTTTTTGGTAATATTGACACACACGGCCAACTGGAAGGTGATGTATTTGATGGCGAGTGTAAACGACAATTGGCATCCCTGTCCCGTCTAGGTTTGGGTTCACTCCTTCGACAAGTTACTGATGATGGTGAAGATGATGATGAAGATGATGATGATGATGATGATCGTGAAGAAGAGGAAGAAGGAAAGTAATGTTTCATTGTGAACATTGAAAAACTGATACTGTATTTCTACACGTTATAGTTTCGTGTATAGTTAATATATGTAGTGTTTTTTTTTTTTTTTTTTTTTTGAGTTTTTAATAATTTATCATTTTTTCTTTAGAAGTGGGTGAAAGAGTCCATCTGCCATAGATTACTCAGACATAACTGAAGCTGTTGAAGATGACACACTTGCTCAACGTGAAGATGATGGTAAGCATTAGTGACAGATACAATTAATGTTTTGTACATTAATTCATGCTAATACTGGAATATTATTACATGAATGGAAATCAGATTAAACTTTCCCTTTACAGTGGAATTTCTGCTTTTTTTTTTTTAACTTTTTTTAACCATTCCATGTCCAGTTCCTTGTGCACGACATGGCAGACATTTGGTGAGGGACATTATGTATTGCTTAGCAGTACAGTATTATTTGTTGAATCATAGTTTAACAATATCAGCAGAATGAATTATGGTAAGAACTAACATAATGGAAAGAAATATCTTGACAACTGCATTACAGTGGACCCCCGGTTAACGATATTTTTTCACTCAATAAGTATGTTCAGGTGCCAGTACTGACCGAATTTATTCCCATAAGGAATATTGTGAAGTAGATTAGTCCATTTCAGACCCCCAAACATACACGTACAAACGCACTTACATAAATACACTTACATAATTGGTCGCATTTGGAGGTAATCGTTATGCGGGGGTCCACTGTATTTCTTACACATAAATGAGTTAAGGCTAAACAATCATGCATTCTTCATTTTGACAGTTGATTCATTAACAATATTTTGCAATGATTTAATTCATTATTATGATACTTTATGATCATATTGAACCCAATGCAGTTGAAAATGAAAATGGTTAGAGAGGATAGAATAAGATTGTTTATGATATTTGATATGAAATACAGCCTCTCCTCAGTTAACGACCGAGTTCCATTCCTAAGAGTAAGTCGGTAAGTGAATGAGTTGTGAGGCAAAGAGCATACTGTACTGGTAGTGGGTTTGTGTCAGCCATCTTTACACTTTTTTTTAACCCTTTAACTGTCAGGACCCCTGATAAATAACAGAAAAAGGCACAATACCGTGACTGAAACGATACACAAATAACCCGCACATAAAAGAGAGAAGCTTACGACGACGTTTTGGTCCGACTTGGACCATTGACAAAGCCACAGTGTGACTTTGTCAATGGTCCAAGTCGGACCGAAACATCGTCGTAAGCTTCTCTCTTTTATGTGCGGGTTATTTGTGTATAGGACCCCTGATTCTAAGCTTGTGTCAAAAAATATTAAAAAAAAGAAAAATGATTTTTTCTCGTGAAATGATAGAGAATCTTTTCCCAATGGTAATGACACCAAAAGTACGAAATTTAATGGAAAACTTATGGAATTACGTTCTCGCGAAGTTAGCAGTCTCGGCGATATACAGTGGACCCCCGGTTAAGCGAATTTTTTCAATCCATGAAGTATTGTTCAGTGCCAATCTGACCGAATTGTTCCCATAAGAATATTGGAAGTGATTAGTCCATTTCAGAACCCAAATTACTACGTACAAACGCACTTAATAAACACTTAAAAATGTCGCATTACGGAGGTATTCGTATGCGGGGGTACCACTGTAATATGCATGGCGAATTGCAACTTTGAGTCCTATTTTCGCCAATTCATTGTCCACGACTAAATTCATGCTATTTCTTAAACTCCATTTGTTTCTATTGATTAAGTACAGAAACTGCCCTTTACATTCATACCAATAAAGTGATCAAAATTGCAATTGCCAATTTTGCACAAATTTCAAAAGATGCCAATTTCAAAATAGGGTCCAGAATAACCAATGCAGACATTCCTGGCACTAAAATAACATTTTCTCTGTTCATTAGTCACATCTCCGGGTCCCTCTTATATTGCTCTTGCTTTTCATTTTTAATTTTTATTCACACAAAATATAGAGATTTATTGTTTTGCAGACTACTACATTATTATATAATTGCATAAATAATGTCAACTCATTCATGACTGCATATTAGACTGGCCACTTGGACACTTATTGGACAGTGACGTCATTTGTTTACTCTTGAACATCGGCTTAAAATCAGACATTTCTGCTACTTTGAGCTCAATTTCAAGGTACTTTTCATCATGAAACCAATCAAAATTATCTCTATTTCTGTAATATATCTTCTTTTCTATCAAATTGAAACCAAGAAAATGAGAATACATCTATAAATACCATACGAAAATACACCTTAAAGTCGGCATTTTAATCCAAAAACATGATCGGAGTATTTTTTCTCATGCACTGCGTGCTGCAGGATTCTTTATGCTGCACACACTGACCACGTAGACCCATTCTCTCACATGTAGGTCTACCAGCCTTCTCTTGCTAGATTTGAAGCCGGTACAATTTGGGGCATTAATACGTCACCAACTTGTAAACCATACCTATACATCACCGACAGTGAAGGGGTTAATGTCACTTTTGCACCATTTATAACATTTTTAGTATATTTTTAAATGTTTATACAATAGTGTACTGTATACTATAATAAACAGAACAGAGGAAATCAGCTCTAATATACATGTACATTACTTAGATTTGCATATTGGTCAGAGAGCTGGTCGTAACTCTGAGTGGTCAGTAAATGAGTACGTCACTAAGTGAGGAGTTAGTGTATTAGAGTTTTTTACTATTTCTTATACAGGAGAAGATTATGATGCAGAAGAGGAAGAGAATGGTGTCAATAAATCCGACTCTGAGCTCATGCCACCGCCGCCCCTTCCACGAACTTCAGAAGCAGGCTCTGTTACACCACCCGGTGACCGCCGTAAGCTTGTAACGCCTTTAGCTGCCATGCTGCCATCAAAATATACTAATGTTGATGTTAGTGAATTATTTCCAGACTTTCGAACTGATGCTGTAAGTATTAAACTTTATTTGCAAAAAATAATTTACATGGTTATTTAAATTTTAAAATTTATTTTGATACAAAGTGTTTTTGAAAAACTTAGAATACCTGCACCATTTTAGGTAAATATTAAGCTCACAAGTATTTAAATGCATTTCCAGTACAGTACAGGAAGGCCATGCTTTACAGCATTTTGCTAATACAGCATTTCATTTATTCAGGCTACCTACCATAAATATGTTCACCACTCACTATAAGATAAGTATGAAAATATTTTAAGGTAAGTAATGTGTGTACTATGTATGCATTTTTTAGGCCTAGCTCTATTGCTTATTTAATATATGATAGTGTAGACGTGTTATCAGGCTTTTATATGCATTTGAAAATGAAAACAAGGCTATGTTTCACTTACATTGATTTTCGATTTGCAGTGGTAGCCTGGAGCCTAACCTGCTGTATAAGCGGGGTCCTCCTGTATGTTAAACATGTTGACAAGTCATTGGTAAAACATGTACTGTAAATAGACAATTTGTTCAAAATAATGCCTAAAAAATTGTGCAGTTAATTATTTTTTTATTAACACATTGGCCGATTCCCACCAAGGCAGGGTGACCTGAAAAAGAAAAGCTTTCATCATCATTCACTCCATCACTGTCTTGCCAGAGGGGTGCTTTACACTACAGTTATAAAACTGCAACATTAACACCCTCCTTCAGAGTGCAGGCACTGTACTTCCCATCTCCAGGACTCAAGTCCGGCCTGCCAGTTTCCCTGAATCCCTTCATAAATGTTGCTTTGCTCACACTCCAACATCACTTCAAGTATTAAAAACTATTTTTCTCTATTCACTCCTATCAAATACGCTCATGCATGCTTGCTGGAAGTCCAAGCCCCTCGCACACAAAACCTCCTTTACCCCCTCCCTCCAACCCTTCCTTGGTCAACCCCTACCTAGCCTTCCCTCCACTACAGATTTATACACTTCTGAAGTCATTCTGTTTTGTTCCAGTCTCTTTACATGTCCGAACCACCTCAACAGCCCCTCCTCAACCTCTGGATAATAGTTTTGGTTAATATTATTTTAAATCTCTTGTGGTTCACATAATTAATTGGTAATACAGTACTGTAATGAAGACTTAAATTGTTTATTACTTTTGTTTAAAGCTGCATGAGGAATTGTTTTCCATATACTTCTGTGAAACATGTTACAAAGAAATATACAATACAAATAAGTTCATCATTTGCTACTGTATGTCTTTATGGCATTTTCTTGATAATATAAACCTTTGTTAATCATTCAAAATTATGATTTTGTAATCAACAAATTGTTTTATTTTCTTGCAAATAAATATGAAATATTGTTCCCTTTATTCCTACAGGTGTTAAGATTTTCAAGATTATTTGGCCCTGGAAAGATGGCAAATTTGCCTAAATTATGGAAGGGTGTGAAAAGGAGGAAGAAGAAAAAGATGCCACCTGGATCGGAAGAAAATCGATATTCCTCAACTGATGAGAGCTTCCAGAGTGAAGAGGTGTCTTCGCAAGTAGATGTACCTCGTGGCTTTGAGCTACACCTTGGACCAGAGCCTCCACCATATATGTGTATCTCCGATGACACTGTATGTATATTAGCTATTAGAAAACTAATGCTTGTATTATGTTTCATATTGTGTCACTAAAGAATAAAAAGGCATAAAACAATGACTGGAACAATACACAGATAACCTGCACATAGGAGAATAAAACTTATGAGGATGTTTTGGTCCAACTTAGTCCATTAACTAATCGCCAGTGACTAGTTAATGGTCCAAATCAGACTGAAATGTCATCATGAGTTTCATTCTCCTGTGCTGGTTATTTGTGCATATTGTACAACTATTAAAATGAATGTACTAAATGGGGATAGTACATTCATGTATACTGAAGAAACCTTGAAAAAGGTTTCTTCAGTATACATGTCTAAAACAGTCTCTTGTTCATGGTTTATTGGATTATAGCAAATTTCAAAATTTGGAATTTAAAAAAAAAAAGAATGAATACTTTGATTATATGTTTGCAAAATCATTCTGATTTAGAATTTTTCTGAGTAAAAAGAGAATGCTTTTCAAAATTTTTAATTTGCAGTCATGTTGAAAAAAAATTATTTGGCCATTTTTTTAAAAAACACCAGTTGTCTCCTACCGAGGGAAGGTGACCTGAAAGAGAAGAAACACTTTTAGTATCAATCGTTCTATCACTTTCTTGCCAGAGGCGTGCTGACATTACAGCTTAGATACCCCTCTAAACTGCAGTATCCCCACCCGTCTTTCAGACTGCAGGAACTGTACTTTTACCTTTAAGACTCAGGTTCATATGCACATGTATATCCCACTTATCTGATACATTGACACGAATAACAAATGCAATTTAATTTCCTGCGATGTATCATTGTAATAAGTGTAAATTACCAGCAGCTCTTTTTTTTTTTTCTTTTTGAGGTTAGGTTTTGAAATAGAATTTGGATCATCAGTTTTCACTTTTAAAGTATTACAGCATACAAGTATCTCCAAATAACTGACTTTTAATTGTCTGACCAATTCAAGTTGTAAGGTTACCTTATATTATTACTTTTACTGTGGTTGTGTCTAATTTTTCCTGACAAATAATGCATTTCTATTTATCTCACAGATTCGATTCAGTCAAACTCAGGAACAGGATTCCAGTTCAGGTAATCAGAAAGGGGATGGTGATAAGAATAATGATCGTGATCCCAACAAGCCTCATGAAACTGACTGGCGATATGGTCCAGCTCAACTCTGGTATGATATGCTGGATGTGCCACTCTCTGGTAGCAACTTCGATTATGGATTCAAAATAAAAATCAAGGTACGTCATATAATTTTTTTGTGGTTATTATTTTAGTTGAAAATGCAGCATCTTTCAGTCTGTGTCTCATTTCTACAGAATGGCAGTCTATAATTTATAAAGTAAAAACCAAAACATTAAAATAGTCCACAAACAGTTTTCGATTCCTATAGCCTGGAAGTCTCAAGAGTGCTCCACTTGGAAACATGGAAGAATAAAAAATGAAGTGGGGTCTGTATATTTCAATGTTTAACTGAAGAGGGCATCATATTGAGGTTGAAATATAAAACCCTCTTTTTATTTCGTGTTTCATTTACCAGTGCAGTGCTGTATGACCCCAGTGGGTTTAGTGCTTGGTTTTGATTATAATAATTAATTTACTGGTATCCAAGTGGGTTTCTCCATTCCCATAGTCCTGTGTAGTATTTGAGAACTAGGTGCATTGACTGATTTGGATATACTGTGCTATCTCTTTTAATATAATTAAATTGAATTAAATTTAATAAAAATAAACTTTTTTATGCTAGATAAAATTAATTAGGAATTTTTAAGGATAGAATATTTTTATTCTAATATGGAAAAGCATTATATAGCAACATTTTGGCTGCTTGTATTTGTTTTGCATGATGGTAGGATTGCTGGTGTCTTTTTTTCTATCTCATAAACATGCAAGATTTCAGGTACGTCTTGCTACTTCTACTTACACTTAGGTCACACTACACATACATGTACATGTTTATGTATACACACTCATCTGAGTTTTCTGTGATTTTATCTAAATAGTTCTTGTTCTTATTACTTTTCCTTTCATATCCATGGGGAAGTGGAATAAGAATCTTTCCTCCATAAGCCATGCGTGTTGTAAAAGTCAACTAAAATGCTGAGAACAATGGGCTAGAAACCACTTTTCCTGTATAGCTTTCTAAAAAGAAAAAAGAAGAACTGTTGGAGTGTGAGCAGAGTAATATTTTGTGAAGGGATTCAGGGAAACTGGTTAGCCGGACTTGAGTCCTGGAAATGGGAAGTACAATGCCTGCACTTCAAAGGAGGGGTCTAGGATATTGGCAGTTTGGAGGTTACCTTTTAAACTGTCGTATCTGAGCACCTCTGCAAAGACAGTGATTATGTATGAGTGAGGTGAAAGTGTTGAATGATGAAAGTATTTTCTTTTTGGGTCACCCTGCCTTGGTGGGAGACAACCAACATGTTGAAAAAAAAATTTGGCTGCTAAGTTATTTTTAATATACTTTTTATTAATACTTATTTCACACTTAGGATGAGCATGACTTAACTGAGAAGTCAGATATTAAGAATGAAGAAATCAAAATTTTTAATGCTACTTTGAAAGAAGAGAGGAATGGATATGAGGCAGATAGTGAAGAAGAGTTCCCAGATGATTCATTCCATATGGTTACACAGTACAACTGGGAGGAGGATATTATCTGGAATGGTGATGATATTAAGCACAAGGTACAAAATTACTGAAGTTGGTTTGGTTGCTTTATTAAAGTAAAACTTCTTGACTATATGAGGGTCATTAAGGTTGCATTTCCTGCATGTCTCCAGCAAGTATACACTAATCCCTAAAATAGGGAATAAAGTAAACTTTGAGTGTATATATACTAAGAGACACACACCTGTTGGGGTATTTAACCTTGAATGTCTCAAGATTTTCTCCATGGGGAAGTAGAACAGAATTCTTCCTCCGTATGCCATGCATGTCGTAAGAGGCGACTAAAATCCCGAGAGCAAGGGGCTAGTAACCCCTTCTCTTGTATATATTACTAAATTTGAAAGGAGAAACTTTCGTTTTTCCTTTTGGGCCACCCCACCTCGGTGGGATACGGCTGGTACGTTGAAAGAAGAAGAAAGTCTCAAGATTTGTATAGTTGTAAATTATAATAAAGTAGTTCTGAATTAATATGTTAATGTAGCAGCAATTATTTATGCCATTCCTTATGTACTCTAATAAATATGTGTTAGTCTTGGGATTGATAACATTTTGGTATACAGTATTAATTAGTTTCCATCTTAATTGCCTCCTCAGTAATTCTTCAGTTATAAATATGAAGAGTAGTATTCAAATTTTGTATTTTTATGTTATGTACATTATATAATCAAATTGGATACATTAATACTTTAATCATGAATAAGTTATTCGGCACATATGCCTCTGATTAATGAAAACTTTTGGTACAAATGCCTATACAGTGGAACCTCGGTTTTCGTATGCCCTTGTCTGTATGTAAAACTATAGTTATTATCTATAAAATGTATTTTTTGTTAAAATTTTTGGGCGTCTAGAACGGATTAATTGGATTTACATTATTTCTTATGGGAAATATTAACAAAAAATACAATATATGGAGAATAACTATAGTAGGTTGGTAGACATCAACTGCCTAGGGAAGTATGTACTACCATCCTGCCAAGTGAGTGTAAAACAAAAGCCTGTACATGTTTTACATGATGGTAGGATTGCTGGTGTCTTTTTTTCTGTCTCATAAGCATGCAAGATTTCAAGTACATCTTGCTGCTTCTACTTACACTTAGGTCACACTACACAAGCATGTACAAGCATATGTATATACACCCCTCTGGGTTTTCTTTTATTTTTTTACTAGTTCTTGTTCTTATTTATTTCCTCTTATCTCCATGGGGATGTAGAACAGAATTCTTCCTCCGTAAGCCATGCGTGGGAGGAAGGGGCTAATAACCCCATCTCCTGTATACATTACTAAAGTTAAAAAGAGAAAACTTTTTTTTGGGGGGGAGGGGCGACCCTGCTTCGGAGGGATACACCTGGTTTGTTGAAAGAAGAACTATAGTTTTACATACAGACTAGGGCATACGAAAACTGAGGTTCCACTGTAATTGAATAAAATAATTGGTATATATGTATGACAAGTATTTCTGTTAAAATAGATTAAAGACTACAATAAGTCAATACTGCACATTGTATTAAAGTGTATGTTTACACATTAATTGTTTCTGTTCACCACAGCTCAATCAAAAGCGTAAAAACATGGCCGCAGGCTGGGTGCCAAGCAGTTATAATCGCACCGCTCAAGCTTTTAGCCAACCAACCAAAGTTTCTACACCATTTGCATCCACCAAAAGTGCTAAAGCTAAAAGCCAGATGCCGTAAGTTTTCCATTAATTTATGATGAGTTTCTGCATAAGGCTTGATTATTAACACTTGTACAGTATGTCACAGCACAGAAGGTCAATTGAAAGCAAGTCATTGCTGAGGGTACATTAATTTATTGACTCTTCATACATACACAGGTGTTCCTTGACTTATGATGGTTCTCTCTATGATATTTTGTCTTTACAATGATGCAAGGTGAAACTTAAGATAATTGTCCAGCGTGAAGTCGACAAGTCCGTAACTTGTATTCGTTAATTTATAGTTAATTTCCATACTTCACAGCAGAGTTTTCCTGTTTGCCAATTTTGCCATTGTTTGTGACAGGAAAAACAATGTTGATGACACTTGGTACTCCATTTTTCCTGTTGAGAATGAGGAGTTGGTGTATGGTCGCTGGGAAGACAATATCATCTGGGACCCAGAGAATATGGACAACATACCTGAACCTACTGTGTTGACTTTGGACCCTAATGATGAGAATATTATTCTTGGTATACCTGAAGATGTTGATCCAGCAACTATAGCCCAAGGTAGTTGTATATTTTCTTGTGTGCTAAAAAACACTTCAATTATTTTTAATTTCACTTAAGTACTGTGATACAATAGTTGTTTTTCTCTAATTTTTTATATCTCTCAGATTTTAGTGACTCATGAATTTTTCTAAAGAAAGACTCAGATGATTTTATCAGTTAATTTTATCAGGTCAAGTCATAATAAATGTGTTTGTAGCTTGTGCTTTTATTTGTAATTATGTTAGTGTGCATCCCTGTTGTCACTTGTTTTGGTACCTTCATGCGTGTTCACAGTGGCAAAGTTTTCAGACCTTGCAGGATGTCATTCTTTTACCTTCTTCATCTCAGTGTTGGTTTTACCAATGGCCAAACCATTGTTTCCAGTACAGTCTTCAGGTATTCAATGAAACCACCCACAAGTATTCCTGGTCCTGATCTGCTTGATTGCCTCTCCACTTTTTTTTAATATGATTGGTATGACTCCAACTTGCTCCCTCCAGAATTCCACAGCAGAAAATTGCATTTGGATGCTGAAAGATGTGTTTTTGCATCAAAGACCATGGGGGCCCTAGATTTTACCCCCTTTCAGATGTGCTGTTCCTGGTGTCAACTGAACTTGACCAGATGAGCAGTCTCTTCCTAGTGTCTACACACCATAACAATAATATCAGATGAACAACCTTGGAGCAGAGTCAAGCTATGTTGTATTAGTTACTGACGAGCACTTAATCCTACCAGTGCTAGGAGAAACAAGTATTTCAATAGGTAGAAAATAGGTGTTACACATTCCAGTGGAGCCCCTCATGGGCCCTGATGCAGGAGCTCGCCTTTTAGCATTCAAGATTCAATTTTGTACACATATAATGGCTTAGCTTCTCCCTGCAGATGATGCTCCAGTGAAAGTCAAGATACCGCACCCTCATGTCAAGAAGTCCAAAATTCTCTTGGGAAAAGCTGGTGTTATTACTACTATTGAGGAAGAATCACCCCCTCCTCCACCAAAATCTCCAGATAAAGATCCATTTAACATTTCCAATGATGAATTCTATCAACCCAAATCATCTGAGCAAACCATTAAGATGTCCATGGGTGGAGGCCTTCTTCAGCACTCCACTCCAGTTGTAAGTTTTCATTTTTTTATGAAATCTAAATCAGATTTGTGATTTAGCACAAGAAATAGTGACATCACATTGTTCCTCTATTAATTATTAAGGTAAATTAATTTTTTTCAGCATACTGATAGTTTTACAGATTTAATATAAAAGTTGTACACATTTTGTTTCAGTGTTATATTCTGATACATCAAAAATTCCCACTGATTGAAAGTATTGCCATGGTACTGTACTATTTCTTAAAATGGAATCTGGATAATTGTTAATTAGCTTCACTTTCCTCAGAGGACAGATAGCTAAAGGATCAATATTTGCAGCGAGACTTTGTTTTGCTTGCATTGTTCACTTACCAGTACTTGGAATATGGTCTATTTTTACTAAGGTTTTCAGTGGTTGTAATACGTGCTCCCTCCTCCTGGATACCATTCCAGCAGTCTCTACCACTCTGTGAAGAAGTCTTTTCTAGATCGCTTTAAAACTTTTTTCTTGATTTACAATTGTGGCCTCTTGTTTTCTTTGTCAGTGGTTCTAAAGAAATCTTTTTATCTTTTCTCATATCTTTTTATTATCTTGCATATTATTATCATATCTTCACTGTACCTCCTATTGACCAACGATATCATTTTTCAGTGTTTTCAGCTTTTTAAATTACTCAGCTCTGTGTCATTATGTAGCACTGTATGTATTAGGTCTTTCTTTTACAGTATGTTTTATTTTTTTTTCATGCAGATGCCACATTACTGTTGCATTTTCAAGTCTTGATCTTATGTATGATGTGAAAAGATTTCATGTTAATGGGTTTCACATTCTATCATAGTTTTCACTAAGATTATTTTTTTATGTAGGTTGAACTTCAGCCACCTTTTGTACCCACGTACATGGGAGAAAAGAAGCTGCGTCTGTTCCACCGGCCGCCGCTCAAGAGGTATTCCCATGGTGCACTGTCAAACATGGGCCCTCATCCTGTATACCCACTGACAAAGGAAATAAGGAAGAAAGCAAAGGTTAGCTTCTGTTACTTTTCATAAGCATTTTGTAGCTTTAATTCACATCATTTAGTAACTTGTTTGCTATTATATATATGTATTATATTTCATTTTTAATTATCAGTGTTGGTTAATTTAAGTTTGCTAAAATGATTATCATGAGTGATACTGACAATTATTTTTAACACATTGGCCATTGATAAACATTACCTTATTTTGTATTATCCACCAATTAACTATGTGATATTATACTTCTTATAAGTGTTCTAAATCTAGCTTTTATGTTCATTAACAGCAAAGAGAAATGGAACGCTTGGCCTCAGGTGGCGGCGATGTTTTCTTTATGAGAACACCGGAAGATCTAACTGGCAAGGATGGTGATATTGTGCTCTTAGAATACTGCGAAGAGTATCCACCACTTTTATCCCAGGTGGGGGTTTGTGTAATTGAAAAGCTTAAAGTGGTGCTTGCATATTAATCTGATTTCTGGAGAGAGAGAGAGAGAGAGAGAGAGAGAGAGAGAGAGAGAGAGAGAGAGGGAAGAGAAGGAGAGAGAGAGAGAACGAGAGAGAGAGAGAGAGACGAGAACAAGAGAGAGAGAAGAGAGAGAGAATGAGAGAGAGAGAGAGAGAATGAGAGAGAGAGAGAGAGAGAGAGAGAAAACGAGAGAGAAAGAGAGAGAGAGAGAGAGAACGAGAACCACTGTACTGCTGGCAAAACCATTCATATAAAATATCATCAACACCTTAGCATGGCAACCCATGTAAATTCTTAGGTGTACCAAGAACTTCTACACAATCAGTGCCTGAAATATTCTTTACACTTTTTTCTTTTTGGTCTTTAAATCATAACAGTTATTCTACCAACATTCTCTGTCTTGAAATAATTTGTGCATATTTCTTTCTCCAACTTTTTTAAGTAATTCTACATTCTGAATTGTCAGTGAATTTTTCTTACACTTCTTTAAAATGTGAGTAGGTCTGGTACTGATACTAACAATTGTACTGCTGTCATGGCTAGTAGCTCTTTTTGTAATATTTAATGAAGGGATTCAGGGAAACCGGTTATTTTCATATAGTCGGACTTGAGTCCTGGAAATGGGAAGTACAATGCCTGCACTTTAAAGGAGGGGTTTGGGATATTGGCAGTTGGGAGGGATATGTTGTGCATCTTTATATGTGTATGCTTCTAAACTGTTGTATTCTGAGCACCTTTGCAAAAGCAGTGATAATGTGTGAGTGTGGTGAAAGTGTTGAATGATGATGAAAGTATTTTCTTTTTGGGGATTTTCTTTCTTTTTTGGGTCACCCTGCCTCGGTGGGAAACGGCCGACTTGTTGAAAAAAAAAAAAAAAAAACTTCTGTTATCACAGTTATTAGGATGAAATCAAGTTTTGTTATAATTACACATGTACCTCTGTTAATTGTAGTCATTAGTGTGAATTCTAGTATTGATGTACCTTTACATGTGTCCCTCTTTTATTACAGTTGTTAGTATGAAGTCCAGTATTGATGCAAAAATGCTATTTTAAAAGCAGCAAACATGAGAGCTTCATGTGAGTGGACGAGGGGCAGCATGTGATAACAGTAGTTAACCAGAGTGTCAGCAGCTGGAAGCAAAATATTGTTGGCTTCGCTTAGTCAAAAAAAATGAGCCACAGTGTGGATGGTGTTGATGACTGGTTATTAACCCTAATTGTCTAGAAAGAAAGCCGGGATGTATGAATGCTCAAAATAAAAAGCTAAATTGGAAAAATAAAATTTTGGTTCTTTAGTGGGGTACTTTCTTGTTAAATGTTTGCTTGCTAATAGGGCTTGTGTGATTATCTCACAGGTTGGTATGTCAACAAGAGTCAAGAATTACTACAAGCGACGAGCAGGAAATGATAAAGGGCCCCCAGAATTCCGCTTCGGTGAGACTGCTTACGCTCACACATCTCCATTCCTTGGGGCTATGCATCCAGGCCAGAGTATTCAGACACTGGAAAACAATATGTTTAGAGCACCACTCTATGAACACAAGGTAACTTTTAAACAGAGCGTTTCAAATGTCATTCTTCTTTCAACAAACCGGCTGGATCCCACCAAGGCATGGTGGCCCAAGAAGAAAAACAAAAATTTCTCTTTTTAAATTTAGTAATACTGTATATACAGGAGAAGAGGTTTCAGATGTTATTGTGCTATTGAAATATATTTAATTTTTTAAGTACACTGGCCATCTCCCACCAAAGTAGGGTGACCCAAAAAAGAAACACTTTCGCCATCATTCACACTATCACTGTCTTGCCAACAACCAACTAAGGTTGGCTGCTGTGGATTGCATTCAGGAACTTAGTGCGAGCTTAATCTTGCCTTGTAGTGAGGGTGGAAGGGAAGTTTAGTGAGTGCACAAAGCCAGTAACAGCTTATCATAACCTAACCTTTGAGTGGCTAGCAAATTTCATAGTAACTTTTACCTTTGATATATCTTTGAGGGAATTTGAGAGTTTTCCTACTCTCACAGCCCTGTCCTGGGCCAGTCTTGTCAGTTGCTTGTCAAAGTGTTGAATGGTGATGAAAGTTTTTTTTTTTTTTTTTTGGGGGGGGGGGGGGGGGGTCGCCCTGCCTTGGTGGAAAACAGCCGACATGTTGAAAACAAAGATATTAATTTTTCTGTTTAATTGTATTTTTGATTACTCTAACTTTTACCAGTCACTTTATTTTGTATGTTTGAAAATCACTCCTAATTATTTTTTTCAGAGAATTACAACAGATTTCCTGATTATACGAACTCGAAATGCCTTTAACATACGTGAGCTGGATGGTGTTTTTACAGTGGGCCAAGAATGTCCATTATATGAAGTCCCAGGCCCAAATTCCAAAAGAGCCAACAACTTCATTAGGGACTTTCTGCAGGTAAGACTACTATTTTCAAGTTCATATTATTTATAATATGAATTGGTCAGATGTATCTTTTTAACCCTTTCAGGGTCCGTGCCATAGATCTACGGCTTTACGTTCAGGGTCCAAGCCGTAGATCTACACCATGAGCTCAGCTCACTGATAAGCTGTGAGTGGTAAATTTGGGCCTAGATATGAGAGAATACATCTATGTGGAATGTGTGCACCACATAAAACAAATCCTGCAGCACACAGTGTATAATGAGAGGAAAAAAGCGAGACCGTGTTTTTCGATTAAAACAGCGACTTTGCAGTGTTTTTCGTATATTTTTTATACTTGTATTTGCGATTTCTTGGTCTCATTTGATAGAATGGAAGCCATATTACAGAAATAGAGATGATTTTGATTGGTTTTAGCACTGGAAATGGCTTGAAACTGAGCTCAAAGTAGCAGAAATGTTAAATTTTTGCTGATGTTCAAGAGTAAACAAACGACCTCACACTTCTAATACACGCCAGCTGGTGAGTCTAATATACATTCACAAATGTGGTGATGATATTTATACAATTATTACAATATTGCTTAACAGTAAATCTTCTATTTTTTGGTTTGAATAAAAATTTATTATGTGAATAAAAAATCAAAATGGAATTCATTTGTAAAGCCTCAAAACATAACTGATGAACAGAGGAAATGTTAATTTAGTGCCAGGAATACCTACATTGTTTATTCTGGACCCTATTTTGAAATTGGAATATTTTGAACTTTGTGTTAAATTGGCCAAATTACCAATTTTGTAGTTGAAAGAGTTGACTTGGCAATTTCTTTTGCTCAGTCGGTAGAATAGAAGTAATACTAGTGAAATAGCTAAGAATTTGGTCGACTGGAGTAATGTAATTGGCGATTTGTAAATATCGCTGACACATCAAAATTCGCGAGAGTATAATTTCATCAGTTTTCCATCAAATTTCATACTTTTTATTTTATTACCTTCAGAAAAAGATTCTCTACCATTTCATAAGAAAAAATAACAAAAATTTTTTTTTTTAAATTCTTGGACCCTGGTGCGCACTTCGAAATTTGGCCTCTGGACCCTGAAAGGGTTAAGTAATGCTATATTTAATATAAATATATTAATATTTATATATATTTATTTATATATATATTTATATATTAATATAAATATGAGGTTTCAGAGTGGGTAGGGGATGTATGGATCAAGTGTTTACATTGAAGCATATATGTGAGCAGTATTTAGATAAAGGTAGGGAAGTTTTTATTGCATTTATAGATTTAGAAAAGGCATATGATAGAGTGGATAGGGGAGCAATGTGGCAGATGTTGCAAGTATATGGAATAGGTGGTAAGTTACTAAATGCTGTAAAGAGTTTTTATGAGGATAGTGAGGCTCAGGTTAGGGTGTGTAGAAGAGAGGGAGACTACTTCCCGGTAAAAGTAGGTCTTAGACAGGGATGTGTAATGTCACCATGGTTGTTTAATATATTTATAGATGGGGTTGTAAAGGAAGTAAATGCTAGGGTGTTCGGGAGAGGGGTGGGATTAAATTATGGGGAATTAAATACAAAATGGGAAGTCACACAGTTACTTTTTACTGATGATACTTTGCTTATGGGAGATTCTAAAGAAAAATTGCAAAGGTTAGTGGACGAATTTGGGAATGTGTGTAATGGTAGAAGGTTGAAAGTGAACATAGAAAAGAGTAAGGTGATGAGAGTATCAAATGATTTAGATAAAGAAAAATTGGGTATCAAATTGGGGAGGAGGAGTATGGAAGAAGTGAATGTTTTCAGATATTTGGGAGTTGACGTGTCAGCGGATGGATTTATGAAGGATGAGGTTAATCATAGAATTGATGAAGACAAAAAAGGTGAGTGGTGCATTGAGGTATATGTGGAGGCAAAAAATGTTATCTATGGAGGCAAAGAAGGGAATGTATGAAATTATAGTAGTACCAACACTCTTATATGGGTGTGAAGCTTGGGTTATAAATGCTGCCGCAAGGAGGCGGTTGGAGGCAGTGGAGATGTCCTGTCTAAGAGCAATGTGTGGTGTAAATATTATGCAGAAAATTCGGAGTGTGGAAATTAGGAGAAGGTGTGGAGTTAATAAAAGTATTAGTCAGAGGGCTGAAGAGGTTTGCTGAGGTGGTTTGGTCATTTAGAGAGAATGGATCAAAGTAGAATGACATGGAGAGCGTATAAATCTGTAGGGGAAGGAAGGTGGGGTAGGGTCGTCCTCGAAAAGGTTGGAGGGACGGGGTAAAGGAGGTGTTGTGGGCGAGGGGTTTGGACTTCCAGCAAGTGTGCGTGAGCATGTTAGATAGGAGTGAATGGAGACAAATGGTATTTGGGACCTGACGATCTGTTGGAGTGTGAGCAGGGTAATATTTAGTGAAGGGATTCAGGAAAACCGGTTATTTTATATAACCGGACTTGAGTCCAGGAAATGGGAAGTACAGTGCCTGCACTCTAAAGGAGGGGTTTGGGATATTGGCAGTTTGGAGAGATATATTGTGTATTTTCATACGTATATACTTCTAAACTGTTGTATTCTGGGCACCTCTGCAAAAACAGTGATTATGTGTGAGTGAGGTGAAAGTGTTGAATGATGATGAAAGTATTTTCTTTTTGGGGATTTTCTTTCTCTTTGAGTCACCCTGCCTCGGTGGGAGACGGCTGACATGTTGAAAAAAAAAAAATGTGTATGAGTGTTAAAGCAATTGGTTTACCTAATTCTTATTTCTCACTGCAAGTTTTCAGTAGTTCCTACAATAAATATGTTCTTATTTAGGTGATTTGTAGGTGAGCAAATTAAATTTTTTAAGTAATTCAAATGCTTTTTTTTTTTAAATATTTTTTTTTATTATCACACTGGCCGATTCCCACCAAGGCAGGGTGGCCCGAAAAAGAAAAACTTTCACCATCATTCACTCCATCACTGTCTTGCCAGAAGGGTGCTTTACACTACAGTTTTTAAACTGCAACATTAACACCCCTCCTTCAGAGTGCAGGCACTGTACTTCCCATCTCCAGGACTCAAGTCCGGCCTGCCGGTTTCCCTGAATCCCTTCATAAATGTTACTTTGCTCACACTCCAACAGCACGTCAAGTATTAAAAACCATTCGTCTCCATTCACTCCTATCAAACACGCTCACGCACGCCTGCTGGAAGTCCTAGCCCCTCGCACACAAAACCTCCTTTACCCCGTCCCTCCAACCTTTCCTAGGCCGACCCCTACCCCGCCTTCCTTCCATTACAGACTGATACACTCTTGAAGTCATTCTGTTTCGCTCCATTCTCTCTACATGTCCGAACCACCTCAACAACCCTTCCTCAGCCCTCTGGACAACAGTTTTGGTAATCCCGCACCTCCTCCTAACTTCCAAACTACGAATTCTCTGCATTATATTCACACCACACATTGCCCTCAGACATGACATCTCCACTGCCTCCAGCCTTCTCCTCGCTGCAACATTCATCATCCATGCTTCACACCCATATAAGAGTGTTGGTAAAACTATACTCTCATACATTCCCCTCTTTGCCTCCAAGGACAAAGTTCTTTGTCTCCACAGACTCCTAAGTGCACCACTCACCCTTTTCCCCTCATCAATTCTATGATTCACCTCATCCTTCATAGACCCATCCGCTGACACGTCCACTCCCAAATATCTGAATACATTCACCTCCTCCATACTCTCTCCCTCCAATCTGATATCCAATCTTTCATCACCTAATATTTTTGTTATCCTCATAACCTTACTCTTTCCTGTATTCACTTTTAATTTTCTTCTTTTGCACACCCTACCAAATTCATCCACCAATCTCTGCAACTTCTCTTCAGAATCTCCCAAGAGCATAGTGTCATCAGCAAAGAGCAACTGTGACAACTCCCACTTTATGTGTGATTCTTTATCTTTTAACTCCACGCCTCTTGTCAAGACCCTCGCATTTACTTCTCTTACAACCCCATCTATAAATATATTAAATATTATTAGCAATTGAAAGTTACTGAAACTTCTTTGGGAAAATTGTAACTGAGGACATCCCTGCCAAAAAAAAACCCTGTTAATATTAAGAGAGGATATGGGAAAATAGATGCTTCGATTCGTGAATTTATCATAATTTCAGGTGTTTATCTATCGCTTGTTTTGGAAAAGCAAAGACAACCCACGAAGAATAAAAATGGACGAAATTAAAAGAGCTTTTCCTGCCCATTCAGAGAGCTCAATTCGTAAAAGGCTGAAACCTTGTGCAGATTTTAAGCGTACAGGTGCTGACAGGTGTGTATTGTATGTCATACTTACTTGACTTACTGTAATATGTTAGTCTTTATTTGCAAAAGAATTTACATTTCATGATAGTGCTTTTTATAAAATTACATTACAGTGATGGCTTTTGCAAAGACCACAACTAATATGTGTAACACATTGGAGGGAGGAAAATGTGGAGGAACTGAGTGTGTTCAGATATATGGGAGTGGACGTGTTGCTGATGGGTATTTGAAAGATGAGGTAAACCATAGAATTGATGAAGGAGGGAAAAAGGTAGGTGGAGGATTGAGGCATCTGTGGAGACAACAAGAGGAATGTATGAGTGTATTTACCAATACTCTTATATGTGTGAAGCATAGGCTGTGAATGTTGCAGTAAGGAAGAGGATGGTGGCTGGAGATGTCATGTCTGATGACAGTGTGTGGCATAAATATTATGCAGAGTTTGGAAATTAGGAGGAGGTGTGGAGTTATAAAAAGTATTATTCAGAGGGCTGAGGAGGGGTTGTTGAGGTGGTTTTGTCATTCAGAGAGAATGGAGCAAAATAGGATGACTTGGAGGGTGTATAAATCTGTAGTGGAGGGAAGGCGGGGTTGGGATCATCCTAGGAAAGGATGGAGGGAGGGGTTAAAAGAGGTTTTGTGTGCAAGGGACTTGAACATACAGCAGGCATATGTGAGCATGTTAGATAGGAGTAAGTGGAGGCAAATGGTTTACAGGACTTGACAGGCTGTTGGAGTGTAAGTGAGGTAATATTTTGTAAAGAGATTCAGGAAAACTGGTTAGCCAGACTTGAGTCCTGGAGATGGGAATTACCATGCTTGCACTCTAAAGGAGGAGTTTGGAGTATTTGCTGTTTAGACGGACATTTAAACTGTCATATTTGCGCACCTCTGGCAAGACAGTGATAGTGTGAATGATGGTGAGTGTTTCTTTTTTGGGTTACCCTGCCTCAGTGGGAGACAGCCACCTGTTAAAAAAAAAAATTCTCAATGATGCTTCATAAAGCCCACAAGTATTAAGTAAATTACATAGGATAGTCACCAAAACATTTACCAATTTGTTGAAATTTGCAAATCTAAAAGCTCTTATATAGAGAAAATTTCTGATTGTTTTGAACAATTCTGTTGGTACTGCCTTATTTAAACTATAATGTAGAGCACTGCAGTGTATTTCTCTATACTGTACTGTACATTTATGTTTACAGTGTAATTGTTGGTTTGTATCTCTCCACAGCAATTGGTGGGTAATTAAGCCAGAGTTCCGTTTACCAACTGAAGAGGAAATCCGTGCTATGGTATCACCAGAACAGTGTTGTACTTACTTCAGCATGTGTGCAGCAGAACAGCGCCTCAAGGATGCTGGATATGGTGATAAATTCCTCTCTGCCTTGGAAGATGATGATAATGATGATACACAAAAACTAGATGATGAGATCAAGGTAAATCTGGGCCTTATTTTTTTTTTTTTTTAGTTTTGTTTCATGATCCTCAGATCATTTCCCATCTGTATATAACATATCTATTGCACAGCCTCATAACACATATATTAATAAACTAATGGATATAGAGTGATTACTGATGAATCTCTCACAAGGTAATAAACTATACTGGAGGGGACCTGCTTTACAGCGCTTCGCTTTACATTGTTTTCTTAATACAGCGGTTTTCAATTATACCCATTCTTCATTTATTCAGAATTCCTACAATAAATATGTTCACCACTCACTAAAAGCTATGCACTAAAATATTTTAAGGCAAGTAATGTGTGTACTGTATGTATATGCATTTTTTAGGCCTAGATATATTGCTCACTTAATATCAGGCTTTTATACATATGTATTTGAAAGTGAAAAAAGTCTATGTTTCACTTTACAGTGATTTTTGCTTTACAGCGGCAGCCTCCTGTAAATGTATGTTTCCAGGTACTGGTAATATATTGGATACTAATTAGGACATTTATTGCAATTCACTCATTTTTTGTACAGAAAATTAATCATATTTAATCCTATTTAAATCATTGAGATGCCTCCATTTTTTTCCATAAGCTGCTCAAAAATTATGAAGCACTCCAGAAGTGTGGTTCAAAAACTGTAAGACTTCATATAATGAATGCCTTTGTAATAAAGTCGCTCTCTTTGAGTTGCACTGTGTCGTACTTTTGTAAATCATCCTTAAAGTCCTAAGTTAAATACCAGCCATAGAACGTTTTTGAAATGAGCTCACTTTATTACCCATGCCCAAATACTATTTTGTTTTGGCTACTCTTTTATGAGTGTTACTAGGAAAAAGAGATTAGAGCCATGTTTAAATACAGTAGACCGTTATTTAGCACCAGTTTATTTGGCATTTTTTGTAAATAGTTAATAGAATGAGTTTGCTAACTAATTTTAGTATTTACAGAGTAATAATCCCATATTTTTCAACTGTTATATTAATTACAGGTTGCACCATGGCATACTACCCGTGCTTATATCCAGGCTGTTCGTGGGAAGTGCCTGCTGCAGCTAACTGGCCCTGCTGATCCAACTGGTGTGTATATCATTTATAATACTTTCACTTAATTTTTGTTTTTTAACTAACTAGGTATTATTTCCACTTCATGGTAGGGTAATGCATACACCATGATGCTTCATTCTTAAGATATCGTGGGCATTAGAGTGTTATATTGGACTGATTGGAGGCAAGTGGTTATTTTGTGACTTGACATGCTGTTGGGGTGTGAGCAGGGTAACATTTATGAAGGGATTCAAGGAAGCCAGTGAGCCAGAGGCAAGTCCTGGATTGGGGAAGTATAGTGCCTGTACTCTGAAAGAGGGGTGGGGCTATTACAGTTTGGAGGGGCATTGAGCTGTGATGTTGGCACACCTCTGAGAAGACAATGATTGAGTGAATGTTGATGGAAGTGTTTCTTCAGTTTCGAGTAATCCTACCTCGGTGGGAGACACCTGGAGTATTAAAAACAAACGTTTCCCATATTCTAATATTTTTTTAACACACCGGCTGTCTCTCACGAAGGCAGGGTGACCCGAAAAATAAGAAACAAAATTTTTCTTCTTTTTACATTTAGGAATTTGTGCAGGAGAAAAGGTTACTAGCCCCTTGCTCCCAGCAAGGCTTATGGAGGAAGGTTCCTCCACTTTTCTATGGAGAATATTCTCAATTCTCAAATTTTAAATAATCTGTATCCATCTGTCATTTTTTCTATATGGTTTATGTAACTAGAATGGAAGAGCATATGTGCCATGTATCATTTTCTTAATATTCACCTTACTTAACTACAAATTTCTTATGATTAGGTTTGTGATAATTACTTGACAAATAGTTGTATTTGAGAAGCCCAAATGTTGTACACTAATATATTGTGCCCTTTTGTATTTAATTCCTTTATTATTAGAATCTGGAGCTTGGACCAGATGTGAGTAAGTTAATATATATTTCTTGTTTCCTGTTGAATTGTTTAGTTATTCATAATTTTAATTATTTTCTCAGGGTGTGGTGAAGGATTCTCTTATATTCGAATCCCAAACAAACCAACACAGAATAAAGAGGAACAAGAGCAGCAGCCAAAACGTACTGTTACAGGAACTGATGCTGATCTTCGAAGACTATCTCTAATTAATGCCAAGAACCTTCTGCGACAATATGGAGTTCCAGAAGATGAGGTACGGTAGAGTTACTATTTTTATTGAGTATTCCTGTTAGGGATACATTTTTTCCTCTAAGTTTCTTGACAGTAACTTGAAAATGCCTCTGCATGACCCTGAAGCTTGAAAACACATATAGTGTATGTTCATTGAAGAATGCTACGTATTTGAAAATGGGCATTTTTTGCTTGGGTGATTATTTATGAAACTCATTTTTTTGTGTGTGGGGGATGATCATTGTTCTGTGCTATGGGATGATGACTGTAACAATACCAAACTTGCTAAACACATGGTCCCATGTCTGATGATATTCTGGATAGTCTCATTTTATACTGCAGGCACAGGACATCATTTCCTTGAGTCAGTTCCTAAGTTTTATGGCTCTCTTATTACTTTATTTTATCCACCTCTAGAGTTGTAATTAATGAGTACATCTAATATTTAGTCCCGATTCAGCATGGAAAATGGGAAGGTGATAAAGCTGAGTAGAAAGTGGTAGGGAGTTCTGAAACTGGTGATTTAGGGGTAAAACTGATAAGTTGTGTTTTTCATTTTTAAAGCATGGTATTATTAAACCTCAGATTATCAATATTATTTCTATTTTACAGATTGCTAAACTAACAAGATGGGAGGTGATAGATGTAGTGCGAACTTTATCAACTGAGAAGGCAAAGGCAGGGGAAGAAGGAATGAACAAGTTTTCCAGAGGAAATCGCTTCTCTATTGCTGAACACCAGGAAAGGTGTGCATTCCAATAAAGATTTCAGTATGGCTGTATGATGCTAAATTGGAATTTCTCAAATGTGTAATATCTCAAAACATATTACTGTATATTCTTCAAATATGACTGACATTTTTGTGCACATTACAGGTCATTGATTTCTGCCTGACACACATTGCTTTTTAAAGTAGAGGATCAGCTAGATGATCAGAAACAGAGCTTGAAACTTTGTGATTTCCTAAGAGTAAACATTCATTTCCAAATGTGTAATTATGTAAAGAGCCAATCTGAAGGATCAGACCAAGCTAATCCAAAACTACCCAAACAAGAAAGATGTCGGTGAAGAACAAAGTCATCAAGATAAAATCTGATGGGGATCTGCTTGTGAGCAGTGACAGGGAAGTACCTAAGGAACTATGCAGAAATTCCTGGGAATATTTACTATGACTGAATTAAATCACCTGCTGTAAATGAAAGGGAACTTTTAAGCTCAAGAGAAAGTGAAACATACAGGAACATATGGGAACATATAGCATCTTACTTACCATGGGTACCACAGGAAGCAGCAGAAACTCTGAGCAAGCCACTATACTATAGCAACAATACTGGAAGAGTTAACAAAAAAGCTGGAAATTTGTGATTATATTCTGATATTCATGAAAGGGAAGAAGTGGGGAGTCTTTAACTCTAAAGCAGTATCTTGGACATATACTTTTCAAAGGGTTAGAAAATGGCTGTAGACCACCTACAGAGAATAATTTTTCCCCACAGAGGTCTATGATAAGAAGATGGAATAAAAACAGGAAAACGAAGGACCTGGGCTTTCTGGCATTTCATCTTTTCACTGAGAAGACCTTTGTAAATTGTTTGTTCAGCACTTCTCAGACTTCTTTGTTATTTCCCCCTTCCTTCTTCAGTCAAATTACCTGGTCTTTTTCTGTTGTTTTCCTTCTGATGTGGCTGTGAAGCAGTTTTGGTTCCATCTTAACCTTGGTTACTACCGTATGTCATTCCCAAATTGTCACTCGGCCTCTTTCCTCACTCTTGCATATTCATTTCTGGCTAACCTGCACACTTCTCTGTTCTCATCTGTCCTTTGCTTCCTATAGTTTTTCCATGCTCTTATGTTTCTCTTTTTTCCTATCTGTATCTTTGGTTGAACTAAGACTTCTCTTTGTCTTTTGGTGCTGAAAGGTTGCTACTTGAGTTGAAAGGCAGAAGAGCTCAATAGTGTTCAAAGAAAAGAAAAACAGAGGAGGAGGAGGAGGGAGTTTTTTTTTATTTTAATGATTGTTTAATAAAAACTGTATTGTGAGGTACAGTGTGTTGAATTAGGAGACTGTGGACACCTCCCTGCAGTCTAGGCATATCAGTTATATTTGTCATCATCATCATTTTTCAGATACAAAGAGGAATGTCAGCGTATATTTGATCTCCAGAATAGGGTTTTAGCATCTGAAGAGGTTTTATCTACTGATGAGGGATCCTCAGAGGAGGAAGACAATGACTCAGATATGGAGGAAAAAGGAAAATATATTGAAAATATCCTTGCTAATAAGAAGACTACTTCACAGGTAAGAATGGAGTAACTTCTTTCTGATGTCAGCAGCTTTAAAACTCATGTGATACTAAATTGTATTTCATACGCTTTTCATTTATTTTTTTGATACACTGGCCGCCTCCCATTGAGGTTTGGTGACTCTAAAGAGGAGGTACAATCTGATTATAAAACTTTTGTGTTTTTTATGATTTAACATTCTATTGGAATGTGAGCAGAGCAATGTTTATAAAGGGATGCGGGGAAATCAGTTAACCAAACTTGAGTCTTGGAGGTAGAAAGTACAGTGACTGCACTCTGAAGGGATGGGTGGTGGAGGACGTTGTAGTTTGGAGAATCATTTGAACTGTGGTGTCAGTGGATTTCTGGCAAGACAGTGATTGAATGATTGATGGTATACGTGTTTTCTTCTTTTTCTGGTCACCCTACTTTAGTGGGAGACAGCCACCATGTCAAAAATATGAGAGGGCTAAAGAAAGTCTATCAAGGTGAATTTGAGAATAGGAAAAGAAGATGAAAGGTGAGGAAGAAGAGTGGCAGATAGGGCAAAGGAATATTTGCAAAAGTGTAGGAAGAGATCAACCTCCCACTCCTTGGCCTTGCCTCTTAACCACTAATTGGCCAGTATGGTGCATCTTAAACATCATAGGTTTTATTGTATACAGTATCTATCTGAATTTAAGTATTGAGTTTATTACCATTACTTCCTTATCTAGAGTAATTTACTTGCTCATCAACCTCATCCTAAAGCTGCTTTTTATATCTATTTTGCCCATTATGGCATATTGCCTTTGTCTCTTCATCCTGATCAAACTCCCTTCAAACACATTTATCGAATAGTTTAGCTGATATAAACTTTTATTTTACCTTTTTTTCAACAAACTGGCCATATCCCACCGAGGTAGGGTGACCTATAAAGAAAAACAAGTTTTTCATTTTAAATTTAGTACATAACGTATGCAGGAGAAAAGGTTACTAGCCCCTTGCTTCCGGCATTTTAGTTGCCTCTACAACACACATTGGCTTACAGAGGAAGAATTCTTTTTCACTTTCCCATGGAGATTGTATTTTACCTGTTTCTCTTAAGATTTTGTTCTTCACTGGTACTTAGCACCAAAATGTAGAAAAGGTAATATGTTTCTGGATAAAATTAATTGGTAAGATATGATAATTTTTCTATAGGTTTCTACATTTTTTGCAATAAACTCTCCATTTTACTTCTTCTCTGAAATGTTAATAAAATTTTGGTATGTGCAGTTGTATAAATTTCCATTTTTAGATGACATTGGAAAAGGAAGAACAGGAGAGAAAAGAGCTGCAGAAGATGATAATGGGTGAAGATGACAGGGATGGTGATAAGAGAAAAGGAACTAAGAAAGATGAAGATGAAAATTCTCAGTTTGGATTTGGAACACCAGGTGATGTATATAATCACTATACTGCATATAGTCTAACTTGCAGTAACTGCTATTACTGCTTATAATGTGGGCATAATGTGGTATTTGAAATAATACCTCAGGTGTTGCAGTGAGGAGGATTTTTATTGTCTTTTTATTTGTTTTTCATTATTCTTTTGTATCTCTGTTAATCATAATGAACAGTACTTTTATTCGAATTGTACTTATTTGAAACTACCCTAAATGTGGAAATTTTTGTACAGTATCATGATACTTCATTATAGTATGTGGTAAAAATGATATCGTAACTAAGGCTTTCACTGCACCAGTATTTGCTTTCTGTCAAACTTGTTTTTATTCTGTTATTACCTTTTTTTTTTTATGTTTTTGGGCTTTCTAATTTTCCCCATTATTTATGCAGGTCGCCTTTTAAGAATAACACGTACTTTCAAGACTCCAGATGGAAAGGAATATACAAGGACAGAAATTGTCCGAAAAACTGCTGTGATTGATACGTACGTCAAGATACGAACTTCAAAAGACGAATCATTTATTAAAAGTTTTGCTGGTCAGCTTGGTGAGTTATGCTCTTATTGAATTTTTAAGCACAGATAATAATACTGTGTTGTTTTTATTATCACAGGTACTTTTATTTATTTTCCAATGTTCAGCTGACCCTCATTTAACAGATGTTTGTAGAGCATAATTTCGACTAATGACCAATAGAAAGCCCTCTCAGTTTATCCCAATTTCCCTGCTTATAGGCCAGTTTGGTGCTCATATAATGACTTTACTCCCCCCCCTCCAAAAAAAAATAGAAATTAAATAAGGAATATTACTGTCACAATCCACATCATTTTATATATGAGTGTTTATGGGGAAACATAATTGACTTCAAGTTTTTTCACTTATTGAATCTTTTGTCTGGTTCCTATATAAGTTGTTAAGTGAAGGGTTGACTGTATGTAGAGCAAATTAATTTTGCTTTTTATGAGAAAAATTTTGTCAGTGGTGAATTTTAAAAGTTCAACTAATAGATGCATCCCTACTTCAGATGAGTCTCAGAAGGAAGAGATGAAGCGAGAGCGGCGACGTCTTCAGGAACAGTTAAGAAGAATCAAGCGAAACCAAGAACGCCAACAAAAGGGCATTGTTACCCCACCCAAGACTAAGAAACCTAAGCTAAAGCCTGACTTAAAACTCAAGTGTGGTGCTTGTGGACAGGTCAGAGATTAATTATTATGTGCGTCAATTAGTAAATTGTTTGCTATGTTTTCATATCTAGTAAAGTTGGTTCTTGTGAGGCTTTCTAAAAACAATCATTATGCTGTATCCCATTTACCAACAATGTCTTGTAATTTTTCATGTGTCAAGCATTAGAGTAATGTCAGTAATTATCCCAGGGACTGTGAGTGGCACTAGTGGATTGTACTCTATAAGGAGGCCTCAAGGCCTCTTTATACAGTATGTAGATGACCAAGTAGTGTACTATACAATATGTAGATCACCAGGCATGTACTGGTTGGCATCCAATCCAGAGGTCACCTGTCACTGTCTGCAGGTGATGGTAGTTGACTATATCATGGCATTAACTGCTGTGGTTTATTACCAATTTTCTGCCTAGAAGAGAGCAGCTTTTCAGTTTACTTCTTGAGGGTTAAAGATATCTTCAGGAAGAAAAAAATTACGTTTACAGTTCATCTTGAGTATTGCTTTTGTTACAGATTAAATTTGTATTTAATTAAAATCTCAGTTGCTTTGTCTATCCTTTATAGTCAATGATCTTTAAGCAGAGTTTTTATTGTTCTTACATCTTTGTACACAACCTTTACTAAAAGAAGTTATTTGTATTACCTGCCTTTCTCTTTCGCCTCTTAGTCAGGTTCAGTATTTTGTCACTTTCTGTTTATGCAGAGTAGCCCTAAACTTTGCAGTATCCTGGGATATTTTTCTTTTGAATATGTATTTATCAGTGCAGGCACCTAGAATAGATAGGCATTTATTTTTTCTTCTGTTTATAAAGCTAACTCATTTGTTTATTTCTTGCAACAGGTGGGTCACATGCGTACCAATAAGGCATGTCCCATGTATGCGGGCAATACTGGTATCTCACAACCTATCAGCGTTGCCATGACTGAAGAGCAAGAGGAGGAGATGGAGAAGGGTGGCATTGAAGAGTCAGAGGAGCTAATTAATGTTGATGGCACCAAAATCAAGCTCTCTTCCAAAGTTATTAAGGTAAGAAACTTTAGTAGGCTATAAAAATAAATACACGGTTTGTGAATATTGATTTGGGGCAACCAGGCCTAAGTATTATTTCCTGAATTTTCTAATATATCTTGACGTGTCGGCGGATGGATTTATGAAGGATGAGGTTAATCATAGAATTGATGAGGGAAAAAAGGTGAGTGGTGCGTTGAGGTATAAGTGGAGTCAAAAAACGTTATCTATGGAGGCAAAGAAGGGAATGTATGAAAGTATAGTAGTACCAACACTCTTATATGGATGTGAAGCTTGGGTGGTAAATGCAGCAGCGAGGAGACGGTTGGAGGCAGTGGAGATGTCCTGTTTAAGGGCAATGTGTGGTGTAAATATTATGCAGAAAATTCGGAGTGTGGAAATTAGGAGAAGGTGTGGAGTTAATAAAAGTATTAGTCAAAGGCAGAAGAGGGGTTGTTGAGGTGGTTTGGTCATTTAGAGAGAATGGATCAAAGTAGAATGAAAGGAAAGCATATAAATCTATTGGGGAAGGAAAGAGGGGTAGGGGTCGTCCTCGAAAGGGTTGGAAAGAGGGGGTAAAGGAGGTTTTGTGGGCGAGGGGCTTGGACTTCCAGCAAGCGTGCATGAGCGTGTTAGATAGGAGTGAATGGAGACGAATGATACTTGGGACCTGACGATCTGTTGGAGTGTGAGCAGGGTAATATTTAGTGAAGGGATTCAGGGAAACCGGTTATTTTCATATAGTCGGACTTGAGTCCTGGAAATGGGAAGTACAATGCCTGCACTTTAAAGGAGGGGTTTGGGATATTGGCAGTTTGGAGGGATATGTTGTGTATCTTTATACGTATATGCTTCTAAACTGTTGTATTCTGAGCACCTCTGCAAAAGCAGTGATAATGTGTGAGTGTGGTGAAAGTGTTGAATGATGATGAAAGTATTTTCTTTTTGGGGATTTTCTTTCTTTTTTGGGTCACCCTGCCTCGGTGGGAGACGACCGACTTGTTGAAAAAAAAAAAAAAAAATCTTGATAATATATGTGAACAGTATTTAGATAAAGGTAGGGAAGTTTTTATTGCATTTATGGATTTAGAAAAGGCATATGATAGAGTGGATAGAGGAGCAATGTGGCAGATGTTGCAAGTATATGGAATAGGTGGTAAGTTATTAAATGCTGTAAAGAGTTTTTATGAGGATAGTGAGGCTCAGGTTAGGGTGTGTAGAAGAGAGGGAGACTACTTCCTGGTAAAAGTAGATCTTAGACAGGAATGTGTAATGTCACCATGGTTGTTTAATATATTTATAGATGGGGTTGTAAAGGAAGTAAATGCTAGGGTGTTCGGGAGAGGGGTGGGATTAAATTTTGGGGAATCAAATTCAAAATGGGAATTGACACAGTTACTTTTTGCTGATGATACTGTGCTTATGGGAGATTCTAAAGAAAAATTGCAAAGGTTAGTGGATGAGTTTGGGAATGTGTGTAAAGGTAGAAAGTTGAAAGTGAACATAGAAAAGAGTAAGGTGATGAGGGTATCAAATGAATTAGATAAAGAAAAATTGGATATCAAATTGGGGAGGAGGAGTATGGAAGAAGTGAATGTTTTCAGATACTTGGGAGTTGACGTGTCAGCGGATGGATTTATGAAGGATGAGGTTAATCATAGAATTGATGAGGGAAAAAAGGTGAGTGGTGCGTTGAGGTATATGTGGAGTCAAAAAACATTATCTATGGAGGCAAAGAAGGGAATGTATGAAAGTATAGTAGTACCAACACTCTTATATGGGTGTGAAGCTTGGGTGGTAAATGCAGCAGCGAGGAGACGGTTGGGGGCAGTGGAGATGTCCTGTTTAAGGGCAATGTGTGGTGTAATATTATGCAGAAAATTCGGAGTGTGGAAATTAGGAAAAGGTGTGGAGTTAATAAAAGTATTAGTCAGAGAGCAGAAGAAGGGTTGTTGAGGTGGTTTGGTCATTTAGAGAGAATGGATCAAAGTAGAATGACATGGAAAGCATATAAATCTATAGGGGAAGGAAGGCGGGGTAGGGGTCGTCCTTGAAAGGGTTGGAGAGAGGGGGTGGGGGAGGTTTTGTGGGCAAGGGACTTGGACTTCCAGCAAGCGTGCATGAGCGTGTTAGATAGGAGTGAATGGAGACGAATGGTACTTGGGACCTGACGATCTGTTGGAGTGTGAGCAGGGTAATATTTAGTGAAGGGATTCAGGGAAACCGGTTATTTTCATATAGTCGGACTTGAGTCCTGGAAATGGGAAGTACAGTGCCTGCACTTTAAAGGAGGGGTTTGGGATATTGGCAGTTTGGAGGGATATGTTGTGTATCTTTATATGTGTATGCTTCTAAACTGTTGTATTCTGAGCACCTCTGCAAAAACAGTGATAATGTGTGAGTGTGGTGAAAGTGTTGAATGATGATGAAAGTATTTTCTTTTTGGGGATTTTCTTTCTTTTTTGGGTCACCCTGCCTCAGTGGGAGACGGCCGACTTGTTGAAAAAAAAAAAAAAAAATCTTGATAATGATTAAATATCTGCTAATAAAAACAGGTACTAAATATTTTTAAATGGGTCTATGAATTACATCCTCTCACACTTTCTCCATTATCAGATAAATTAAATAGACTAAGTACAGGAATTTTGAAACATTCCCATTTTTTCAACGACCCAGCCATATCCCACTGAAGCAGGGTGATCTTAAAAGAAAAACAACCTTTTCTCTTTTCAAGTTTAGTAATGTATACAGGAGAGGGGGGTCACTAGTCCCATTTATCCACAATATATATTGAAGAAAGTACAGCCTGTACAAGTACCATATGTCAAGACAATCATTTCTTGAATACAATAGTTGTTTCATTGCAGTTCACATTTGAAACCAGTTTGGGAGCTAAACTGTACTATTTAATTGCAGCATGCAGAAGAGCTAAAACGGCGATCACTAGTGCTCAAGGTTCCAAAAGACCAGGTCAAGAATGCAAAGCGTAGACGAGCAGGTACAGTAGTTCACTGTGATTATCTAAAGAGAAAGGAACGCTCTGTAAATCGTCGCAGAATCGACCCGGTCATTACTCTTTCCACTATATTTGAGGAAATTTTGAATGACATGAGGGAAATGTCAGATGCTCAGCCTTTCCTTTTCCCAGTTAATGTTAAGGTAGGTACTGAGTTCATTTATTAATTTTTGTTGTTGCTTATTATGTGAATTTCTGTTGAGATGAAAGCTATTTCTTGCCACTTATGCCTAATATTAACAATTAACAAGGGTTCTTTCCTACTTGTATCACATATATATTGTTGAGCATGCTTATCTTAAAAGTGAAAAGGTGAAAGGTTTTATATTCTGCTATGAGATGGAGAAATCTATTCTGTTTTAAGATGGGATAGAACACTGTGCAGAGATGCATTATTTCATTTACTTCTACACCTAGCCATAATTGAGTTCACACTGGGAAACTGAGTGGCAAATAGCACTGCAAAGATAATGATTAATTTTTGTGTTTGGCAAATTACTACTCCTTATGTTGTTTCATGACACTGGATTACATAATCTGCTAAGGATAGGTGTGACAGTTGTCTTAAAAACATCCTGTACATTTGCAACACATTGCCTATTTAAGAGGCTGCAGAGGCAGCCTATCCATTATGTAATTGTCATAGATTACTGTGATAGTTATCAAGATCATTACAAAAATGGCAAAAAGGCACAATTCTGTGACGAAACGTTGTTGTAAGCTCTCTCCTATGCATGGGTTATTTGTGTATGATCATTCCGGCCAGCAGTAAGCACCTAAAATTGCGGAAAATTGCAAGACTGTATGTACTCATCTTGTACAAGACTCAGTGCTCTATAATATGCAGAAGAGTGCAGCTATTTCTGTGGTGCATTGAACATTTCCTGATGACTTGGTGCACCACAAGCTTATTTCATAAGGTCAGGCATTTTTTTTTTTTTCCATCTGAGATTTAATACACCCTTGATTGAAAAAAAATATGAATATGGCTTCTCTGAGTCGTGTAAAACTGTTACATATAATAACCCTAGTTGAATGTTTAACCTTTAAAACAAATTTAAAGTGTGTCAGTTTCTGATCATGATGTGCACTGCACTCACTTGTCTGTAACATGTCATTGAAGAGAGGTGATGCAACGCTCATTGAGATACCATGTTCTGTAACATTAGCAAGCATCAAGATAATAATTTTTTTGTATCTTTTTTTTTTATTATTTATAGTAAAATCAGTCTTGGAATAAACCATATCCCTATTTTTTTTTTGTTCAATAATTTGTACAGTACAGATTTTGAATGTGCTGTAGGAATTGCTCTAGCCTTGTATCTCAAACTACACATACATATTTTTCTTTTTCATTTTATTCCTTTATCGTGTAGAATTTGTGTGATGTGTGTAAACTTTATTGGTATAGATAGTAATAGTTGCTTAATAGTTATGGCCCTAATTGATTCAGTGCTTTCAGCACTTCAACTTGGAATTTTTGTGCCCCAGTTAGTAGCAAAATGTAAATTATTTATATGTTCCTTCATACTGCATATGTCTACTTATTTTCAGTCTCTAAACTGATTTCTGTATTTTCAGCAAGTACCTGATTACTATAACATTGTAGTTCATCCTATGGACTTATCAACCATTCGTGATAATCTACGTCAGAAGAAGTACCAAAGTCGTGAGGAGTTCCTCTCTGACATCTCGCAGATAGTAGAGAACTCAAGACTGTATAACGGTAACGGTATTTTGGAACACCTCTAGGTTTTTCGTTATTATTGATTGATTTATTACATATATGTGTCTTTGCCTTTTTTCCCAAAAGTGATTAGAGAATGATCAGAAAATACTGTTTTTAATCATCACTGTGCATAATTTAGTGCAATGTATAATAATTGAATTGATATGGTTTTATACTATAGCATCTACCATATAACAGTACATTTCTCTCATTATAAATATAAATTTCAGGCTACTATTGAGCTAGGAAAGTAAGAACTATGACAAATAACTAATTGCCTTAAAAAATATTTGAGAATTTTGAGAGCACTTTTTGAAGTGTTATAAAAGTTATGGTACAGTAAACAGAATGATTTTATCAATGATTCAAGTATATTATGAAACAAGTATCCTGAATATTTTTATATTTTTAACATCATGCTTGGGAGTATAGATATCATTCTTGCAGCATCACCATCCCTCTGAGGGACGGGTGGAGATGTTGGTGTCTTTCTGGCAAGACAGTGATTGAATGAACACCAGTGAAAATGTTTTCTTCTTTCCTGGATCATCCTACCTCAGTGAGAGATGGCCGGAGTGTTAAAAGAAACTTTTTCATGTAGTTATGCTCCATTTTCCAAGAAAATTTCCTTTCCTGGAGTCTGGATATTGCTAGTGTTTGCAAGTGTTAGATACTTTTAACCCTTAAACTGTCCAAATGTAGATCTAAGTTCGCTCGCGTAGCGCTCCAAACGTAGATCTACGTTTTTTTTACATTCTCTCTTATGGAGAAAATCAAGGTCGGAGCGCTACTCGTGCAAACGTAGATCTACGTTTGGACAGTTTAGGGGTTAATAAAGCATTGTAAATAGTCAGGCAGCCTATATTTAACAGGTGCTTCAAGTATGTTTAAGTAGTAAGTACTTTAAGTGGGGCATTAGCAATGATTGTCATTAGAAAGGTGGAGTAGATATGGGTTCTGTAATTGAGGATATAAAAAGGCACTACTACATAATTAATAATGAAAATGTTTGAATAATAAGGGGAATGAATGAATATGAAGTGAATTAAATAAAACTAAAAATGCAGGAATAGGAGTAAGATAGGATGAATAAGAATGAATTAGTTTGAGGGAGAGGAAGGGGACAGGATCATCTGCTTTCTCAGTGATTTGAGTAACTAGATGCAAAATGGGAAGTTGCTGAGAGATGCATAGTTTATAGACGGCTGCAATAAATCTGCTGGAGAAGTCATGGGTGTAGAGGGCTGTACTGTATCTGCTGGAGGAGTCATGGGTGTAGAGGGCTGTACTGTATCTGCTGGAGAAGTCGTGGTTGTAGATGCATGAAGTCTCATAAAATAGGTCTTGAGCAACACTTGGCTCAGCAGTGTTTTATAGCAGTCCAAGCTAGGTGACTGTGTTCTTGTGGGTTGATTCATTGAATCAAACATGCCTGGCAAAGGTCACAATTTCCTTGTGTACATCCAGAAATGTTTCCTGAAATCTGTTCAAGTCAGTGACTCATCTAGGCCACAGTTTTATCATGTCATATTTTTGTGGCAGTTGTGACTTTATTACAGGATTTATCAATGTTTGAATGATGTCCAGGATGTTGAATGTGTATCCTCTCCATCAGAGTTTGGGGTTTTGATAGCCTTCAAAATTAATACTTTCCGTTAGTGATGCAGTGTTTTCCTTAATTGTAGGTGTTAAGAGCACTCTAACAGTAACAGCTCAGAAGATGTTGGAGTTATGCATTGACCGATTTGCTGAGAAGGAAGAGCGACTTATGAGGCTGGAGAAGGCTATTAACCCTCTGCTAGATGATGATGACCAGGTGTGGAATTATGTATTGATACTTTTTTATAGGGATATTGGTACAGTATATAATGTAAATGCTTTGCATTTTGGTGATGCTGTGAGTTTACATACTATGAAAACTATTCTTGGGAAGAAAATCCATTCTTATAGAATTTATGAAAAATTTGAATTGTAAATAAAGGGCAGAATATAAAGGTTAATTATTCTCTCAGTCCCATAAAAGGTTTATCAGCATTTTTTTTTTCTATCCTGTGTTCTATAATTACCATTTTTTTTTTTTCAAACAGGTTGCATTTGACTACATTTTGGACAACATTGTGAACCACAAGCTCTTCTCAATGCAAGAATCTTGGCCATTTATGAAACCTGTCAACAAAAAGAATGTTAAGGATTATTATGAGATAATTCAACATCCAATGGATCTTTCTACTATTGCTAAAAAGGTTAAAAGTAAGTATGACATATTTAGTCTTGCTTAATTTATTCTGTAGCTTTTTGAATACTGTAATGTATTCAAATAACTTTACTGTACTTCAGGAGAGTTCACTAATTAGTAAGATTAGCTTCAATCTTTCATTTTTTACACCATGAAATTAAGTGCTGCTTCTCTTTGAAACCAAATTACTGGGTACTGAACACTTATATTACAGCTTGCCTTATATTGACTTTTTCTTTTTTACCTCTTCACTATTTGCTTATTAAATAATTGGTAGGGTGTGCAAAAGAAGAAAATTGAAAGTGAATACAGGAAAGAGTAAGGTTATGAGGATAACAAAAAGATTAGGTGATGAAAGATTGGATATCAGATTGGAGGGAGAGAGTATGGAGGAGGTGAATGTATTCAGATATTTGGGAGTGGACGTGTCAGCGGATGGGTCTATGAAAGATGAGGTGAATCATAGAATTGATGAGGGGAAAAGGGTGAGTGGTGCACTTAGGAGTCTGTGGAGACAAAGAACTTTGTCCTTGGAGGCAAAGAGGGGAATGTATGAGAGTATAGTTTTACCAACGCTCTTATATGGGTGTGAAGCATGGGTGATGAATGTTGCAGCAAGGAGAAGGCTGGAGGCAGTGGAGATGTCATGTCTGAGAGCAATGTGTGGTGTGAATATAATGCAGAGAATTCGTAGTTTGGAAGTTAGGAGGAGGTGCGGGATTACCAAAACTGTTGTCCAGAGGGCTGAGGAAGGGTTGTTGAGGTGGTTCGGACATGTGGAGAGAATGGAGCGAAACAGAATAACTTCAAGAGTGTATCAGTCTGTAGTGGAAGGAAGGCGGGGTAGGGGTCGGCCTAGGAAAGGTTGGAGGGAGGGGGTAAAGGAGGTTTTGTGTGCGAGGGGCTTGGACTTCCAGCAGGCATGCGTGAGCGTGTTTGATAGGAGTGAATGGAGACAAATGGTTTTTAATACTTGACGTGCTGTTGGAGTGTGAGCAAAGTAACATTTATGAAGGGGTTCAGGGAAACCGGCAGGCCGGACTTGAGTCCTGGAGATGGGAAGTACAGTGCCTGCACTCTGAAGGAGGGGTGTTAATGTTGCAGTTTAAAAACTGTAGTGTAAAGCACCCTTCTGGCAAGACAGTGATGGAGTGAATGATGGTGAAAGTTTTTCTTTTTCGGGCCACCCTGCCTTGGTGGGAATCGGCCAGTGTGATAAAAAAAAAAAAAAATAAGAATTTCACCATATCATGACAGCAACAAACTGTGTAAGGAATATTAAGGACCGAACAGGTGGCCTTGTATTTACAAGTATGCTGCTATATGCATTACCTGCAGAATGTTAAAATAATTTGTAACATTGGAAATAGAGCCAGATGCAATATAATGCAATCCTTTACTGGTGACATTTTGTCCACACAGGGAGCTTTATCAAGTCACATCTGCTGTGACTCAACAGACTCACTGCATTTGTAACTCTTTCTCCTATTGTATTAGTATTTTATACCATTTCTCTCCAGTTTATGACATTGTAACTAAATCAGTCCTTTCATAGACTTGCATATGCAGAGTCGCCAGTTCAGTCCCCAGTATTCCTTACATAATTTGTTTGGGCTCAATAAACTTAGGTTTCACGTTCTTCTTTGTTCAGCAAACGGGTAGTATCCCACCAAAGCAGGGTGGCCCAAAAGGAAAAATGAAAGTTTCTCTTTTTAACTTCAGTAATGTATACAGGAGAAGGGGTTACTAGCCCCTTGCTCCCGGCATTTTAGTCGCTTCTTATGACATGCATAGGCTTACGGAGGAAGAATTCTGTTCCACTTCCCCATGGAGATAAGAGGAAATAAACAAGAACAAGAACTAGTAAGAAAATAGAAGAAAACCCAGAGGGGTGTGTATATATATGATTGTACATGCATGTGTAGTGTGACCTAAGTGTAAGTAGCAAGACATACATGAAATCTTGCATGTTTATGAGACAGAAAAAAGACACCAGCAATCCTACCATCATGAAAAATAATTACAGGCTTCCGTTTTACACTCACTTGGCAGGACAGTAGGTGGTTTTATCTCTGTACTTTTTATATATTTCACAATTTTGTTGAATTTCTTCTCAGAAAAAAGTTTGGTACTTGTGTATATTGATGTGCTTTTCTCTGTTATCATGCAGTTACACATACTAAATATCAGTGTTATTTATACAGCTGGTTATATGTGTGTACATAATAACTGTAAAATCTTAGATGATTAAAATGAATTCTTGGTCTACTTATCTGTTATTGCATTATCTTTAATTTTCAAAGCTGGAATTCAAACATCATTAAGTATTATTAGGAGTAATATATTTTTATGATTGTGACACATTTTAGGGGAAAGGGTACTTAGATACTGATAAAGGGCTCTTGATCTCAGTAACTGGAGTTACTTTCCCCTTCCTTTTATCAAAATTGATTACTCACTCACCCCCTCCCATTTTTCAGGTGCTATATGACCCTTACAGTTTAATGCTTCTCCATGAATAAGATTTTGACTTCATGCTCTTAAGTTGTATACTGGAATAACAAGGTGTGCTTTTTATAGTAGATCTAAACCTAAGTGCCAAGCACAATATTATCATTGTAAAAATATTTCCTTTTGCATTATGCTGTCATTGTTTCCATACCTATGTCTGTAATTATTTTTTAGACATTTTGGCTTTAGCTATATTTTATTATGTACTGTAATCTGTTTTTTTTTCTAAATTGGCAGATATGTAGTAGTGAAATATTAGAAACAGAGGCTTCCGTTATGAACTCCACTTCACTATAATCAATTTTATCTGCTAAAATTAGTTAAGTGTGAAGATATAAATATATTTTTTTACAGACCACAAATATCACAGTCGAGCTGAGTTTATGCACGACATGGAGCTGATTCTAACTAATAGTATCAGATACAATGGACAAGACTCGTCTTTCTCTCAGAAGGCAGAAGTGTTAATCCAGGTTTGCAGGGAAAATTTAGCTGAGGTGAGATCAATTTTATTTTTTGATTCATATAAAGGAAATAGATAATGAAAAAGCAGTTGCTGTGTTGGTGTGAATTATGAAGGCCAATAGCCTCAGAGTGGTAAAGAAAACATTTCTAGAAAAAATCTTGAGATTTCTCCTAGAAATTGCGTACATATTTTTCTCGTACTTTGTTTATATTTTTAATTTATTTTTAACAAGCCAGCCATATCCCACCAAAGCAGGGTGACCCAAAAAAGAAAAACAGAAATCTTTCCTGTTACATTTAGTAATATATATTTATTTGTCATTACTAAATTTAAAAAGAAAAACTTCTATTTTTCTTTTTAGGTCACCCTGCCTTGGTGGGATACAGCTGGTTTGTTGAAAAAACAAAACAAAACAAAAAATATTTGTTCAATTGCTGTCTTTACAGAAGCATGCTGAAAACACATTTTAGGTTTCTCTCTGATTGCAGTGTACTCCACTGTATGCAGTATGAAACAGTATAATTTTTAACCCTTTCAGGGTCGAGAGGCCCTCTCTTAAACTTGTTCTCAGGGTCGAAAATCTTTTGGAAAAAAAAAAAAATTTTTTCTTATGAAGTGATAGAGAATCTTTTCCCGATCATAATGACACCAAAAGTATGAAATTTGATGGAAAACTTATGGAATTATGCTCTCGCAAAGTTAATGGTCTCGCCGATGTTTACGCATTGGCGATTTCGCCAACTTTGAGCCCTATTTTCGGCCAGTTCCTGTGCACAAGTCGACAAAAATCATATTTATTTCGCTAGAACTCCATTTTTTCTATCGAATGAGTACAAGAGACCACCCATTTACCAATTTCAAGTATCCAATAAAGTGGTTAGAAATTGGCAATTTTGCCAATTCCACACAAATTTCAGAAGATGCCAATTTCCAAATAGGGCCCAGAATAAACGAGACAGACATTCCTGGCACTAAAATAATAAGTTCTCTGTTCGTTAGTCACGTCCCCAGGTCCCTCTTATATTTCTTTTGCTTTCCACTTTGAATTTTTATTCTTACAAAAAATAGAAGATTTACTGTTATGCAGACTACTGCATTAGTGTAGAAATGGTATAAATAATATCAGCGCACTTGTGAAAATATATTAGACTCACCAGTTGATGTGTATTGGACACTTGGCATGATGTGTTTACTTTTGAGCTTTTGTAAAAATCAACATTTCTGCTACTTTGAGCTCAATTTCAAGGTACTTTTCATTGTGAAACCAATCAAAATCATCTCAATTTCTGTAATATGTCTTCCATTCTATAAAATGAGACCAGGAAAACTAGAATACAACCATAAATACCATACGAAAGTACAGTGCAAAGTCACTGTTTTAATCCAAAAACACGGTCAAAGTTTTTTTTTCTCATGCACTGTGTGCTGCAGGATTTTTTTTATACTGCGCACACTGACCACATAGACCCATTCTTTCATATGTAGGCCTAAGAGCTTTCTCTCGCTAGATCTGAAGGCGCTAGAATTTAGGCATTCTAGTACGTCAATAACCCTGGTGCTTAAGCCGTACTAGTACGTCGAAAACCCTGAAAGGGTTAAAGTCAAAGAAATTAGAAAATAGGCTGGATATGGTTGTTGATTTACATGTCTGGATTTAAAACATTGTGAATAACCATGTCATGATAATGTGAGCCTCATCAAACCTGAATTTTTTTTATGCTTCTTTTCTTGAGAACTAACCCACAATTGACATATTTGTGTCTCAGAAATTTCATATTTTATTATAGAATGGATTAACTTTCTTTAATTCATTCAGATTTTCCATGCAGTCAGGTTTTATATCTGTTTTCAGTATGAGACTCATCTGGATGGCTTGGAAAAGAAGATTGCTTTGGCCCAAGAGCGAGCATTGGAACAGGCTGAGACAGACTCTCTGGGTACGTCGCTTGGTCCAGACGACGATACTAATTACACTTATGCTGAACCTGAACAAGACCATCCTGATCACCATTTAGGCTCTCCATCTGACCATCTTTTGGAATACTCAGGTACAGTAACATTAAGTACTATGTAGCAGTTAAGTGTCTACCTACATAGCGCTATAGATGAGACTTGCTTTTATGAAATTTGATCCACTCCTTTCCCCCAACTCCTATGCTTCTTAATATAAGATGATATATTTTGCCATTAAAATACCAGAGAGTGGCTGTTTATTTTGATCACCATCAGTTATTGTATGTTATATTTTTTTCTTCCTAGGTGATGAGGATGATGAACATGTTAATGTAGTTGATGGTGATGAGGATGACATGATGCCAGCTGGGAAAAGACGGAGAATTCAGCAGTCACAAAGGAATGTTTTGGAGGAAGGTAAATAAGTCATTAATTCTATTTTTAGTGGTTTTATGGGTGAGAAACCTTGAAACCACATTCAGATTTATATCTCTGGTAGGTGCTCTAGTGTACCTCACTTTTACCTAAGTTGACTACTAATTAAAATGAACTTTACTAACTAGAAAAAAGGAGGGGTGTTAATGTTGCAGTTTAAAAACTGTAGTGTAAAGCACCCTTCTGGCAAGACAGTGATGGAGTGAATGATGGTGAAAGTTTTTCTTTTTCGGGCCACCCTGCCTTGGTGGGAATCGGCCAGTGTGATGATAATAATAAATAAATAAATTTTTTTAGTAATACAGTATAAAAGACATGGATGTCTCCTGGCAATCAAACCTAACTTTGAAAGGAGCTGAACTAAACAAGTTCATAATAACTTCTCAGCTCTACCACAACACACATCAAATGATCATAAAATAAAAGTGTTTGGTAAAAGCTCCATAATTCAATCCTACACAGTTAATATATATGTAGCTGGAATTGGAAAGAGCCCACATTTCCTGATGGTATTTTTTTTAAATATGAATGTACCACACTTGCAACAAATAATTATATAAAAACTATACATTTGATAGGTGGCTCACAGCGAAGGACCCAGATTTGATTCTGAGATACATGGAGATACTGGACATGTTTCCTTGTACTTGTTGCCCATATTTACTTAGCAGTTAATAATTGCTTGGGTGTCTGCTGACTGTTGTGACATCCTGGAGGGTGGTAGTGTACCTTTGAAATTAACTGTAGTAGAAAAACAGCTCATAACCTGTAAATTCAATGATGTAAAAACATAAGCAAATAAGATATAAAAATTAATCATAATTAAGATGGACATGGGATAATTGTCACTCTTGCTGCGGGTTTTTTTTTTTTTTTAAATTTTGTATAAGTTCTGTAGTCAGTAAGGAAAACATTGTGGAACAGCAATACCTGACTTCTCTACTTTTGACAGATCTTGAATTCAGTGATGATGAAGAAGATTTTGGAAATCAGCATGTGGTGGTGATACGTGGAGAAATGGACGGTGGTATTCTTGAGGATGGTCAGTATGTGTCTCATCAACAAGGTCCTGATGAGACTCAGGGAGCAGCTGAAGCTATGGTGCAGCTGTCTGCACAGTATCCTTATTATCAGGTACATTTATCATCTAGGATATGGTACAGTATATTATTCAACCATGTTGTTATAATACATGATTGGAGATACTGCCTTTATGAGAGAGATCACTATTATCTTCCCAGCAGTGCCAGAAGCCATTAATTTATCTTTGAAAAATGTACTGGGTGTCAAGAGAAAATTGCTAAGTCTCCTTATATCCAGAAGAGAGGGCTACAGCAATCTTCTCATGCTGCAAATCATGCCAAGTCATACAGTCATGCCAAGAATACACACACACACACACACACACACACACTTAAAAAAATTATATTCTTCATTGTGGGGTCACATATTTGGATCTGGAGTATTTCAGAAATCTCTTTTGCATTTGTTATGCTGGGAAATTAAGGCTTACAATATGCTTTATCACATATACAATGGTGGCCTGCAATGTGCTATCCTATTTTGAAACTTTGTTACTGCCTACTAAATGCTTTTACATCTAATTAGGAGCTGGATTCTTTATTAGTGTTTGGTCAGTATCCCAGAATTTTTTCAGTGAAATTTTTTCAAACTTGGTCAATATATACCTTAAGATCAAAAGGTTGTAATGTATCATTTAAAACTTAGTAGTCATCTAAAAGTAATAATAATAATAATGAATGTTTTGTTCAGTCATTATCAAGTTATCCCCAGAGATAGGTTAAGAGTCTGCAATTATGCCTCTAATGTTTCAACTGAAGGATTAAAGGTCAAAATCAGTGTTGCATCCACAAGAGTATTCATCCCAGTGTCACAAAGTTTAGCCTAAGGATAGTTTAAGAGGCCCACAGCCAGTTATATTATGTATGAGCTTATAATATCACATATTTAGAAATCTAAGTTGTATTATGAACAGTAATATTTGGCATAGTCAGCTGAGTTCAGATGATCAAAGATCAGAATCACATTATTGGTTCTGTATGTATCCATTACCAGGGCAGATTCCACACATAAATACTGTGGATTACTTCTTCAGTGGCACTGAAGTCTCTATTCCTCTTTACTCTTCTTTTACAGTAGTAGTTCACAGTTGTTTAATGCTAATTCTCACGTTTCTATACATAAACTTTTTGTACAAGTATTTTTTTTTAATTTCGTGAATATCTGATTTTCTGGCAGTACAGAGGTTCCTTAACAAAGAAAGTTGTAATTATGTTTGGGGTCAATATTTTAAAATTGAAGGTCAAGGTTACTTCATAAAAATGTGCAGAATTCATTGCCACTTTTATATGGATGAGAAGCATGGGCTTTAAACATTGCAACAAAGAGGAAACTAGAGGTAGTAGAGATGCCATGTTTGACAGCAGTGTGTTGTAAATATTGTGCAGAGAATTCCAAAGAAATTAGAAGATAGTTTGGGGTTACCAAGAATTTGAATTCAGAAGGCTGGTTTTTGCATTAAGAGAGATGTAAGCAGAATAGGATGACCAAGAGAATGCATAAATTTGGAGTGGAAGGAAGGTAGTGTACGTGTCCTCCGAGGAAGGGTTAGAGGGAGAGGGATAATGGTTTTGAGTGCTAGGGGCTGGAATGTAGGACTGTGAGCAGGGTAGCATTTATGATGGGATTCAGGGAATCCAGTTAGCCAGACTTGAGTCCTGGACATGGCAAGTACAGCTCCTGTGCTCTGAAGAAGGGGCGGGGATGTTGCATTTCTGAGGGTCATTTGACTTGCCATGTCTACACACTTTTGACAAGATGGCTATTGAATGAATGATGGTGCCAATTTCCTTTTTTTTAGGGGGGGGGATCACCTTGCTTTCATTAGAAATGGCCAGTTTACTTAAAAAAAAAATAAAAATCGTTTGTAATGTTGAGTACTGTTAGCTGACAGGTCTGGTGAAGATTGTACTTGTAACTACCTTGCTGCATCAGAGAACTGACACTTTAATTTATTCTGCTCACTTAAACTTGTCTTATTCCCACTGTATAAATTAGTTATGGTAATATTATTCAGCTCTTTAATATATGTTTTTTTCTAATTTCTGAATATCAGGGTGAAGGTAGCGAAGGAGATTATAACCACGAGGGGTTGACAGGTGAAGGCAGCATGGAGGTGGATGCTAGCTACGATCCTTCAGTAGAGTTCCTTGGTGGTATGATGCCATCACAGGTGAGTGTAACTTGTATTGTAAGTCGGACATTATCTGCCATAAAATGGACAGCAATGTTCTGACCTAAGATATGAAAAATAGAGGGAACATATATGACATACTTGTGAAATGTGTTGATGATAATTCAGCACTGACTTGGAGGGAAAATTTATATACTGTAGTTTTAAGTGGTAATTCAACAGAGGAGGAGGAGGAGGAGGAGGATGATGAGGATGATGAGGATGATGATTATTATTATTATTCAGGGAAATCAGTTAGTTTGACTGGAGTCCTGGAGGAGAGAAGTACAGTGTTTGCACTCTGAAAGAGGGGTGGAGAATATTGCAGTTTGGAGTGGCATCTGAACTGGAGTATCAGTGCACCTCTGACAAGACATTGATGGAGTGAGTGATGGTGAAAGTGTTTTTTCTTTTTCTGGGTCATTGTATCTGGTGAGAGATGGCTGGTGCATTAATAATAATAATAATAATAGTAATGATAATAATGATGTAAAATGTTCACACTGTAAAAAATAAAAAACGGAACATCATGCTACGAGTGCTATAGGCTCATCACTCAGCTTCCAGCCACTAAAAGTCATTTGCTACTTTTGGGTTCTTTGTGATAACATCAGTTTCTTAAAAAATGAACTTTGTGATCACATCTTAGCTTGACTGCAGTATTAGCAGCTAACAAGAAAGCCAGTTATTATTCATAGTAGCCCATGAATTTTTATAATTTATCTTGTAAAAACACAGTCTTCTTTTTTCTTTCAACGTACCAGCCGTATCCCACCGAGGTTGGGTGGCCAAAAGGAAAAACAAAAGTTTCTCCTTTCAACTTTAGTAATATATACAGGAGAAGGGGTTACTAGCCCCTTGCTCCCGGCATTTTAGTCGCCTCTTACAACACACATGGCTTACGGAGGAAGAATTCTGTTCCACTTCCCCATGGAGATAAGAGGAAATAACAAGAACAAGAATTAGAAAGAAAATAGAAGAAAACCCAGAGGTGTATGTATATATATTCTTGTACATGTATGTGTAGTGTGACCTAAATGTAAGTAGAAGTAGCAAGATGTGCCTGAAATCTTGCATGTTTATGAGACAGAAAAAAGACACCAGCAATCCTACCATCATGTAAAACAATTACAGGCTTCCGTTTTACACTCACTTGGCAGGACGGTAGTACCTCCCTGGGCGGTTGCTGTCTACCAACCTACTACCTAAAAAAAACACAGTCACTGCCATTAAATTTTGTTCTTATAATTTTTATATCAACTTATACCACTATTCTGTTTTTTTTTTACTCTTCCAGTCTCATGATGATGGTACTATTACTAATGACTTAGCTGTTTCTGATTCTGATGAGGAGGCAGCCCCACAAGCAAGACACCATGATGATAACCAACAACAGGAGGAAGAACATGACAGAAATGCATTATGGTTCTAAATACAGGCTCTTTTTTTTTTTTTTTTGTCATTTATGATGTTAGTAACAGGCACCCTTATTGCTAACATTATTATCTATGTACAGTATTTTGTACAGTATTGCTTTATATTTGATATTTTTTGTAGAAGACATTTAGAAAAATATTTTTATAACATTAAATTTATTTGATAAATAAAATTTACATGTAGGTTAACTGTGAATTAAGCAGTTTGTAGCAGCCAGAAAATAGTAATTTTAAAACATTTTTATTTCTTAGACTATTGTACATTAAATTTTTGACTCTTAGTACATTAGACCAGTACCTTACAGTAGGGAAGTTATTAAGGGGACAAGAGCTAGAGGCAAACATAGAAACATTACTGAAAGCTATTTAAAATAGACCTAGTTGTATTTATTTTTTAAAGATAACTTGAATGCTTATGTCTCACTATAAGTTATTGAATAGACAATTACAAGCATTTTGTGTACATAAGGAATATTTAAAGTTAAACAAGCATTGCTAAAGATTGTAAATAGAATGGAAGTTTTAGCATATAATATGTAAAAGTTTGCTTATGAAAATTGTTAAATTTTGAAAACAAACTTGAAGTAATACAGAAAACGTCTTTAAACACAGCTTGAGGCCTTCACAAGCCATAAGACTACTTTTCCCTGTAATATTTCTGGGTTTGGTGGGCATCAAATGAATACAGGTGAATTGGAGTGTATTTATGTATTTTCTTATCAATTTTCACAACTAATAGAGGCATGAGAGAAGATTTCTTTGTGTATCTGTTATAATTAGCACAAGCAGTGTCATTCTGAAAGATCAGAAGATCCTGCTATTGCATGTACACACAGACACCACAACATCCTGCTATTACATGTACACACAAATGCCACAGGACTCTAGTAGCACAATGTTGAACGCTCATTTTAAATACGTATTTTCAGGTTTAACTTCAAAGAAGAAGTATTTTTGATTGGTTCAAAAGTTTGCATGACAAAGCAAAATATTCAGTGAACATACTTGATTTTCTGAAAAAGCCTTTGTAATATGCATTATATTCATATTTACAAAATTAAAAATTACAGTAGATTTATGTCTTATTGTCACTCCTCAAGTTGTTTTAATCCTTTGTTTAATTGTTTAACCCTTTCAGTGTTGCATCCCCCAAAATTAAAAGTGCTGACAGTGTCGCAATATAAAAATAAAATGCTGAAAGCGTAAAGAATCTTTTTTGAATATAATGATACCAAAAATATGATATTTGAAGAAAACTTATGGAATTACACAAATGCAAAGATGGCAGTCTGGGCATAATTTTGCTTTGGTGATTTTGCCCAGTTTGAGTCTTGTTTTTAGCCAGTTCCCTTGCTTAATTCAACCAAATTTTTATCTATTTCACTAGTTCAATTGACCGAGTACAAGAAATCACTCATTCAATTATAAAAACCACCCTATAAATGCACAAAAGTTGGTAATTTGACAATTTTACATATAATTAATCAAATTCCAATTTAAAAACTTACTCCAAAATAAACACTATGGATTCCAGCCACTAAAGCAAGCTATCCTCTGTTCATTAATCACATTCCCAGGTCTCTCCGATATTATACTTGTTCTCCATTTTGAATCTGTCTCTTGACCCATCACAAGGCCTGGTCTCAGACCGGGCCTCAGGGGCATTGACCCCCCAATCCCTCTCCACGTATAAACAAAAAATAAAAGTTATACCTTATTTCTCCCCTCAAGGGAAGTTCCTTGACATTTCTGAGGGGCTCTTGATCTAGGGAATTGGGTCTGTGCTGTGGTTCCCCGAACTAAACCAGAATACATTCCATCCCCCCCCCCACATGTGCTGTATAATTCTACAGGTTTAGTGCTCCTCCACAATTATAATGGTAATAATACAAGTCTCCCTCAACATTCGCGTTTCAGCTTTCGCGGATTTCACACATTCGCGAATTCCCAACCTCCAAATTCCCAGCCGCCAAATCATATTTAAGTTTACGGCCACGAGTCCTTACTACCCTCCCTCCGACCCCTGCAACTGGCAGCCAGCCCTCCCACCACTGTGTGGTGAGTGTTTTGTTTGTTTATTTGCTATTAAACTACAGTATAAATAATGTAAACCCATCCATGACTGCATATTAGAATGGCTATTCAGACAGGTATTGGAAGGTGACTATCATGCGTTTACTCTTGAACACAGCAAAGAATCAAACATTTCTGCTACTGCTAATAATAATAATAATAATAATAATAATAATATAATGATAATAATAATAATAATAATAATAAATACGATAGAATTGAAGAAGGAAATTGTACAAAAATACAAGGGTTGAAGCAGTGGTGGAGGAAGTGGTTGACGAATCGTCAGTGTGGCTTTGTTTATGCTGGAGTGAGTATTAGTCTCCGTGCTCTTCCAAACATTTCACAATAATTCATTGTATTTGGTGCTTGTAGATGAGTGTGACTGGAGTGGTTGAGGCAGTTATAGAAGCAGTGGGTGAGGCAGCGATTGAGGCAGTGGTAGAGGCAGTTATAGAGGCAGTGGTTGAGGCAGTGGTAGAGGCAGTGGTAGAGGCAGTGGGTGAGGCAGTGGGTGAGGCAGTGGGTGAGGCAGTGGTAGAGGCAGTGATAGAGGCAGTGATATTTACTAACATATATGTTATAAATAATAATAGTACATTATGAATAACATTTATTATTATTATTATAAATGTTATTAATATTAACATGTACTATTATTATTTATAACATATATGTTAGTAAATACCACTGCCTCACCCACTGCCTCAACCGCTGCCTCACCCACTGCCTCTACAACTGCCTCTACCACTGCCTCTATAACTGCCTCAACCACTCCAGTCACACTCAACCTACAAGCACCAAATACAATGAATTATTGTGAAATGTTTGGAAGAGCACGGAGACTAATACTCACTCCAGCATAAACAAAGCCACACTGACAATGCGTCAACCACTTCCTCCACCGCTGCTTCAACCCTTGTATTTTTGTACAATTTCCTTCTTCAATTCTATCGTATTTATTATTATTATTATTATTATTATTATCATTATATTATTATTATTATTATTATTATTATTATTATTATTATTATTATTATTATTATTATTATTATTATTATTAGCAGTAGCAGTAGCACAAATGTTTGATTCTTTGCTGTGTTCAAGAGTAAACACATGATGTCACCTTCCAATACCTGTCCGAATAGCCATTCCAATATGCAGTCATAAATGGGTTGACATTATTTATACTGTAGTTTAATAGCAAATAATGAACAAACAAAACACTCACCATACAGTGGTGGGAGGGCTGGCTGCCAGTTGTGGGGGGTCAGGGAGGGTAGTAGGGACTCGCAGTGGTGGAGGCAGTGGTATTTAAAAACATACATGTTATTAAGGTATAACGTATGTATTAGTACAATTTATGACGTTTTCATGTATTTTATGATTGTTCATGGTTCGACAAGTTAAGGAAGCAGTATTGTATTATATTTCCCTACAATATATTGGGGCACCAAACATTCGCGATTTTTCAACATTCGCGAGGCTCTTGATCCCCTAACCCTCGTGAATGTTGAGGGGGACCTGTATACCTTATTTCTTAGATTAATAAAATACTATATAGCCAAAAAATGGTTGGTCATGGTTTAGGGCATCCCAGTAATTGAAGATGACCAAGCAAAACCTTCAAAACAGACCAGGGAGGTAGAGGGCCTTACCCTTCCTCAAGAAAATCGTCGAAAATTGAATATTTCCACTACACTGAGCCCTATTTCAAGCTACTTCTGGTCCTGAAACTGACCAAGATTATCTTTATTTCAATATTTCATTCTATCAAATGATACCAACAAACAACCAATAAAACAAAAAAAAACATTCTAGAAAACAATGCACATGGTAGGCTTATATTTTATATTCACAACACTGACTAATTTTCGCATGTCTAGGCCAAAATTTCCATTCACAGCATATCTGGGCACTGTGCTTAAAACTTACCTCTATATGAGCAATTTTGGCATCAATAATGTAGGTTTACATGAAAGACAGTGAAAGAGTTAAATATGGAAAAGACTATGAATTCCTTGTTTAATTTGTGGAAATGTGTAAAACAAGGGACTGGTAACCCCTGAAGAGATAAAGAAGAGTATTTTAGGTTTGAAGGTCCATGGGTGTAATACAGATGTTATGATTGTTAATGTTGTGTACAAAATGATATTGGCTGTCCCGGCATTAAGCAAAACAATGCTAAAAAGATTGGGTGTATTGCAGTGAGGAAGAGTATATGGGGTTTAATAGTTGTGTCAGAGAACCAACGCTGAATGATTAGCAGCAGCGATATTTCATTGTCAACTATGAAAAGGAAGGAGGGGGAGGATTGTTTTAAATTTCAAGAATTTTGTGGGTTAGAGTAAAAGTGAAATATAAGAAGTGTTTATGCACCTGGGCAAGAGAAGTGTAGAGGAAAAAGAGATTTTCAAAGGTGTTAAGTGAACGTTTAGGCAGTTTTGAACCAAGTAAAAGAATAATTGTTGAGGGTGACCTAAATGCTAAAATTGTAGACTGTTATAATGGGCACAGTAAGTAAGCTGGAAGTGCAAAGGGTAAATAACAATGGGGCCTCCAATTTAAATATATATAGAAAAAGGTTTGACATGAGACAGTCTTGTTTGAAGAAAAAGATAGTATACACGAGTTTTCAAGAAATGATGTAGTGCACAATGACATCAGTTTGCTAGACTGAATAGATGAATAAAAGATTGAAGGGTAGACTTTTGGATGTGTGTTTTCAGAGGATAACTCAGTAAATATAAAGGTTCCAAGACCCTTTAAAACCCTCTTTGACATATACGTATAAGGAGAATACAAAAAGACTTCTTGTTGTCTTCAAGAGGAAGCTCAGTAAGTGCCTTAAGTCAGTTCCTTGTCAGCCAGATTGTGATGCCTAAGTTGGACTGCTTATTGATAGGCAAAAAAAGCTAGATTGATCAAGCTGTCAACTAGGAGTCCTGGTCTAAGACCAGGTTGCAGAGTCTGTGTCCCCCTGGAATTGACCATAGGTAGGTCCATCTTCCTCTCTTCATCTGACACTGGTTCCTTTCAAACGAGGTTCCTTAATGCTAGTGAAGGGATCTTGCTCTGCGAAACTGAACAGGATCTGTCCTCCTCTTGCCTGGGTTGAACTTAATTGCCATCCACTCTTAGAGGCATTGTATGATCCCTATGGGTTTATTTTAATAAATAAATATGCCAATGAGAGGCTCTTGATCCAAGGAATTGAGCCTGACCTTTCATTCCTTGGACCAAACATGATTGCTTCCTATTTCCCCCGGGCACTTTATGACTTCCCTAATGGTTTAGTGCTTCTCCTTAATTAAAAAAAAAAGTAAATGTATTGTTGAAACTTTTGTCAAGTTACTGCTAAAATTTTGTTTTCTATTAAAGAGAACTTATAAAAGAAAACGAAAGCATTTATATGAGTGTTCCCTCTTGATGACGGTGAGGGGCTCTTGATACAAGGAAGCGAGTCTATCCTCCCCTCCTGGATCAAATCTAACTGCATCCCATTCCTCATGTGTTGTATAATTTATACAGGTTTGGCGCTTCTCCCTGATTATATTAATATACGTGTCTTGTTATTGGCGAAAGGCTATCATCCCCTTCCGTGGCTCAAACCTCCATACATTGTTCCTCAGGCGATGAAGGATCCCTATGTATTTAGCACTTCCCCACATATATGATGCATTGTCCTGTAGCTCGATTGGTAGCGCACTCACCTCACATACTGAGGTCCTTGGTTCGATCCCCAGTACAGGTTCAAACATTAGGACTTGTTTCCTTAAGACACCTGTTGTCTATGTTCACCCATCAGTAAAATATGTACCTGAGTGTTAGTCGACTGATGTGGGTCGCATCCTGGGGACAAAATTGACCTAACTTGACCGCACTGCTCTGCATAACAAGGGGCATTCTATATAGTAGTATGTCATTGATGTCAGCTATGGTCTACCTTGTACATGTACTTCTAGAAATAAAGATTATTATTATTATTATTATTATTATTA